CGGGTCACCGGGGGTCGGGCCGGGCCGGGCCGGGTCGGGCTGGGCCGGGGGCGTCGCTGCAGCGGCAGGAGCGCCAACGACATCCTTCATCATTACTACTGCCCCGGGCGCGGGCGGCGCGGGCGGCGGGCGGCGCGGGTTCGCGTCGCGGCGAGGGGACGCACGAATTGCGCCACGGCGGCCTCGAAGTCGTTTCGTCGCTCTGTCCCAGTCGCACTCACGGGGCGCCTGGCAGGGGTGCGAGAGGGACAGGGCGGCGTTGGCGGCGCGGCGGCGACACCTCTTCCCCGGAGGCCGCCGTCAATCCTTTCGGCCTCTTTCGGGCTGACAGAGTGAGAGAGTAAGAGAATGCGTGCGGTCGTCATGGCTGGCTGCTGACAACAAGACACTGTCAGGTGTTACGGTGACAAGGCGCTAGATTAATGCCCCTAAACGGGCCAACCCGAACGGCCGCGCCGCGACGCGACGCAGGCCGCCCGGAGCACGTCCTGGCCGTCCTGGCCTGCGAACGCCACGACTTCCAATTTGGAACAGCGCGCCAGAACGCCGACGGGGAAGTCCTGCGGGCTAGTAGCTGAGTGCGAAGAATCTCTCTCACACTCCTGGAGCGTCCCCTAGGCTTGCGAGAGAGAGGGTGCGGTCGCCAAGCGGTGCCGCACAGTGGGCCAGAAACCGGCGGAGGCGGCCAAAATTTTAGACGCGTTTTGAGCTCCAGAGTCGCTAAGCAAGCCTCGAACCGAACGTGTGACCCCACCAATGGATTCCTCGTCCGGAGAGCAATCCATTGGTGGGGTCACACGGTCGGTTCGAGTCCTATTTAGCGACTATGGAGCTCAAAACGCGTCTAGAATTTTGGCCGCCTCCGCCGGTTTCTGGCCCACTGTGTGCCGGGCCGTTTGGGTCGCACTTTGTACCGCCGTGGTGCCGCGTCTGCGGCCTGCTCCGCCCGCTCGGCCTGGCCGCCGCACGACGACGCAGCGCGCCGCCTTTAATAGACATTAGCGTTTGATAAGTGCCGCTAGAGGGGACTGGTGGTCGGCCGGGCCTCTTCGGGGCGGCCGGGGCACAGCGCGTGAGGTCGTCACGGGCTGCTGCTGCCAACAACACACTGTCAGGTGCGACTAGCTAGTGCTCGCTGGCGGTGCTGGCGGTGCTGGGGGGAGGGAGAGTGTCGTCGTGGAGGCCAGGCCGGCCGGCCCAAAGGACTTCCCTGGAAAAGCCCTGGCGGTGATGATGGCAGCCAACCGGGAACCGGGGCGCCGCGAAGGACCCCGCGCAACTCGCGGCCCTTCCGCGCGCTGCGCCTCCAGTCGCCTCCAGCGCCGTCTGCGAGTGTGCCGCCGGTGTGCCGCCGGTGTGCCGCCGGTGTGCCGCCACTGGAAGAGAAATAAAAAGGGCTGCCGGGAAAACGGGGGCCGCGCCTGCGTGCTGCATGCCGCTGCATGGCGTTGCATGGCGTTCCGTTCCGATGGCTGGACCGACACCTGTCTCTGACTCCCCGTCCCCTGTCCTGTCCCCTTCGCGTCCTGACTCGACTCCCCTCCCCCGCAGCGCCGCAGCCGCAGACACGCACAAAAATTAAACCTCTCCAAAAACACTCTCCACGCCCGCGCGGCCAGCACGCCAGTGTGGGATAGGACGCGCAGGCTCGCTCCGGGCAGGCCTGCAGCCTGATTCAGATAGTCGTTTTCGTCCCTTTGTCTCTCTCGCACTCATGCGGCGTCCCGTATCGGAGCGAGAGAGAGACAGAGCGACGAAGACGGACTCTCTGAATCAGTTGCAGGCTAAGTCTCGGTCTACTCTGAGGATGCCGTCGGCGGCACGCCGTCGTGGCCTCCAACACCTCTGGGCGTCGGGAGGGTCGCGACGACAAACAGGCGGCCGATTAGGGTGGAGGGCGCGGGAGACAATGGCTCCTCGGTGACCTCTCAAATGGGCAATGGGCCATTGACTTTGGATGATTGGCGCCGCGCAGCCACACGCCACGCCACTGCACGCCCCGCCCCGCCCCTCGGCGACACGGTCATGTTTTATTCAACGTCGCCGGTGGCACGTGCCCCAATGGGACTTGCCCGGCGGTGCCCTGCGCGGTGATAACGCCCCGATGCCACTCGTCTGTCCGTCCGTCTGTCCGCGGCGCCGGAAGCGGAAGCACACAAGGTATACTCGTCGGACGCGCCGAGTCAGACACAGCGAGCCCCGGTGGTGCAATCGGTTAGCGCACCGCACTTACAGGACAGCGTGTGTGAGTTCGAGCCTCGCCTGCGGCCCGAGACTCGAATGCGGAGTATTGTGGCTGGGCCTCAAAATTGGTTCAAACGGGGTAGGACGTGTAGAAATGGCGCTTCTGTCTGACTTTTGGCGGCCTCTGCGTCCAATCAACGCCAGAGCGGCATGTCCTCCAGGGCCTCCAGGACCCTGGATGCACCTGAGTGCAGTGCAGTGCTGCCGGCGCGCTTGGCAGTGGCGTGGCCCATGGGCCCGTGGCCCGGCGCCCCGGTGCGCTGGGTGGGTGTGCTTGGTGTGCTGTGCGCGCACCGGCCGCGCTCTTCGCTCCGCGCTCCGCGGTGTGCAGCGCAGGGACCGTGAACGCCACGGTCCGTCGACTGGCAAGGCTGGGCCGCGCTGGGCCGCGCTGGGCCGCCATGGGCTGCAGCAGACTCATTCCGAACAGTGCTTTCGTCGCTCTGTCTCTCTCGCACTCATGGGGTGGTCCGTAGGGGTGCGAGGGAGACAGAGTGACGAAGCAGCGTTCGCAATCAGCCTGTGGCGACCAGAGCACGCTAGCGGGCTCATTCCGAGCACCGCTCTCGTCGCTGTCTCTCTCGCACTCCGCGTGCCGTCGGCATGCCGTCGGGGTGCTCGGCAGCGGTAAAGGCCGCGAAAGGCGACGTGCCCGGGGACGTCGCGGACGTCGACGCCCAGGCCGGCAGTCTGCTGGAGCGTCTCCAGAGCCATGCGGCAGCATTGCGGCTCAGTGAGCCTGCCAGCCGGCCTGCCAAAGCTTTACAAGCCCGCTGCCAAATGGCCGTCGTGGACGACGCGACGCTCGATGGCGAGTCGGGCTGGAGACCCGCATCGGCCAAGGCATCGGCCGTCCGCGAACGCGACCAAAGTGCGGACTCGAGGAACGCACACGGCGGACGGTTACAAGTTCGAAACGAAAAGGCGTCGATGAGCAGAGCAGCTTGGCTGGGAAAACGAGAGCTCGTCCAATTTGTCATCCTCGGAACTCTATTCCGGCATTCCTCGCGTCCCCGTCGGACACCGCCACGCCGCCGCGGTGGACAGCGAGACCTCCCTGGACCATGAGAGCGGCCGCGGCCCGCGGTACCCACAGCGGGGCTAGCGGGGCCCCCGGGCAGGACAGGCGGCACGACCCGGGTGGAGAAGCACCGAAAAAGCGAACCCGCCACCAAAAAACGCTCAGTCGGGATGGACGGGAACGAAAGGGCGACGTGGGGAACGTGAGGGGCAGCGGCAGCGCGGCAGCAGCCCGATATCGGATCTCGCGGTGACTGGTGACGTGGGTGGCGGACCCCGCCGGCCAGGGCGGCCACGGGCAGGGCCGACCGCCGGCCGGAGAGTAGCGCCGTGAGAACCGAGAACGGCCGCCGCCGAGCCTCCCCTTGGACACCGCCGAGGCCGCCGCCGAGGCCACCGAGGCCCTACGCCACCATTTTTTCCGCCCCTTCTCCGCGTCGTTCCCATCACGACCTCCACGGTGAGTCCGGGATGCCGCCGCCGGGACAGTCGCATGGACCACTTTGCCTCACGCACACACACGCACGCGCGACGCATAAACAATTGAATGATCGCTCTTCCCTATCCCGATCCGCCTCCTCGCCGCCGCGCCGCCACGCCGTGTGGTCACACCCCTTTCCCACCGCCACACGCCGCGCCGAGGCGCCGCCGGGCCAGCGGGCTGAGAGCTCCTCTCTCTCTCCCACCCCTGCGCGGCGCGGCGAGGCGCCCCGAGAGTGCGAGCGCCTTGTGCCATCCGCCATGCAAATGGCGACAACATTGTTCGGTGCAAAGTGCGCGGCCGGTGGAGGCACGGCGGCGCTCTGTCTCTCTCGCACTCCAGGGGCGTCCCAGGGGATGCGACGTGGCGGATTGGCTATCCTCTGGCTGCCCGCCTTGATGTCGCCGTCGCCCCGTCTGTCCATTTTCCGCGTGACGTGCGACGGCTGCACTAAAAGGCCTCCGCCGGCCGGCCGGCCCGAGGCGCTGCTGGACGCCCCGCCCCGCCCCGCCCCGCCCGCCCCCCCCCGCCCCGCCCCGCCTTGCGGACTCGCCGGGATTCAATTACCCGGCCGGAAGCAAAGGGTTGGCGATGGGAAGGCGATAGCGCGGGAGAAGACAGAAGACGCGCCCCAGACCATTTTTAACGTTTTCCCTATCAGCATTTCATTACCTGTATCACTACAAATTAGAGCCCCCCCTTTAATTGAGTTCACACACGTTAGGTTAGGCGCGCTCGCGTCGCCCCGAGGGGAGGGGGCGGAGGGGCGGAGAGGGGCGGGGCAAGGCGAAAGGGTTGAGGTTGAGGCGACGGCGTCGCGGCGCGGCGCGGCCGTGAGAGACTCCGGCGTCATTACGACGTCCATCGGGGTGCCGGAGGTGCCGGACAGCCCCTGTCACACTCGCTCTGTCTCTCTCGCGCCTATATGGGGTGCCCCTGGGCGCGAGAGAGACAGAGCGACGAAAGCACGGTTCGGAATCGCCCTGCTGTCACACTGATTGCACACAGACTCGAGACTCGGCACCCTCGTCTTCATTTCCGGATTGACACCATGAGAGACTCCATGGACTGGAGGGCCTCCTGGAGGGACTCGGGGACGCCAGCGCAACGGCCAAAGTGTGGACTTGTTGTAATGACTGGACATTCATTTCCGAAGCGCGGCGTTTAGACGGCTTCACGGTCATGAACCTGGAGGAACCCGGGCGTCATCTTCCAGTCCGTCGCGCACGGCGTCCGAGCGCCTCGCGGCACTCACCACGTTCACGAAGTCCTGGAAGGTGATGGCCGTCGTCTTCCGTTCGGCGGCCTTCTCGGCCAGGATGAGCTGCTTGTTGGCCGGCACCTGGTTGCAGAACTCGGGGTCGCGCAGCACCAGCTCGAAGTCCTCCCAGGGGATCTCGCCGAAGCCCTCCGGATCGTACTGCGGGAACAAGAACAATTCAGTCGCTCGCTCGGCTTTCGTGATGAGACGGGGACGTTTCCAGTCAGTGTGCGACAAATCTTGCCCCCGTCATAGAATGGGGGTGTTCAAAAATCAAGGAAACGGGAATGGACAGGCGGCAGGGCTGTCAGAGCAGACGCAGACGACACCGGCCGGTGGGCGGAGGCGGTGCCGCGCGACGAGCACGTCGCGCCACCTAGCGGCCGAAGCCTGAACCACCACGCCGCGGTGCGCATACCCCGCTTGACAGAGACTCTAGGCTGCACAGCTGGCGCGCCTCTACCGTAGCGATACTCCGCGACTCGGCTGTCAGCTGTTTCCGTAGTGTAGTGGTTATCACGTGTGCTTCACACGCACAAGGTCCCCGGTTCGATCCCGGGCGGAAACACATTTTATGTACGTTTTCCTCGCACGCTGTGCTGGCATGAGATGTTGTGGCCACTAAAGAAGATTGAATTACCTTGTCGAAAAGCTGCCTCCATTTCTGCAATGGAAAAGAATAGTAGATTAGACTGGTGGAATCGTTGATAGTACACAGGTGATTCCCAGAGCAGGCGACTTACGTCGTTGAGCAGCACTCTCCGCAGCTCCGACTCGTCCACGTCCGAGTCCCCCAGCATGCTGGTGTCCCGGTTGCTGTCCACGGTGAAGACGCCTCCGTTGGCCAGCCCCATGCCGCTGCCGAGAGCGCTGGCACTGGCGCCTAGGGCGAGTCCGCTCCCGAGTCCGCTTCCAAGCCGGCTTCCCGGTCCGCTTCCCAGGCCGCTGCCCATGCCGCTCATGGTGCCGCTGCCCATGTGGTAGGAGACGTGGCCGATGTTGAGCAGGCCCAGGTTGACGTTGCTGCCGCCCCCGGGAATGCCGCCCCCGGGCGCCACCAGGTGGTCGCTGGAGCGCGGCGCCGGCGGGGGCCGCAGGATGATCTCCGGCCTGGCGGGGCGGGGCGGCAGGGCGGCGGGGACGCGGGGCGGGGCGGGCCGAGCGGGGGCGGTGGTGTCTTCGTCCAGGTCCGTCTCCGTGAAGGTCCTCTCCGTGGAGCTGCCCCTGGGCAGCGTGCCGGCCACCGTGCGGCGCGGGGGCGTGGGCGCGTCGGAGCACACCGTGTCGAACGAGGACTCGAGCGGGCTGGGCCTGGTCGGCCTGGACGCCCTCACGAAGCCCATGGCCTCGTCCACGTCCGTCTCGAAGCGCTGCATGTGCGTGGCGTGCATGGTGCGGGGCAGCGTGCGGAAGCGGCGCGGGCTGGGGCTGGGCGTCGGCGCCATGTCGATGTCCGTCTCCTTCGACGAGCACGTACGCTTGGCGAGGTCCGCGGCCCGCGCCGCCGCCGCGGGGCTGATCTCCTTGTCCAGGTCCGTCTCCAGGAAGACCTGCATGGGTCTGCGCGATGGCGGAGGCAGCGTGTTGGACCGCGGCGGCGGCGGCGGCCCGGCCAGCACGGCGTCCAGGTCCGTCTCCAGAGGAGCGGGTCGCCACAGGCGCCGCCACTGCACGTCGATGTCCGTCTCCATGAGCCACTGCCTTGCCTCGGACACGTAGGAAGGCTCATCGGCGACGTTCGCGGTGGCCGCGGTCGACGCGGTGGTCGCGGGGAGGCGCTTGCGCCGGGCGGGCGTCGGCGGCCCGCGGTCCGTCTCGGGGAAGGCCGTGCTCTCCACCGCCTGCCCGGCGTGCCCGGCGTGCGCCACCAGGGTCCTCTTGGCGGGCACGGGAGTGCCGCCGGCCGCGCCCCGCGCCTGGCTCTTGGGACTCTGGCCCTCCGGGGAGGAGCCGTCCTTGGTGTCCTTCAGGAGGCTGGGCGCCCCCGGCAGGTACACGCTGGGCCACGACAGGCGCATCCCTGCGGCGGAACAAGAAACAGAGTCAGTCGATTGGCGTCAAATATAGCCCTTCGTCCGAACATGTAGGCGAGGCGGCCACCATCGACCTGCGGTGATGTGGTCTGATGGGGTGGGCGTCAACGGGGTGCGTCCGAGCATCCGGGTGCCCTCGCATTGCCCCTTAAGGTGGAGGCTGGGTAGGCAGTCCCGGACGCTGCCCTGCTCGACGGGACAGCATATCCTCACGGCGCGCGGCGCCTGCGACTGCCAGCACTGCGACACCCCTCTCCCCTCCCCGGGGTTACAGATCACAGAGCACAGGGCACAGGGCAATCTAGCAAGGCCCCCAGCAGGCTCGTTCCGAACAGTGCCGACTCTCTCTCTCTCTCTCTCTCTCTCTCTCTCTCTCTCTCTCTCTCTCTCTCTCTCTCTCTCTCTCTCTCTCTCTCTCTCTCTCTCTCTCTCCGACTCGCCCCGTTCCACAGGGGTGCGGGAGAGACGGCGGCGCACTGTTCGGAGGTTCGGAGTCAGGGAGACAGGCAAGGTGTCGGGGCGGCAGTAATCACACATGGGTCCCCGGGGGCTGTCGGCCCGTCGGTACGGCCGTTCGGCCTGCTTGCCCTGCAGCCCGTGACACGCTGCCACTGCGCCCCGCCGCTTTCCTCCCCATTTCGACACCGTGCCCGTGGGGAGAGGGGACGTGTCCGAGGGGAGGCCGCGGCCTCGGCGTGCAGGGCCTGCAGGGCGTGGCGCGCGTCCCTCGGGCTCCGCATGGCTCCGCATGGCTCCGCACTGCGACCCTGCGAGGGGAGGGCGGCGAGGCCAGCCGCCTGCTCCCGAACACCATTCTGTCCCTCTCGCACCCCAACGAGACGCCCGTGGGTGCGACAGAGATGCAGCGACGAGGCGCGACCCTCTGGAGTCAGTCCGCGGGGGTGGCTAGGCGCTGTGCTCGCTGCGCGTAGTGCCGCGCGAGGCCAGCGGCGAGACGTGGCAACGCGGCGCCGCGCGGAAGGAGACGGACCGCCTTTCCCTCATCTAAGGGTCCGCGGTGATGTAACGCGCTTCATCGAGTCTTTGTCATAACACAACAGGCAAGGCTGGCAAGGGGGAGGCAGCAAGGGGCGCCGCGCCTGCGCCCTCACTTCCTGGGTCAAGCGGCGGGTTCGAACCGCTCGGCGTACGTTCTCGCTAAAGTGAGCTGGCGGGAAGACCACTCGAAAAGGCTGGCGTATGGGCGATTCGGATGGACAGGCAGAACGCTTGAAAAGACAATCTTTCGTGATTGGGTAACCAGACCGAGTGCTGTTTACATGGTCCTCAACAGCCGTCCATCGTGTGGAGGGAACGTAAGGCCTCACGAGAACATTTAGAGACGCATTGACGGACGCGTTGCCGTGCCACCTGGCGCGGTACCGGCCAAGTAACCAACCGCAAGTGTGTCTGTCCAGGCGAGCAGCAGCGGGGTTGACGGCCAGACGAAAGGGGTGCAGGGGGTCGTAGTCCATAATTAGGAAAGTGGCCCGAGAGAGAGAGAGAGAGAGAGAGAGAGAGAGAGAGAGAGAGAGAGAGAGAGAGAGAGAGAGAGAGAGAGAGAGAGAGAGAGAGAGAGAGAGAGAGAAAGCGGAAAGAGGGGAGTGGCCACGGCCCGCGGGCGGCAGTCCCGCAGGAACACAGCCGACAGGTCCGACAGAGACATGTAGGGCCTCCGCGGGCTTCTGACCGCCGCGCCATTACAGAGAGTGTACCGACGTCAGAACGGGGCCGTCCGTCAGTCGGAGTTTTTCCCGGGATGATCTATTTTTGATCCGCCGCGCCGCCGGGCGATGCGACGCGATGCGACGTGATGCGTCCGCGGTCTAGTCGCCGGCGGAGTGCCGCGTCGGTCCCGGGGATGGAATGGGTAAGGGCAGGCTATTGCCCCGCTATTGATCGCGCATCGCATCGCGCCAGCGCCACGTTAGACTCGCTGTGTGTCGCACAGTGTGGCTGCGGTGCGGTGGCAGGGAGCGGGCAAAGCCTTTCGCTGGCGCTAGCTGGCGCCGGGCTGCCGGCACAAAGCCCCTCGCCTCCCACGCCGCGCTGCCGGAGGGGCCCCTCCAGCCTCCAGCCGCCCTGTCTCTCTCGCACCCCTGCGGGACGCGAAGCACCGTAATTCTGAGTGGTTCTGAGTCAGACTGCGGGCTGGCTGCGACCCCCGCAGGACGTGGCGGCCGTCGGCAAGGGGTGCACGTGCACCCGGCCGCTCCAGTGCCGCCCCACCCCGCGCCGCCCCGCGCCGCCCCGCGCCGCGATGCCGCAACGGGCTTTGCGCAACACCATGCCGCCCCGCGTGCACGCTTGCACCACGAGCTATCCGCTACTTCGAACCCCCTCGAGTGCACGCCTGGGACCGGCCGTAAACACACGTCCTTTCATTACTCTGTCTCTGTCGCACTCTGGAGCACCGCGGCTCCGCCGTGTGGGTGCGACAGAGACAGCGCGACACGCCGCTCTTCGGAATCCCGCACGACTGATCCACTTCTTGACCTACCTGACGGAAAGCCCCCCGTGCACGGCCCCCGTCAGACTGTAGGGCTGCAGGGCCTGGGCCCGTGGGGGTGGTGCACACCGCGGCGCCGGGTCCGGCCCGCAGCGAGGCGGAGGCGGCCTTGACACTGAGACTGAGGGGGCGTCGGGGCGTCCACCTCGCGGCCCGTGCAATGACTCCCTTGATGCTGGCCACGCCGCTGCAGCAGGCCCCACCGACCCCACAGGGGGCCTCGCGCTAACCTCCACGCCCACGTTTTGCCCAGTGCAGGGCCCAGTGCAGGGCCCATCCCACAGTGGGCCAGAAGACCGATGGAGGCGGCCAAAACTCTAGACGCGTTTTGAGCTCCAGACCAGAGTCACTCAACAGGCCTCGAACCGAACGTGTGACCCCACCAATGGATTCCTCGTTCGGAGAGCAATCCATTGGTGGGGTCACACGTTCGGTTCGAGGCCTGGTTAGCGACTCTGGAGCTCAAAGCGCGTCTAGAATTTTGGCCGCCTCCGCCGGTCTTCTGGCCCACTGTGCATCCCACTCACATGGCGTGCACTGCACACCCTCCACCCACTCACCGTCGGCCTCCTTCTCGCTGTCGTTCTCGCTGTCCGTCATGGCTGTCACTCAGTTCCCATCCACGGACAGGCGCGAGGCGCACCGGCACGGCGCAACACCCCGCCGGTTGGTACTCCACTCCACGCGGCGGCCCGCGACGCGTTCGAACGGGTCGACGCGGTACTCCTCGACGGCGCGCTGCACTCGGACGCTCCGGGGCCCCGGTTCGCGACGAACTCGACGACGACGACGACTTGGCCTCGCGGAGCGCGTGCCTGGCCCGGACCGGCGCGGCCCGGTGCGTCTGCACTTCTGTTTTGGTCCTGCAGGGCCCGGCTGCCCGGCGAGGGCTAGAGGACCGGCGCGGCGTAGCGCAGCGCAACGCGCACGGGTCGATACCGGCTCCGCTAGCTCCGCGAGCCGCCGCGGACCGCGGGTAGGGCGGCAACCCTCCGCCGCCGCGTCGCCACCCCGTCATGCACCGCGGCCAGCGTCCGCCCCCACCCCGACACCCCGCCGCCTCTGCGCCTGTGGGTCCTTCCCTTCGCTGCATCCCTCCCTCTGGGCGGGCTCCCTGCTGCTAGGCCTGGCGGGCCGTTCTAGCAGGGCGATTCCGAGTCGCTTCGTCGCTCTGTCTTTCTCGCGCCTTCCCGGGACGCCCCACAGTGGGCCAGAAACCGGCGGAGGCGACCAAAACTCTAAACGCGTTTTGAGCTCCAGAGTCGCTAAATGGGACTCGAACCGAGCGTGTGATCCCACCAATGGATTGCTCTCCGGACGAGGAATCCATTGGTGGGGTCACACGTTCGGTTCGAGTCCTGTTTGGCGACTCTGGAGCTCAAAACGCGTCTAGAGTTTTGGCCGCCTCCGCCAGTTTCTGGCCCACTGTGCGCCCCACGGATGCAAAGGACAGAGCGCCGAGCGGCACAGGTGAGGCACTTCGACTGCGAACTTGAACCTCGGCCCCATCTCAGTGGGAGTAACCACAAAGCGCGAAGACTGCGCTGCTTTGAACGTCCCGCGGCGAGTTGGAAACCCGTTTCGAAAAATTTGCAGTGCAGAATCGCATGGATGCGTCCGACCATTCAAGTCTGTTTATATCAGCTTCTTTTCCCCGCCACGAAACGCTGCGGTGCGGAGCGTGCTGAGCGGATGCAGCGAGGCTACTCCACCGGGTATGAGAAACTTAGCCTGCGGAGAGGCAGGGGAAGGGGAGGGGGAATCGTACTAGCGGTAGCGGCACGACGACGAGACGGGGGCGGTCAAGGTCGTAACTGGAACCGAAGGAAACACGAATCGAATCGTACGTGGATAAGACAGAAGCCTCGCCAATGCAATCGATCCAGACCGCATTCCGTTCGTCGCTTGGCCGGAACGTCCTCAACGGCTGTGCTCGCTCCCTACATTCCACAAATTTCCTCAACATGCCTGTCAAAGTGAGTACTTCGCGTGCACCAGGTTAAGGGAAATGCAGTCGGTAGTCGGCGACTGGAGGTGTATTGATTTTTATCTCTGCCGAACCGGCGTGGCATGATATGACTTGCATGATCAGGGTTCAGGCGTTCTAGGAGATGTCCTTTTGCTCAAGGCCTAGTTGATCAAAGTCTGCGTCATCTGTCGAATGACATTGTATTTTCTGTGCTTGAAAGCTGTAAGATCCTCTTTTCCCTGAATATCTGTGTTTTCTCTCAACACTCTCCTTGTTTTGTGCAGGTTGGAGATAAGGTGCCCAGCGTTGATCTGTATGAGAAGTCGCCTGCCAACAAAGTGAACTTCGCATCGCTTTGTGATGGAAAGAAGGTGGTCGTCTTTGGTGTACCTGGTGCCTTCACCCCAGGATGCTCAAAGGTAATTACAAAAGGGATGAAATAAATTACCTATATTTATTTATTTTCTCTTTTTGATTATTTATTGTCATTTTTCTTTCAGACTCATCTCCCAGGTTATATTGCTGATGCTGACAAACTGAAATCTCAGGGTGTGAGTGAAATTGTTTGCATTTCTGTAAACGATGCATTTGTCATGGATGCTTGGGCCCAAGCTCACAAAACTGAAGGCAAAGTGAGTGTTTTGCCACCTCTGTATAGACAGTTTGGAAAGTCATCCTCTAAATTTGGCGTACTCATTATTGTGTCATGTCCTCGCTTTTCAGGTGCGCATGTTAGCTGATCCAAGTGCCCAGTTGACCAAAGAGTTAGGGCTGGAACAAGATCTCCCTCCTCTTGGTGGTATCAGATCCAAGAGATTTTCGATGGTGGTGGAGTCAGGTGTTGTAAAATCTTTGAATGTGGAGCCTGATGGCACTGGTTTGTCATGCTCCCTGGCCAGCAAGCTCTCCGTTTAAACAACAGTTAAGGTTCTTTTCAACATTCTCACGTTTGATTTTAAATGAAACAGAGTTCAGAATTAAAACAATTCCTTTATTCTGTCACTTAGGCATGTACACCAGTGTTAAATAAATTTGAAATAGACCAAAAAGCCTACAAGTTTTATTTTATTTTATCACCCTCAAGAAAAATCAATGTTGCTTACAAGTAACTTCATTTTGACTTGAACTAGTTAAATTGAATAAGTTAAAAATAAGTTAATGGTACAGGCAAAAATTTTAAATACATAATCAGTCTTGCTTTGGGGCTTTCACACTTAGCCTCATCCATATGAATGAATTTTTAGTCTCTGGAGGATTTGTAGGAGGATAGGGAGTGTTACGGGCTTTATAATAGTCTGATGGGGCATGCATAACAAATTCCATACATTCTAATTTTCTGGGGATGTCTTCATCAGGTCCTATAACAAAGGGTGAACAGTGAAATTAAGCATGTAAAGGCAAATATGTGAATCATGAGTATACAACTCCCTTACCTATAACATAAGTTGCAGGATCAAAGCCTTCCTCCGGCTCAGGGCTTGCGGTGGTTGGAAGCAGCCACGTAATTACAGCACTTTTCTCGCAATATTGATCAGTGAGAAGACCTCTTATTTGAGCATAAAAGATGCCACCTTCAATATCTTGTAAGGAAACAATGTCACCAACTTGAATGTAGCTTCCCTAAAAGATAAGAAGTTGACAAGGTAATCAGAATGCAACAGAAACAGCCCCTACTTCAGTATAAGAGTTAACAAGTTAGTAGTACCTTATGAAACACATAATTACTGGTGACGGGAGACGTAACAGCGCCTGGGGCCTTCTGAGGCTGCCAAATAGAAGCAAATAATTAATGCAGAGCACTGCTGTATCTTGAGAAGAAAAGGAATCGTTAAGGGACATCTTAACTTACAGTTTTCTTGAAGATGATCCTGCGACCTTTCCCTTTGGGTGTGTATGGTTTGGGTAGGGCGAAGGGGTTCAGTCTTGTTTTGTAGTTTCTTGTGGTGCGGGTACTTTTCCTTGCACTCTTAGGATCATTGTCTGAAGCAGTCTTATTGTTTGAAGACTGGTCACGACAGGATCTCAGTTTGTTGTTTCGCTGCTGTTCCACACATTCATTACAGATAAAACCATCTTCTGTTTTTCTCCACATAAAAGAATCTGTCTTCTCGCATTGAAAGCATTTTGGTTTCAGCCCAAACGGCATGTTTGAAGCTTCAAATTAGACAAGCTGCACTGAAATTTGTCACTGATTCATAAGCACACACAACCTATTCCCAAATTAAAATACACTAAAATATCTTCTGTGATGATGAAATCAACATCACAGGAATTTATCTCATAGATTCAAAGCATGATCGCATATTGGTAAAAGAAACCACACTCCCACACATTCCGATAAAATGTTAAAAAGGCTTCTACAGGGATAAATAAACCCCTGATTTCACCCGTTGTCAAAGATCCCATGCAGTGCGCATAACGGTAAATCGCTTATTTGCAGGTAGGCGAACGAAACCTCGAGTCCTTTGTTTTTGTTTTTGTCTGCTCGTCGTAGGAGGCAGCAGCAGGAGACAAGACGTGCTGTAGCGAACTTCTTCTTTGAAGATCAATCACTCAGTCTTCTCTTCATTTGTGCCGAGCACTGTAAGTTGTCGCAATCATTTTATCTGTCTTGCTCATCGAGGTAACTCCGTTGACAGGCCTTCGTACCCTTTACCTTTCACATCGCGACGCGCCCGTCGCCCGTGTCTTCTGCGCAATCGATTCGCTTGGTTTCCTTTTAACAGTTTCGCGTAGCGTTTCTCCTGTTACTGCCACAGTGAATCTCACTGCCTACAACTTTGACTTTTAATAGTCTTTGAGTGTTGATCGCTTGCGTGACCCGGAGTGACCCGTAACAGCTCATGAGCTCATGATCTACGTCCATGACATCATCATTACTCTTGGTCTTGTTCTTTTGTCTTCCAGAACTGTAATCATGCCGATCCCCAGGGCTAAAGCAGCTGAAGCTGTCGATGACATTAGTGTGGATGAGGTTAAGAAAGAAGCCAAGGGCTTCATTGACAAAATCATTAAAGATGTTGGTAAAACATCGGCCACTCAGCAAATTGCAATTGGCACTGCGTCAGGCTGGTAGGTTTTAGAATTTCAATTACTTTGTTTCTCATTCTAGATATTCAATCTATTAACTGAAACTTTTGTTCCAGGTGTACTGGTTATCTTGCCATGAAAGTTGGAAAGGTTGCCGCTGTTGCTGCGGGGGGTGGTATTTTACTTCTTCAGTTGGCCGCACACAAAGGCTACATTAACATCAATTGGGACAAATTATGCCGTCAAGTTGACAAAGCTACTGATAAAATTGAGAAGGAAGCCACAGGCAAGGGTCCAGGATTCATGGATAAGGTATTCTACGTTTTACACCTTTCGTAATTTTTATTTCAAAATGTAGAGCCTGGTAACTTCCATAACTTTTCGAACAGCCCAGAACTTGACTGGGTTTTGACCCATAGGTTGAATCTTGACTATACTTTACATTTGTCTCTATAGGTAAAGGAGTATGCCGCCAAGAATTCTTACCTGGCTGCTGGCTTTGCTGGGGGCTTTCTCATTGGTGTGGCTACATCGTAACATGTATGTTTAAATGTGATGCTCTACCTCACCAAGTGATGGCCTCTAGTTATTTCTAGTTACTTAGGTAAGAGCTTTAGGGGTGCTCTCTTCTCAATACTAATTTTTGTGTCTGCAATATCTGTTGCTTTGGGTGATGGACATGAACAGTAGCTGACTAGTATTGAAAGGATGGAAAATTTCCTTGGTGAATATTGCTGCAGCCAAAGCCATAACTTTGTTTGAAGATAATTAAATTATTATTGTATTTATTACATAATTTGGGATCATGAGAGAATCTGTCCGATCCTGATATGATTCCACAAGATTCAACCTTAGCTTCATAGTGAATAGGGACCATTTGCTGATGTTTTTGTAACCTTATTATAATGTGCTTCATGTGGCAAAAATTTCATGTGTTTCAGATGGAGAGATTTGTTGACCGCAAACTGGACAAGGCAGAAGATGCTCTTCGTAACAACAAGCGCAAAGCCCGTCGCTGGTGGAATTCATTGTCAAAGGAGGATGGATCTTTTGAAATTACTAAGTCCCACATATTCCATACTGGCTTTTTCTTGGGCCTTGCTATCTCTCTTGTGATTCACCGTCGCTAGAAGTCCATGTTCGTGTAACAACTCACAGCACAGGAGAGTTAGCTGTCTCTTGTCTCTTTCATGGTGATAAGGATATTTTGTCTCAGTATTTTCTTTAAGTATTTATCAAAATCAACCCTATGTTTTTATTTAATACTTAAGTCTTAGCTGGGAGAGAATAATGTTTTTGGGGCATTGTGAGCTCAACAAAGACTTGATTTTCTTTCTTTCTCTTGTGTGAATACATGTTATCTTGATCAGTTAAGAAAGACCTCAATACATCCTAATGTGCTATTCCAATTATGACATAAATAAGTTAGTTATTTTTTTTGTGTTAAGTATATACTGTTTTCAGTTTCCCCAAAAGCTGACATCCTTGTGACATCTAATTCATGCTATTGTTAGTTAACAATGCATTCAATTCTTCCCATTTCCTCTATGCCTTGTTAATATGCTGCACTTTTTAATTTTTACACAATGTTTAGAATCTCTTCTGCCTTTGTTTTATTATTTTGTGGTTTGACTGTTTCAATTTTCTTTGGCTTGCATTTTTATTTACTGTCATATCAATGGACCAACATTTAATATAGCTGTAAATCATTTACCAACTGTATATAATTTTTTTCTCACCACCACTTGAGGTGCAAACATGGAAGTTTATTCTAGATCCACCTTTACTTTTAAATGTCAACAATGCTGTTTATTTTGCCTAGTCTTTTATGTTGTAGTTTTTTTTTCTAAGAATAAAATAAGCAAACCCGATGAGGTGTTTGGTCCTTATTTGGCCCACCCACATTTCCTCATCATGATCCTCTCCAGAAAAGAGACTGTGTCTCACCACACCCGAGACGGTTTAGAGAGGACGCATTAACTGCTGCCGACGGGATGCGGCACCGGGGGCCAAACACGATGTCCCGATAAGACCAAGCGAGAAAGAGAGAGAGGCATGATAAAAGCAGCCGAGCGGGCTGAGAGGGAGAGGGAGCGTCAACTTGACCGCCAAACAAGGCAAGGCCGAGGGAGGGCAGTGGCGCGAGTGCGAGATTGGGCAAGAGAGAGAGAGTGAGTGAGAGAGAGAGCGCGTCGCCCGGGGCAGCAGCAGCAGCCGGGTCCTCCTTCGCGTCCTCCCTCGCATTCTGTCCCAACCGGTCGAGCCGCACGGACGCCGAGTCGAGCACCATGGCGACATCATTCGACTTCTCCGGCAAGCGCGTCGTCGTCACTGGCGCCGGCAGGGGTGAGTAAAACGTGCTGGTGTTTGAAGCCGCGGCCCAAGGGGCAAGGCCCACGCACGCGTGGCACCGCGTCTAAACCGTCTAAACGCAGCATCCCCGCATCGCAGGCATCGGGCGCGACCTTGTGATCGCCCTGGTGGCGGCCAAGGCGCAGGTGGTGGCCGTGTCCCGCACCCAGGCGCACCTGGACTCGCTCGCCGCCCAGCTGGGCGCGACCGCCAAGGCCTCCCTGCAGACCGTCGCCGTGGACCTGGGCGACTGGGACGCCACGCGCGCCGCCCTCGCCAACCTGGGCCCCGTCGACGGGCTGGTCAACAACGCCGGCGTCGCCTGCCTCGAGAACTTCCTGGAGATGACTAAGGAGGGCCTTAACACGTAAGGGCTTGGCGTTCTGGCGGGGAAGTCCCAAGCGCTTTGTTACTCGGGGGAAGTCGCTCCACGGGTTCCCGCCTTTGACGCAACTCCTGTTCTGCAGCACCCTCGACGTGAACCTGTCCGGCGTCCTCAACGTCAGCCAGCTCGTCGCCCAGGGCATGGTGAAGAGAGGCAAGGGGGGAAGCATCGTCAACGTCTCCTCGCAGGCTTCCATGGTACGCACCGCACGTCTCAATCGATGCGATTCGGGAAGCCGTCACTCATCAATCGCTTTCTCCTTTTCCTTTTCTCTTGACGTTTGTTGCCTGTTGTTGCAGGCGGCCCTCGCTAGCCACACGGCCTACGCCGCCTCCAAGGCCGGCGTGGATATGGCGTCGCGCGTCATGGCCCTGGAGCTCGGCAAGCACAACATCCGCGTCAACTGCGTCAACCCCACCGTGGTGCTCACCGACATGAGCATGCACTGGCTGGACCCCGTCAAGGGTGGCCCCATGATGTCCAAGATCCCCCTCGGCCGATTCGCCGGTCGGTACAGTGCAGAGTACAGTAGTCGACCATTAGCATTCCTGCTGTCGGTCTCTGATAAAAGGCTTTACTGTTCATTTGTTTTCCCCCTCTCGTGTTTCCAGAAGTCAAGGAGGTGGTGGATGCTATCCTGTTCCTCCTTAGCGACAACGCTGCCATGATAAACGCTGTGACCCTCCCTGTGGATGGAGGATTCCTCTCAACGTAATGAGTAAGGTTGTGGGTGTGTAAATTTAATAATAAAATAAAGATGAGAAGACAAAATTCTCTGATCTCTCTAAGGGAGGGGAAATAATGTATACTCAATTTAACTAGTTACAATAGTAACTTCAAGAACATTTATTTAATTTTTACTTGCTTAACATTTTTCTAATTCCAAACGCCTAAAGCACATTTAATGTGCTTGGAATCACTGGTTTACAACAGAATGCATTTCTATCACAGCATGGATTGTACTGAGTACATTTTGTGGAATAACATGACACAAGTGATTAACAAGCATCTGGCAACAGAAATAAATTGAATTGGTATGGCATCATTTACAACAGTTAATAATCTCTATAACAGCAAAATTATAAAATTCGCAAATTCACAAATTTAACTTTGTTACAAAATAAATAGTATAATTCATATAAAGCTATTTTGATTCATCTGATACTAATCTTTGCTAATGGATTACAGACCTTACATTTCTATTTTAAAATATTAGGTTCCATTTCTTTGTTTACAATCTCAAATGGTTCAAGGTAACCTTCGTAAAATATGTGGAATGTTTTCGTTGAGGAAACCATAGCAGGTCAAAGTATTACAAATAATCAAGTTCCATCTTTAAAACAAAAACAGATAACAAACATGTCCTAAGTTCAAGGAATCATTAAATTCAATATAAAAAGGAAAAAATTGTCCAAGGTTTTCTGAGCTCTGATGGGAAAACACAATACCACACTACCACCTTGACAATAAGGTCAATTACAAAGAACTGTACTTTGCAGATTTTCTGTTCTCATCTAGTACAACACAAACACAGCCCTAAGACACATCATTCCACAGCAGTAACTTTGATAAAACTAGACACATAGTACATAAGGGAAAGCTTTCAGAAGAACTATACTTATTAACCAACAAATAAGTACTTTGGGCTAGAATAGATACTAAATTTAATTTACATGGTGCCTCAAAAAAATTTGTTACACATTGATAATACTGTAATGCTTGACTGAATCTGCAATACATATTCTTTATCAAATAACCAAGACCTCAATTGTGAGGCCAAGAAACAATGAACCCAACAGAGAAAGTCTTGTAAGTTGCTAAACTGAAATTTGTCACTAGATATTTGCCATGCTGTTTTCACTGAAAAACAACAAAAACCCTAAACTTGCAAGACTCTTTAAGATTGTTATTCTAAATCCTCAAATTAAAACCAAGAAATTTAAGGTAACATCCCAAGTTATTGTGCTGCCCACAGAGTTAGCAAATATTACTGCATATAAATAAAATAATAACTTAAATTTTCTTAAGCATTGGTATATTAAGTACTTCAGGCACTTCAATATCTTCTAGTCGAATGTTAGATGGGTTGAATGGGAATCGAACAGGGAAACTTTGCTTGGAGTCCATAAGCAATGTGACCTGCAAAACAAAGCACAGTGAGGAAAAGCACTTTTTGGAGGAACACTGAAGACAATAATGACATTTCCTGTACTAAACTAATCAAAAGGAATTGCAAATTTACAAACCTGCTGCTCTCCGGCAAATTGATTTGATTGAGCTTCAGCCCTTTCCTGCAATGTAGCTTGGATTTTGTGGATAAAGCTAATTGGTACTTTTTCTTCATAGTCATCAGCAGGAGTGTACAAATTCAATAACTTAATTATCTGTAAAATAAATAGCATCAGGTATAATGGGAACATTGCATGAGTAGTATGAAAGAGTTAACATCTATTTATTTATAGGAAAGACAAACCTGATGAATAGTTAGCCTATCACACATGTCGCTCACACTCTGCACATCTTCATCACTCTTCCTAGCTTGAAGCAGCTGTGCTGCTTGGATTATTGGAGCCAGTGTATCAATAATACTAGGGTCTTGCAGCTTGTGGTCTCGTGTCCATTGCTCTAAGTGAGACAGATTGTAGCGAATCTGCATGCCCTTTGACCAGTGACATAAGTCTTTCCGAAGCAGTAGGTTGTTGAGAGATGATGCACAAATGAAGTAAAACAGTTGGCGGAAGACCTGCGGATGCATCAAGATAACACAATTCATATCAATCGCCACAGGGAGAAATGAAAGCGGTTGACAGTCTATTGGTACCAGTGAATGAGTCACATCATACCTGAGCGATAACTTCAGGGTCAACTCCATGGTATCCTAGAGTTCGGTAGAAACTAGTCAACTCTGCAAGCATGCCATCCAAAGCTTGTTGGATTCCTGGCTTGACATCGGTATCAGACATAAGGCGGCCTCTGCGCCCTCCACCACCTCCAGTTCGCCCCAAGAGCCCGGTGATAGCTTCATTCTCCAAAATGGCAGGCACAACATATGGCTGGATTCTCTCCTCCAGAATTGAGATAAGAGCCTGAGTAAAGAAAGAAGAATTGTTAACTTAAAAAGGAACCAGATTAAATTTGACCTCAGAAACGCAGAAAGACAATGAAAATAAGGTTTATAGATTGTAAAATGTAAATTTGACAATTATACATACCTGGTAGACCCAGACAGCAACATCACTCAGCACTTGTCTGTACTCAGCAAGATCAAAGTTCCGCAAGCATTGTTCATTTTGCTTGGGTGTATTTTCTTCTTGGAAACTTTTATCACCACTATACTGTTTCATGTTGTGCAAAAGCCTTATTTGGAATGAGATAATAAATATTAGTTTCAAAAAAGATATTTCAAGAGAAAGTATACAATAAGCAAGTACACCTTTACCTTAAAGCATTGGAGAGCCAAAGAACAATAGTGTCAAGGTCTTCATATTTCTTTTTGATTAGTTTTTTCATGGTATTGATTATGCCAGTTAAAAGGGATCGCACTTTCTCATCGTCGTTGATGTAGTCAGTGTGACGTATACACATCATAAGAATATAAGCAGGTAAACCAGGCAGGAGAGTCACAGCTGTTTTGGGTTTCAAATCTGGAAGGGAAAAGAACAGCATGGCAAACATTCCAAAAACTGAAGAATAGTGAAAATGAAGCAAGTGTCTTACCGTTGATAAGCCTTGTTATGATCACATGCTCATCTTCTTTGGCATACTCGAACATTCCAAGATACTCTCTGTCTCTCTTGCGTACTATGGGAAGCGTTGCCTGTTCATGAGTCTTCTTGGATTGAGCATCTACAGTTGACCTTGGAGCCGGCTGTGGTGGCTGATTTGTGCGGTTTTTCACAGCAGGTGCATTGATATCTCTGCTACTAATGACGCCACCAGTCATGGGCAAGGTATCAGATCCTAGATTTAAAAAAAATAATAGTTATTACACTGAACTAAGAAGAAATGTCCAGTCATATGCCTGATGACAAAATAATCAAATTTTTTACCAGTTAGAGATTTGATCTTTGCATTCAATGCCTTGATTTGTGCTTTCAACTTCTGATTTTGCTCCGCGAGCGCATCATATTTTTCTCGCAATTGCTATAATCAACATAAGGAATCATCTTAATTATAAAATAAACAGCAAAATTGTGATTGAATTTGTAAAATGAACTGTACCAAATTGTTTGCAGTTAGTTTCTCCACTTCATACTGAAGATAAGCCTGAGTAGAACCTGCAGCAGCTTGGGCACCTTCTGCTAAGGTTTCAGTGAACAAACTTTGAAGTTTTTCATTATCTTCCAAAACTCGTTGCATTTCTGAAATCATCTCTTCACGTTCAGCTCTTGAATGTTCCTTCTGTGCTTGCAGCTCATCTTCTAGTTGCCTGTAGAGCGCCAAGTGATGTGTTGAAAAGCATTAAACCAACAACAAAGGTGACAAAGTAGGGACAACAATTTACCTGTTTATTTTCTTTTGAGCTTCAAATGCCAGAACCAGCTCACCATCTTCGTTCATAATGTCTACATCTTTACCATAACTTGACTGAGCAATATTTTTCATTCCACTTGTCTTGTCAGAGAGGACTGTATGAAGTTGGATACACTCTTCTCTGCGCCTCTCAAGCTCCAATTCAAGTGCTTGGAATTGACCTGAGGGTTTCAAAAGAGAGTCAATATGTGCAAGTATTTAAAACTGCAAGCGGGGGTAGGAAAGGAGGACAGGTCTTAAGCACATAACAAAACAAAAGATGCTTCATGCTTCACTATGAAATTAAAACCTTGGAGAAAAGAAAGAAATAGATCAAAATTTTAAAGATAGAAAATTGTAAACACAGCATAGCAGTTGTGCCACTAGAATATTTCGCACAGTAATATCAGCATAACTTGGTAACTTGCATTATCTACAGAGATCAGAAATCATATAGAAATGGATTTTAACAGCATCAGAAAGCAAAGAGATGATGAGACAGTAAAAAATGCAAGATTGAGCCTAAGTTTGTGCTATCAGGAAAAAACCAAGCATACAGCCATTCGAACTTAAGTTGTTGATTCAACTATGCTCACTGCAATTTTGCACACCAGTTCAAAAGAGAAAAGAGTTAAATTAGTGTTTTCTGTTAGATGTGCTTAATACATCAGTACCTCAAAGATCGAATGGGTGGGAGGGAAAAAATAAAAGGTAGATACTAACTAAGTAGCTGTTGGGCACCTGTATTCCCCTTTGCAGAGGCCTGGCGCAGTTCAGCTAAATTGCTCTTCAGCTTCTGATTCTCCATTTCTAATTCCTGAACCTAAGTGGAAATCAGTATTATAATATTAGCAACAAAAAACATTTCACACAGAGATGCCTTAAGTAAAAATTAAGAAGATAAATACCCGGAAGGCTTCTTGGGTGCGCACAGTGGTTTCACCCAAGTTTGTAAGGTCCTTATCCAAAGCTTCCAGGCGCCTACTTAGGCGTTCTCGTTCTGTAGTTACTCGATCAAGCTTAGCTTGCATTTGAAGAACAAGACCAACCTCCTTCTACACAAACAAAAGTTACATTTTGGAAACAGATAACGGAAAATCAAACAACAGACTATTTTGATCAAAACACAGATTTAGACTTACACCATGACCAGGTGACATAGGGCCTGACAATGCAGGGTTAGCCTCAGGACTATCACTCTTTGTTTGGTGCTGCCAATCAATACTTTCAACAGCCAGGTGGCCAGCAGAGGGGGAAGTATTTGATCTCACAGAACCGTATCCATGATCCTAAAATCAGAAAAAGAGTTAGCAGATACCACACAAAAGGGGGGCAGCCCAAAAAGCATAGAAGGGTGGAGACTTACAGCACTATCATCTGGGACTTCACTATTAACACTAAGAACATCATCTTGGAAACTCATAGAACTAGTATTTGATGATGTCCTTTGATGTTTATTCTTCCTCAGAGTAGCTGGTATGTTGCCACCCTCACGATGTATTCTGATAACAAAAGACAAGAAACCATTGTACGAACTGATTTTCCAAACTGACCAAATAGGCAAAGAAAAATCCAAAGTTGTTATCCTACCTGGCCAATTCATGCTCCATTTGATCTGATCTTTGCTCTAAAGCATGGAAGTCCCGCAGGAGTTTTTGATAAGCTGATCTGTCCTGATCCTGTTCTCTAATCAAGACTTGCTTTTCTTGTTCAAGTCGAGCTTTCAATATTTCTGGAAGGGGTGTAGAATAAAATTAACAAAAGCAAAGATTTTATGAGCTACATGCTTACCTATGTTAATTATTCCACTTTACCTTCTGCATTCAGCTGATTTAGCTTGATCTGTTCATTTGCTGCATCTAATCTTTCTTTAAGGTGCTGATTATCAGCTTCCATTTTTTGTTTGAATTGTTTACTTTCTGTCTTCCATCTCTCTTCCTCACTGATTAGATCCATCTTTTCATCCCTTTCCTTTTGTAGGTCTAATTGCAGCTTTTCAAGTTCACTGTCCTTCAGCTTCAAGGCTTGATTAGCTCGCTTTAATTCTGCTTCTAAACCTTTGTAAACATCTAGTCGCTGGCGCAACTCATTAGCTTCATTGTTCACAGACTTCAATGAGGTGTTTTCTTTCACCTAAAAATAAAATTGGAGGTGGTGAGAGCAGAGCTTCACTTACATAGAGGAATTACCAAGCAAATACAAAGTTTCTTTTACCAATTCTCCTATTTTCTGCTGCAAGGAGATAATCTTGTTTTCAAGACCCTTGTTAAGTTTCTTAACATGTTCCACTGACCGAGCTTCCCTCTTCATTGTCTTGAAGTGACGCTTGGCTAGGAACCGACGCACAGCTGATTGTGCTACAATAACTCTCTTGCGATTCCTCAAATACTGCTTGCGGCAAAGCCAACGCCGGGCAGCAGTTTGAATGACAATGGCCTAGGAATAAGTAGGAAAAGTCGTTTTTTAGAACTTTCTCAAAAAAGAGAGATATTAAACCATTTAGAGTATTACTTACAGCATGGTTGAAGCGCATAGCCAAGTATCTGCGTCTTGCCAAAAGCCCACGCCCATACCTTTGAATTCCTAGTATAGAGCGCCTCAGAACCAAATACTGCTTTCGCTTAACCCAACCTCGTACATAACGCTGGATGACAGTGGCAGCATGTTCTCGACGTATGTGATAAACACGTCTTTAAAACGGACGAAAAAACATTAAATATAAGTACTAGGGACACTTTCAGTTTACATATAGTGTGGATACCAAAAAATTACCTTCTGGCAATAAATCCTCGCACCCATCTCTGAATGGTGGATGCAGCTTTTCTCGTCCTCAGATACCTCTTGCGAGCAATGAATCCTCGTACTTGAGCTTGCATTTTAATGCAACACATGCGGAGGCGATCAGCACGAAGTTTCTCCATGTATGCAACTTGTCCTGCTCGGAAGAATAGTTTTGTTCTACCAAATTTATACTTATCTTCATCCTGTGGGAAAGCAAAAAGTAAGAACATTTACTGTTTCAGGTTCTTTCTCTCTTCATACCACAGGTTTTCTAAAATTTCAGATAATACCTTGACCAAATTTTTAAGAATTCTTCCACAGGTTGCACGCAAATTGTCATAATCGATATCTTTGTACTTGCAAAGAACTCGATAACGATGGAAGAAATCACCATAGGTCCACCTGCAAAACAAAATAAGATTTTCTTTAAAAACAAAAAACACAGCTATGACAAGCAAACCACATTTGAAACAAGGTGTCACCTAGAGGGGAATCCAGCAGCACTGATCCTGATTGTTTCAAGAACACCACAAGCTCTGAGTTGTTGAACAGCTCGCACTGCATTGTACTCAAAGGGCTTTTTGCTGTCATTTGGCTTTATGCAACGAATGTAGTGGGGAGTTGTTGCATTGAGTGTTGACATGAGCATGTTGAGAGAGTCCCTAAACTGAGAGCCAACCTACACAAGAAAGAAATTTTTTTTAGTGAAAAGCAATTGGTATTACAGGGCTTGGCAGGTTCAGAAAACTGCAACTAAGAGTAAACTTACGGTTTTCTTATTCTGTTTAGACTGAGACTGGGGTTGTTGAGAAGATGGCCCGACCTTAACTCGTGCTGCAGGGACTACTAGGCGCCGAGACTCATCAGCAAAAAGTTTCTGCACCAAATTATTCTACAGAAAGAAAAAAACAGTTATAAGTTCAAGTCGTTCCGTGATACTTGCAACGGTTAAGCAGGAAACAAACATGTTACCTTTCCTCCACGCAGAACTGTTATCTGCTCTTCCATGACAGTATCCCTATTTTTCTCTAAAAACCCTCCCACCTCATATTGCACATTGTCTGCAAAATGTTTGATAACAAAGGCAGAGGTTCCAAACCGGGGTTTGGAAAAATGCTTCCATTTTGTGCACTGACTGTAGAGCTTTTCAGCCCATGAAGAATCCTTCCCTTTAGGCACTCGACATTCCTCATCCAAGAGATCTAATATACCTAAACGTGTCTCAATGAGATCAATACATGGCTGATTGTCATAAAAATCAATAAATTTCCACTCTATTTCTTCTTTTAAATATTCTTCTTGTTCTAATTTAAATACATGCTGGTTAAATTGTTGCTGTAATTTTTCATTGGCATAATTGATGCAGAACTGTTCAAAGCTATTGATTTCAAACGTTTCAAATCCGTATATATCCAAAACACCAATAAACTTTTGCTTTGTGTTAGTGCCACTTTCTAGGGCTTTATTGACTACTGCAACAATCCAATTGAAGAGCTCAGCATAGATGTGTTTTGCCAGGGCATCTTTAGCAGCTGTTGCCTGATACATCCCAAACAAGGGGAATAATTAAAATTCTACAGCACATAGTATAAAAAAGAACAAAAAATACTAGATACAGTGATGCATTACCTCTGTTACATTCATAGGGGTGTTGAGAACTTCCCTTACACTGACAATTCTACGTTGGCACAACCATGTACGTAGTTCATTCATATCAATTTCTAACAGCTCACAAAAAATAGCTAAATGACGATCCTTAGACTGAAAAAGAAGGTAAAGAAAAGCCACATTGGTACTAGAATTTAAGGAGCATACCACCACAAGAAATTCTAGTATGCGGGTAGGTTTAAGAGAAAGTCCTTACGCTGACTGTAGTGCCTTCGGCCTGCGGTGTTAGATGCACATTGCCGAGGTGAAGCACGGCTGCTAGAACACGCCACATGTCATTCTGCTCTTTGGGCCCAAAGCCCAGCAGAGTCAGTGCACTAACCATGTCCTGGAAACTCTTACTGTCATCAACACTATCTATTGTGGCAGCTTGGCCTCCATTTAAGTACACAAACTCATCAGGATGTGCTGAAATCAATAAGAAAGAATGATAGGAGCTCACATTCAGATGGAATGAATTTTTTAAAAATCACCTGTGATTGTACTTACCAAGTTTGAGCTCAGGATACTGATCCCTTGAAGCACAAAGTTGATAAAATACATGGTAGTTTCTTTCTTCAGGAGCTTGGAATACTACTCTTGATTTCTCTAGGAGGTATGTGCGCATACTGGCACCAACTATATGAAATGCTCTGTCAAAATGAATTTCTATATATTTTCCAAAACGCGAACTGTTGTCATTTCGTGTGGTTTTAGCATTTCCTATTGCCTCCATAATGGGACTTGATGCAAGCACCTTTTTCTCAACCTGTGTTTCAGTGGAGGAACCTCCAACAATGGCAAAGTAACGCATAGCATACTTAGCCGACACAGTTTTACCGGCTCCTGATTCTCCAGAGACAATGATACTTTGGTCCCTCGACTCCCTGCAAAGTTTGAGTCAGTCATCATAATGCGACAAAAGAGAAGGGCAAACAACAAAAACTAATTTTACAGTAATTACCTTTCCAATTTGGTATAAGCTTCTTCTGCTACTGCGAAAATATGCGGATCAAGGTCTCCCATAGACTGGCCGCGGTAGGTCCACACAGTATCACTTCCATAAATAGGCAGTTCAGAGTACGGATTGATTGCAACAAGTACGATACCTGGAATCAAAAAAGAGAATCAGACACAGGACCCTTTAAGTGTGTACGAAAAGGTCAAACTAAGAGTGTTATTTTCAATAGCCAAATAAATAAATAGACATGTATTCTAATGAAAAAGTGGGCCTCAGTTTGAGCGCCAGTACCGCCCCTGGAGCAACCTGTGAAGGTGGTGGACCGATGCAAGTCATCAAGTCTTTCTCCCTCCATCCCTCCAGCGCTTCAAGGAGGGGCCGCCCGCCGCCCGGCTGCTAGGCAACCCACGCACACCCACGCGCAACGGGACGGCCTACCCTCCCGGCGTTCCCGATCGCAGCACGGCCGGCACGGCATGGCGTTACGGGGTTGCGGCCTGGGCGGGCGTCAGTGCGTCGTGCGTTTGCGCCGCGCCCCGCCACAAATCCTCCCCAACTCGTTTAGCCCCGACCATACATTGACCCCGTTTCGCCCAGAGCCCTTCCGAGGGCAACCAGCCCAGCGCCGTACCGCGCTCCGGCGCCTTCCTATTCTGCGGACCAAATTTGTCCACCGTCGGCAACTAGGGAGAGGACGAATTAAATGGAGCAAAATGCCATGCCCCTGCCCCTGCCAGCGTAGCACGCGCGGCGTCGGGAATAAAAGCCGGCCCTTTTATTGCGGCATCGCCCATCGCCCACCCCAGCAGTCTGCAGTTGCCTGGGTTCGCATTGCAGGTTTAACCAGAACGAGGAAGACGGGCATTACAGGTAGAGGTCCGCCTGGGGCGTTCCGTGCCTCCACCCCACCCCACCCCGAGGGGCGCGGGCGCAGCAGGCATGGCGGCCCCAATCCGCCGTTGGAAGCCCCTGGTGGGGCGGGGAGTACGGGGGCACGGGTGCAAGTGCAGTGGGCCCGCGTGAGTCTTTGGAGCGCCGCTGGCGCCGCCGCCCGTTCCCAGTGCACGCACATTACGGGGGAAAACGCCGAATGAACGAAAAGTTGGTAAAATAAAACCGAGTGAGAAGGGCGATAAAAGAGAAGCGCGCCCAAGCGTCATGAAAAAACGTCGTAAAAGAGGTCGGCCAATACGATGGATGGGTACCATCACTGTACAGCCAGGCGAGCCTGGTGGTGTAGGGTCCAAGTGACACGGTCACCCGACCCGACCCGACTCGGTCGACGCTGGTCGACGCCCCCTGCCGTGCGCGCCAGCGCGCCAGCACGCCCCCCGGCACCGGGCCGCGCCTGCCGCGGCGCCGCGACGTCCTCGGCCAGGCCATGCAGGCTGCAGGCACGCTGCAAGCCATGCCGCGCACCGCGTCGATACCCCCGACCCGTCGGTCCGCGCTGGCTGGTACACTCGCGGCACCACGCGCCCGCCAAACTTTAGTTGTTGTTGTTTCCGACCATACTCACCGCAGTACGTGTAGATGGCATTGTGGCGACAGAAGCGAACTTGCAGGTTATGCAACACGGCCGGCTCGTGGAGGTAAGACAGCGAGGTGAGATCGTTTTCGCCCACCAAGATGTCAGGGTTGCGCAGCGGGGGCAGTTCCTTGTCTGGACCCAGGGGCACCTCCAGCACCTGGAACAGCAGCGCCGCGTCAGACCGGGAGGGTGGCGCCGGTGGCGGTCCGGGGTTCGAGCCCCGGCGGCGGGGTCGGCGTCACCTACCTTGCCGCTGGCGTCCAGCCGCAGCTTGAGCTTGCCCGCGCCATCCTTGTAGTCCTCCTGGACCTCGGCGCCCTCCCACACACACTCCGGGTTGGGCACCCACACCCGGGCGCCCTGCAAGCAGAGAGAGGAACAGGCTCAGTTAGTCGGAGTGCACAGCAGACAGAGAGAGACAGACGGTGGCGGATCCGGCCCAAGGGAGGGTCAGTAGTCCCCCGCCCCCCGATCCGCGCCTGGAGAGAGAGCGGTGCATCGCATCTACCTGATCGCGACCACGTCATCGAGCGCCTCGCGCGGCCAGGCTTGGCCACGGCGCCACGGCCTGGCGTTGCAATCTCAACCGCCATCAAATTCATTGTCCCTTTTCCAGCGCTTATTCCTCTGGAAGGCGGTGGCGGTCGCGTCGTCGCGTCACAGTGGGTGACCGCGCTGCCGCGCCGGCAAGGCTGCAGCCCGTGTCCGAGAGTCGTCTTCGTCGCTCTGCCCCTCTCGCGCCCAGACGGGGCGCCCTGCGAGTGCGAGAGAGAGAGACAGAGCGACGACAATGACTCTCGGCATGGGTCTGTTGGCGCACCGAGGAGCCTATGGCGGAGCCAGGCCGTCTCCTGGCAGATACAGTCCACCGCGCCTTGCTACGCCTCGCCTTGCCTCGCTCGGCGTGCTGCCATGGTGCTGCTGCTGGCTGCCTCGGGCTGCCCACATGCAGCGAGATAAAGACCGAAGACGGCCAACAGCCAGCACACCGCCAGGCTACACCACCACAGATAGCAGGACGACAGGGACGGCAGGGACGTGGAGGAAACCGAACAAACCCGAGGACCGGCGTGCGCCATGAAATCAGAAGTGGTTGCCGCCACGGCCAAACCGCACAGTGGGCCAGAAGCCGGTGGAGGCGGCCAAAACTCTAGACGCGTTTTGAGCTCCAGAGTCGCTAATCGGGACTCGAACCGACCGTGTGACCCCACCAAGCGATCTGTGTCGGAGAAATCCTCTGGTTTGGGCTCACACGTTCGGTTCGAGTCCCATTGACGACTCTGGAGCTCAACGCGTCTAGAGTTTTGGCCGCCTCCACCGGCTTCTGGCCCACTGTGAACCACCACAGCGCACTGCAGGCTGATTCATTGGAAGACCCACTTGACGACTAGAGCAGCTCAGAGCTATGCAACCTGAACAGACTCGATTCGGTATTACGTCACCCATAAGTGCCGTGAGTGCGAGAGAAACAGACCAACGACTGCGGAGTCGCTCCGCAAGTCCCCATAGTGCGCCGATTCCGCCCTCCGGGGCCCTCCGGGGCCCTCCGGGGCCCTCCGGGGCCCTCCGGGGCCCTCCGGGGCCCTCCGGGGCCCTCCGGGGCCCTCCGGGGTCTGTGGCAGTGTGGGGGCTCGAGCACGACGCACGCGACGCGTCCGACCAGGTCCGACGGCAGGGAGGGCGCCGCGGCGCTGCCCAAGCGTCCTAGGCCCCCCAGGCCCCCCGAGGGGTCACGGAGGAAGCTCTCGCTGACCAGCGAGGCACGGCGAGCGCCGCCAACGATACGGTGTCCGTCCGGGGCGTCCGGGGGCGCACACAAAGCACCTGCCGAGTGAGAGGGAGGGAGGGAGGGGAGGGGGAAGCTGCACTGCACACCCGCCGCGGCTCCATTCCGAACAGAGCGCCCTGCCCTCGTCGACCCGTCGTCTCTCTCGCGGCCCTCCGGCCCATCCAGACGCCCCACGAGTGCGAGAGGGACAGACGACGCGGCCAGCCGGCCACGCGGCACGGTTCGGGATCAAACTGCAGCGTCATAGAGAGAGCCGCGGCGCATCCCATTCCCCGCCAAGCAGAGGCCAACAAAGGCCAGCCAGGCCCAGCCTGCTCCACTCCGCCGCTCCGGCCGCTTGCCGCGCTCGCCGCCCGGTCGCGGTGGGTGACTCACTTCACTTGTCGACGACCGGCGCGAGGCGAGAGGTGACGCACCGCGGCAAACCGTCGCCCACCGCGTGGACCCTCCGGAAGCTGCGAAGGCGCTTTCGTCGCCCTGTCTCTCTCGCACTCATGAGGCGCCGCGCGCAGGTGCGGGAGAGACAGCGCCGAAAACGACTCTCGGAATCAGTCAAGGGTCACGCAGAGTCACCAACCGCGCGGGCGGGGAGGGGAAGTGCCACCCCATCCACCTGACCGACGGGTCGGCGCGGCGACGCCCCTTTTCCCAGCATCTTCGGCCGCCGCCCCGCCCCGCCCCGCCAGTCCCGCGGGAACAGGGCCCAACTGGCACTTGTTGATCGCCAGCTCGGCCAGCGTGGGCATCCACGTGCGTGCGCGGCCAGACAGCGCGCACAGTGGGCTAAAACACCCTTTTAGGCGCTCAAAACCTGTATTTCAGCCATTTTTGATCGTATATGTCCCAAATTTGGTACAGACCCTCTTCTGGTCTTACTTTATGAGATTTTGAACAAGCGGCGGCAAGTATGACCTTATCTCAGCCGTGGTTCACCGAAAATTGATATAATATAATCGTATTTTTATGTTGTATATTTCTGAGTCTGCGGGAGCACTCTCTCTTTCTATTAGATCGATGCAAAACATATTGTAGGTTTTTTTAATGTTAATTTCAGACGGAACAATTGAAAACCGCTTAAAGGAGTCAAAAACATCACTAACATTATATGTGCGTTCCTAAAAACAATACTGTAAAAAATCATGGTTACAGATTTTATAACACTGTCAAACTTCAATTTCCTAAAATCAATTTTTAAATGGTATATCATTTAACTCTTCATGGAACAATAACATGGCAGGCTCATTTGCCTGGCCATCAAAGGGGCGAACTATAAGTGAAAGAACTGTGGCACACAGTTTTTAAGACTTGGCTTTAGGTTTTTATTTTCTGAAAGAGCTGATAACAGGATCAGATGAAACAAATGGCAGTCAAAAGATCTGCATTCCCATGAATTCTGTTGCACTTCCGGGTGGCCTTTTCTGGAGGGTTAGTTGTAGAGAAAGGGCGCGGGGCTAGGGAAAAGGAGCCAAATAGCACGTGAAAAGATAAGGGACGGTTGGGATGGAGACATGGATGCTTGGCTTCTTTCTTCGTTGGGACGCATTTTCTACCGAAAACGGGTAAATTGCCAATTTTATAATGTTTCACAGCCGCGTATTACTGTTTGCGCAAATATGCGCAGGTTTTCTCTGTTGATCCTTTCAATTGACACATAGGTTGATAATTTCCAGCGGTGGAACGTGCTTAATAGTGCGTAATTCTATAGTAGATCTCAAACCTTTGTTTTTAAAGTAAAAATTATACAAATAAAGCGATTATATGCACACCAACACCCTTCAAATTATCGCAGGAAGATAACTTGGGTATCATTTTGAACGGGAATACTTGTTCTTTAAAATGGAACCACCGGAGGTTCAAAATCTAGATGCAAAGCCGTCAAAATCGCTGTGGCGTTTTCTTGCATTTTTTACTAAAAATAACACATTATCACAAGTATTAACTTCGAAGGCCTGTAGTGGTCGTAGTTTTGGTCTGACAACAAAAATAAGACCAGATTTGAAATCTGCAGAAAATTTCCTATCTGATAGTGAAAACGTTTGCCTGTTTAAACGATTTTTAAGAAACAGGTTTTGAGCGCCTAAAAGGGTGTTTTAGCCCACTGTGGCGCGTGGCGTGCGTGCCGTGCGTGGTGCGTGGCGTGCGCCGTGTGAGCGGCCATCCCGCCCGTGCCACGCGCTTCGCGCGCGTCCATCAAATCAACCAGGTGCGATCCAGTGCGATCCGCTCGGCCTGGCCGCGGCGCGCTTCGTGCTCTGCGTGCTCTCGGTGTAGCACTGAGCCGGCGAAGCAGGCGCGAGGGGCGCCAACGACAAGAACCACCCCCGCGAGGAGGCGGTGCAATCGTCCTGGTCGCTGAGGTCCGCGCCGCAGAGCCGACCCCCGCGACGCACCGCGTCTGGCCGCTAATTCATTTGCATGTCACCGCGTCGCGTCGCGGCCGCGCTTATATAAAACGGGTTGCGTAAGCGGGTCGGGTTCAAGCCCCACACGTTCGCGGGGGGCGCTCCGCCACGCTCGTCGGTCCGCTGGAAAAAAGGTCCAAAGCCACAATAAGAGCGACGGGGATCGGGTTGGGCGGGCCGCGCGCCGGGCCGTGCGAGCGCCTAGCCTTAGAGACCTAGCCTGGGTGCCGCCGGGGTCCTTGTTGCGGGCCGCGGCGTGGCGGCGAGGCGAGAGGACTGGCCGCGTCGCCGTAGCGTTTCCCTCCAACGGAACCAAGTCGAGTCGCCAGTGCTGCCCTGCCCTGCCTGCTGCCATGCGTCTCGACGCCCCCGCGCTAACCCCCCTCCCCTACCCCGCCCCTCGCGCCCCCGCTAGACCAGATCCACGCAATCCACGACGCCTGTTCACCTGGCTGGGAGCGGCCTGGAGTGGCTCAGCCCTTCTCACACCCAACTAATAATTAAAACAGCACTCTCCCTGAGAGGCAGGCTGGGGTGTGCTTGATACCCATGATGGGAAACCACTTGGATTCACCACCAGCAGTCACAAACAGAACTCCAGTTACATAAAGCCGCAAAAAAAAATATTAAAAAAATAAATAAAGAGTCCACACTTGACGACAACACAGGGTACCTGTGCTTAAGAATCAATCGCTTCCGACCAGAATTCTGGTTTAACTGTAAATAAGAGTAAATAACAGACTTGCAAACAGGGTGGGGTCCAGGCAAGGAAACAAAAGAAGATTTGCAACATAGAAGAAATAAATTGATCTCCATAAGATTATTTGAGAAGAACACTGTCATAAAATGTATTCAGTTATAAAAATAGCTTATAATTTATACAAAGCATAATTTGAAAATTAATTCTGAATAACTAGACAGGTTTTGTAGTAGAAAGGAACATCATTTCATTGCAAAATATATTTAAACTTACTTGAATTCAAAAATATATATTTTAGAGTTCCAAGTGCTGTGGGTAAAATTACTTGGAAACAGGCATGTGAAAAATAAAACCACATCAAACAATGTGTGTCTAATAAGTTAGAGACGCAAACAGTGCGTAAAAACAACAATTACTGACGACTGTCGTCAGCAACAGAAAATTGACTCGGATTTTCGCCCGAAAGAGACGCTGAGAAAATTGACCTGGTTCAGAGGGCACAGTGAAGCAAATGTTGTCGCGCAGTTTTCGAATGAATGGAACCCATGACAGTGATGCCACTCGGGCCAAACCAAACGCAAATGGGCATTGATTAGCGCTGGGCGGAGAATCAACCAACGTTCCTCAAATTACAGCACAGTTCAAAACTCTGTCTCGACAGGTTATGACAACTGTCAAACCACTGTAGGTTAAGGTGCCTTACCTTGGTGTACAGTTCGATGGTAGTCATGCTGGCCACTAAAACACGGCTTTGCACAAATATGGAGAGGGAAACTTGAGACCGTTAGCACAACACGTACGCTTTGGACATTTCATTATCACCCCGCGGACGCGACGGCGGGTTGGTGTTGTGTGGGAGTCAAATAGAGTCGACCACCTTGCCAGCCAGTGGCAGCCAGTGGCACACAGGAACGAACAGCTGCCAACAGCTGCAGCTGCCAGCGGAGGCGGACCGAGCCAGACTGACCACCGCGGAGTGGCGGGGCGGAGCGGAGCTGTATTCATCCGCAGCAGGAAAGTAGCCCCAGCCGAGATGCGTAGCGCTTAGCGCGCGTAGCGTTCACACAGGGAAGTGCCTGCCTGGCCTGATGGATCATTCGCCTAAATTTTTTTGTAACACTCGCCTATGGAACCGTAGAAGTCGTTTATACACTAACCGACAATGACTGTCGATTTTCCGTTTCCCCGTGGCTATCAACGTGCTTTCACACTGGAATTTAGAGTGACTAGATCGAGAGGCACTATGCGGGCGCAGTCCATGCGCAGTATCGCAGTGACATGTCTGCTTCGACAAGGGTTACGTACGTGTGGGAAGTTTCATAAAAAGTTTCTACATGGCTCGACAAAAGAAGTATCTCTTCGTGTGCGTCGAAAACGAGACATTTATTTAACTCTCTACGAAATGGGTGTACTAAAACGTACTACCTCATGGGCTTCCCTAGTTCCCTTGCTGAATGCCACTTGGCCCTCCCAACTAAGCTCCCTTGTCCTCGCCCTTGTGTCCTGCTGGTCCTGGCAGGCCCTTGCTTTGCACTGACAAAATTCATTCCACCTAATCAAATGGACTTTGTTGAGGTGTGCGTGCCCATTTGTGATTATTTGGTTTACTTCTGTTGCTTATTTCCAACCAGGACAGGGTAAAAAGTACAATTCAAAGTCAATTTCAATAATTTTATTCTTGTTACATGAATCTAGGCAGTATTTTAAAAACATGCAATAACATGGTGCAAGAAAATGTTGAATATTTGAAAATTTCCTAATTTCATACTTTAACAACAGTATCAACATTTCTGTGCTTAACACATGAACTTCCTATTTTTATTGCACAAATGCATTAATTTGACTAACCAGTTAAAACTGGCACTCTCAAGTGAATGGGTCCGTTCACAAGTGAAATTCAATGTGCATGTGATCATGCTTCTCTTTCCACAATATCACTTGCACACATACTCGCATTGACACATTCATATCAATATTGTGCACCTAGGTCTAATCGAGTCATTAATTTGAACATCTATAACATGGGTGCAATAGTTAACGTTTTAAAAAAAATTATCAACATAAACATAAAATATTTAATCATTAAAGATAATTCAAAAAATTTCAAATCTACTTGGACTATAAATAGTTTCCACTAAAGTCTATGGACAAGAGTTGTAAAAATAGAAGAACCATACAGCTAGTCGTCTTAGGGAATAGTCTATTAGGCCTTTATAAATGATTTGAATTTGCTTGAACCATCTTGCAAATGAGTAATTTTTTTAAGGTTTTAGACTAAAGATTGGTTGGAGCATTGATTAAGAAGGCTTCGCATAGCTTTCATGGCGAAAATATGATGGTTTATTACTTTATGGAAGGAATAGATAACTCCTGGACTTCAGTAAAACAGTCAGAGGACAGCTGGCTCAATATTAATTGACACCTAAATCTGTCTGGTTATAATATACAAAAGAAAAACAGATACAAACTTCACATTCATAGACATTAGTCAACTACTAGAAACACTTGTGAAACTTAAATGGTAGAATCACATAACTAAGAAGACAGTACAGCTTGCAGCTAATACAGCCGGCAATGTGCTGCCAGACTCTAAACAAAATAATTGAAATATACTTATCTTTGTACACATTTTGCTTAGATATTAGTCCACAACATTTTCACAACATGATGTAGCCTCCATACACAATACAAAGCACCAAATTTTCAGCAGGGTTCCTTACATACCATTTTATGCTAATTCAGGAACACTTATGGAAGGAAATGCATCCATGCTAGACTACATCCTGTTATAGATTGGAGTGTTAAATTAAAACAATTCTTAGTCTATGAGAGCGATGTACAACATCTTTAACAGTATCTGCTTTAGAGACCAGATAAAACTCATTAAATAAGAAACACTGCAACTACTACTCTGACTGAACTTGATAGGACATTGTCATGTGGCCTTGGTCTCTAAAGCTGAGCTGTATTTAGCATTTTCACCTGATTCATACTTGATATTGAAAATCAAGATGCAGGTTCCACACTTACATGATATGTGATTGGATATTTTGGTGGTCACATTCTTTCTTATAACAATACTTACAACTAGCATGAAATAATCTTCAAAAAAAATATTTAAAAAAAGTAACAATGCTGACCGGTTTTCAAGAACAAAGGCAAGCTAAGTGGAAGCCTGTAGTTTACCAGACAGACGCACTACCATCTTGATCTGATACAGAGAAGTTTGGTTTCACCAGCTGCTTTGTCTGTTGAGACTCTCTCTACTTCACTGCACTCTTTAAGAGCATAATGATTGCTCATGCAGAAAAACGAAAGTGAGTTAAATGTGAGCAGTAAGAATTTAACACAATCAAAAGTATTGAAAGATTTAAAATAATAGTTTTAAGACAATTTAGGCAAGAGAAAAGAATACAAACAAAGCACTCAATACACATCCAGTCATGTCATGACAGTAGTGAGATATCTCAACAGATTACAACCAATCAGCTACATAGGTACTGTATATCACAGAAAAGAGCAGCTTGCAAGTATGATTGGCAATAAGAAAAACTGATCCGAATTTTAAATGTTGCAAGTACACAAACTAAAGTACATAGTTTTGAATCATTCAAGACAAATTACTGTTGTTAAATTCTTTAATCAGATGAAAAGGACAAACATAAGATGAGAAGTGAATCACAGGCACAATCTGCAGTGCAGAGCTCATTTCAAATTCGGGTCAGTAGGGTAAGAAAAGGTCCTATTTAATTAAAAATCTGAAATATTTTTCATTATTTTTCACAACCTATTTTTCCACGACTTTGAGTTCCATTACTCACTACTTACTCTAATATTTTCTAATTAGCTGTTTCATGATAGAATCAATAAGCTAAGTGTTACTGAGAGCTCTTCTGGCACCAGATTAAAAACGATAAATATCAATTTTGACAAGAGCATCCCTCTTTTACAATAAATCACAATCACAGTAACGGTGCATGGACTCTGGGTCCCAAGGAACAGCTTAACATTGATTCTCATACAGGGAAATCACTAATGATTCAAATAAATAAGTGACAACAAAATTGGACAGCAAGTCAAATCATCCAATACACTAAACTTGATTCGATGTTTTCTTGTTAAAATGTACAGGAATTGAACAGTCTTAAATCTACTAAAGAGGATTAAATAAGCATCATTTGCTGAGTCAACAAAAAGCAGAAGAGAAATTAGGCCATGTAGAAACAACTTAACAAAATGCGAGGAGTCATGAGGAGTACGGTGTCCAAGTCATTTTAGAAACATATTAGCAATGTCTTCAAAGATAGGAATGACAGAACCCAATCAAATTATGTGCATGAAGTTTAACACAGGCCAAACATGGCATTACCATAAACACTGACTACAACTGTAATTACAACAAAGGGACACACAAATCTGAAAAACAACACAAATTGTAAGAAGTGGGATGACAAAAAGACGGGAGTGAACTGACAAGTTGAGCTTTCTTGAAACTATTTTCACATTTACAAGCGTTATTCAGCATTGCAATGGAAAGAAGCAAATTTGAAAAACTTGCCCAAACTGGTCATGTGAATTAAAAGACAACACCTATATATTGCAGGCTTTGTGCAACTCACAATTTAACCAAATTGAATCCTATCTCTCATGCACATTGCAATTTCAGTCATATGCATGCAGCGCTTATTCACAGCCAAATTAAACTAAGAGGAGCAGGTGCCAAAAGCTCTGATTTAGACTTGAAAATGAAAGCCTTGCATTTCTTCCATGAAATGAGTCCTCTTGGGTACAACTTTCACTAAGATTTTTCTGGTTTTAAATATAATGTGTCAATCTGAAGGATACACAGGTAAGACATAATTAATTTCTACAGACTTACTTTGACTGTCACATTTTGCTTTTGTGTACTAAATTCAGTGCTTAAAAGCTTCTTGATTCAAAAATATATATATTTATATATAATCTATATAAAAAAGACTAAACATTGTAAACAATTAACAATACTATAAATACAAAATTTCAGCAACAATATTTGATGTATATCAACTATGAACAGGCACTTTATGAGAAGCAATTTTAATAGCTACATTTACATCATCTTTGGGAAAAATGTGTTTATGACTCCACTACGCAAATCTGCAAAATTTTATGAAGAGAAAGTTCATCACACATACATTAATACATTCGGGGAAACAAATTTAACAAGTTAACAATTCTAGTAGCATGACTTCCTCTGGAAGGGAAGCCATGAAAATATTGCACAAATACAAAACGAGAGGAAACAGTCAAAAACTATTGACTGAGTCATCAAAGTCCGTACATACAGCTATGTACATCTAATGATGCATAACGGCAGGAAATGGCAGGTTCACCAACTGCTTGGAGCTGAAGAGGAGAAGAGCAGCATCAGTTGGTCATCCATCACAGTTACGCAACCGCAGAATGCAGTCCCACATTACCTACCAACAAGCAGGTAGAAACAAAATTAGAGCCAATCTGACAACAGGAGCAGTGTGTAAGGATTGAGACTTCAATGTAAATTGTTTTACTTACTGATAGCAGGTGGAGTCAGATGAGCAGTGTTCACATATTCCAGTCCAGCCCACTGCAAAAATAGCAAAAAATGCTAACATGAAAAACAGAAGATAAGAATTTTTTAACATTAATAGTAAAGAAGACTCTGCACTACATAGAAATTGTTAAAGAATATTTTTTTGGCCAACTACTTGGTGCTACCATGTGAAGTTTGGCTCTGAGCAAACCCTACCCCTATCCTTCAATACCCAAGAAAATTTCAGTAAGTCCCAGTTAGCACCAACATATTTTTTCAAATTAAGAATGTCACATTATAAATATGCAACCTTGACCCCAATTTCACATGCAACAACATAACACTACAATAAAAAAAATTCTTTGGAGTAAGGGCCCAAGAGAAAACGACAGGAAAGCACCATACTAATTTGAAAAATTATTGATAGCCAACCACAAAACCGAACCTAAACCTCTAAGCAACAACTCCCACAGGAAGCAGTTGTCCTGAATATCTAACAATTAAACCACGCTTGATTGGATGTTTGAAGAGAGAACACATCCTTACAGATCACACTGCTGAACATAGCATTCAAACCATGCAACAAATAATGCTGTAATTTGAATGATGCAGAATTCATCACTCTACATGGAGAGAACACGGAAAGCAGATAGCATCAGTGCAATCCAACAGTAAAACTTGACAAGTTCCCTCCCCAAAATCAATTTTTTTAAAAAAATGTTAGTAAAAAAATAAATTAAAATTCAGTTGAGGGTGGTGGTTCACTAATTTACAAAAATAGGATCTTTTTTTTTTTTGTTGAAGGAGGGGGCAGATTCAAAATCTTTCATCCACCTAAAATACCTTGCTTGAAAAACCACGAGCCCAAAGACTACACACTAGAGGAGGCATGTCCATCAAACATGGCTTGACCACCACCCACAACTTTCCAACTACAAATCAAGATAGTCGTACAACTAAGAAGCAAACCATAAAGCCCAAATACCTCTGGAAAGCCTTGAAATAAGTTGAGCATATCGCCGTTAGGGCTAACCGAGAAGGGCAAGCCGGGCTGCGAGATTACCAGCGCGTGCGGGGCCCCAGGGTGAGGAGGGGGCCCCTGGAGAGGGCCCTGCATGGGTGCCCCCATAGGCGGGCCGGCCGGAGCCACCGCACTGGGGGGGATCCCTCCGCCGTAGTAGGACGTCGGGCTGACAGGAGGGGACGGGTAGGGCCAGTATATCATGGGCGGGTAGACGAAGGGGGCGGGAGAGGGTCTGGTCAGGGTGGGAATCACTTGGGCAGACTGCATGGCTGCAAAGTGGGAGAAGCTGCCCGGCGGGCCGAACTGGGGCGCCGGCAGCAGGGTGCCACCTGCAAACAAAACAAACAACGCACATTCACTACTTCGTCAACAACTAGCACAGTGACACTAGTAGTAGTAATAGCAGTCCAAAGTACACTAGTTCAGGGATAAAGGCAATTTGAGTTTTGAGATAAACTTTGCATTTAGAGAGACAATTTCTTTAAGGGCTGATTGGATTCATTTAGCTTGACACAAAAATTAATACGTCAACATGCAATGGAGGTGCCTATGGTACAAAGCAACATGAGCTAGCCGTGGGGAATAGACCCGCCTTGCCTGAGTGACACCAGGAATGAAATTTACCCAGTGAAAATTTACCCATAGTCGCAGAGCCCTCATGCAAAGCATATTTAACTGTACAATACATCTCTTTCCTAAGATTTCCACCAATAAATAAAAATGAAGAAACTAAGAAAATAGCCTCCGCTTATTTTTTTCAAGCACCACATGTGCATACATAAAATATCCAGTTAGTTAAGGAAGAAAGTGGGTACTTACAGGAGTAGACAGCCAGCAAGCCAGAATATCCCAACCGCCCATACGCCCGCAGAGTGCATTCCGCCACAAATTGGGTCAGAGCACCAAACGCACCAAAAACACCCAAACACCGATTGCACACTGCACCATATACCCTTCTGACAAATCACAACACAAAATATTGGACACACACTTTGTCTTGTCGATCACATGTCCTCATAGAAATGTTAGCATATCATTTTCCCAACCCATGATTTTAAATGATGTTGTGCCTTATGCACATGGTCTCCATGAAGACTTCTAGAGCATTATTCTAGCCAGCAACATGACACAGAATATTTGGGAACTGGTGTTCGGTTTACAATATTCCTAGTTGTTGTATGTATAGCTAGGTGCAAAAAGACCCTGGAGAAAAATTAATTCATGGAAAATTTCTTGACCAGTATATGCAGTCTTATCTTGTGATAGGTGTCAGTCAAAAATGACCTTCACAGAGGAAGTGTTTCTAAAAACTGAGTCCTTCCAACTAGGTTGCTTGTTAAACTATGAAGTTTGCAGTGCTGCTGTTAGATGCTGTCATTTCAAACCTTGCCATAAATGCCATACAAATCCTTTCCAAGTAAAGATTCACTTACAATCTGAAAGTAAGTGCAATAGAAAAGATAATTAAGATCAGGTAGGGGGGAGCAGCTTTGCACATATGCAGGTAATATTCTCAAAAGTAGCATAAACAAACAAAAAAATTCAAATTTTAAATAAATTAACAAAAATCTACAAATAAAACCATCCAAGAATACAACGAAACTCTTGCAACACAAGAAACAAAGTTTAAATGCACATAATACGTAGCTGTCTCATTTGCTTTTGGTCATTCTTCAAAAAAATTACGAAAAAGATTGGAATCTAGTGCAGAAAATAACAGTACTATTATTTCCAAGCCAGGTAACTAAAAGCAGCAACAGTAAGTGTCGCCTGAAAAATGAACAGAGCCCATCAAAACATAGTGGGAGCTTGAAGTGCAAAGACCAAACTCATGTTGTTATAAGAGTTTCATGAAATTTCCTGTATCAGGTTTCTGGACCTATCCATCCAATTCAGAATAAGGGAAACACTAATGCATTTTCAAAGCTGCACCTCCACCTCCAAGGCAAATGACAAGGTTAATTACAAACAGCACAGCAACCTTGGCACATTAGCATGCATAGGGCAAAGAAGAATCATTTAATCCACTTTGAACCTGTTGGTGCCACCCTGTTAAACCTGTTCCCAACAAGTGTGAGCACCTAAACCACACATGAGCAGGCACCGCCATAGCTGTCAAACTGATGAAGCTGGAGATTTATGAGAAAAAACAAGTGTTACATCAAAACAACAGGCTTTATTGTCATATGTTTAGATACAGAAAGTAGGGCATATGAAAGGGTAGAATCCACCTTTCCATTAGCTTCCGCTAGAACCAACCGCTCAGGCACAGAACAGGCGAAAAACACAAAATGCCTAACACACAGTACCACAGCACCACCACAACCACAGGAAGAATAACTACAGCAATTAAGTTCAGAGAAGCATTAACTGCATTGGTAAAAGGAAATAAAATGTTACGCTGAAAACTAAAGAAATAAAACAAAAAGAAAATCATAAAGCAGAAACCATTTGCATCATAACATAGTCCAACAGACACTGGAACAGGAGCAGTGTGAGTTGCAACCAAACATGTGGAAAAAGCAAACAATGAATATTATCAAGCAAACAATATTAGTGAGTGAAGGATGTGGTGGTACGTGGCAGTATCAAAACCGTAACCCAGAACATCGGCAGATATGAGTAAGCCAACATAAGAGCACTGGTTCAGCTAGCGAAAAGCCAATAGAAAGAACAGTCTATTCCATCTCAATTCACACGTAACATGTGAAAGAAAACAAGTACACAAAGTCACAAATGCAAGAAAACTAAATTAGTAAAATAAGGGAGGAATGATAAAAATACAGCTTAAAAAGAAATTAACATGTATATGAATAAATATACATTTTGAACTAAAGATGATTCTCTTTGACAGTTTCAGAACCAAAAGCAACATTACCCATTATCTTTCTTTACTTGAAATGAGTCAGTGAAATGATAGCTAAGGCTACAATTCTTTAATAAAAGAAAACCACATTAACAGCTTCACACACATTATTTTAGTCAAATCACAAAGCAGAGAAGGAATAACCCTTGAATGTGGCTGTAAATTTAGTGAAAGTGAATCATGACTGAAAGCATACCCCTCAAAAGAAAACAATAGGCAGTATGTGGAACCAACAATTTTAAGAGTGGGACAGGTTGCGCCTGCAACACCAAGCCACATTTCATACAAAATGTACACCAAAACCAGACTAAAAATAAATTAGCTAATCGAAGGCACACAAACCACTCCTCTGCTTCCACTAACTCGACAGAACGTCACTGCTGAATTGAATCAAGCAATCCACGTTCCAAACCAGACCCCATTCAGCCCGTAAGTAAAAAATGGTGATACTGACAATTCAGTGTATGAAGCAAGGGAGATGTCAAGCTAGCTCTTTATTGCTAAATTTTAGGCTGAAATGGAACAGCAGGACAGGATATACATTGTCTGGTATTTTATACCAAGGCAGTGTAGGCTACATCCCGTACACTCAGCATGCACACAATTTCACTTAAAAATTTCACCCACACACTCGTTGAGTTAATTCCTAAAAAAATCCATCATACTGACCACTTAAAATACTAATATCTGATGTAAAACCAAGTTCTCAGCATAACACCATGAAAAAAATAGACCCAGAGATGCTACCAATGTTGGTCAGAAGGAACTCTTAACTTTAAGTGCTTAAACTCACTGGTAAAACAAAAAATGCTAGGCAAAATGATAAAAGTTTAAACCTAACCAAAGATTACAGTACTGAAGAGAGTGAAAACTAGAAGCTAAGAAATGAAAAAGCATGAATAGTACACAGTTGCTGAAAGGAAGCACAACCAACATGGCATTAGACACTTGAAAATTATTATGGAACCTGAGGAATAAATAGCAGAAATTAAAACTGTCTAATGCCACCAATTCCAGCTCAATACAGAAAAAAAAACACCAATTTAATTGGGTATTGACGCATATTTCCATGACCACAAAACTGGTAGCATCCCTGTGGCGGTGAAATGCATCCAAGCCTTACAAGACAAAAATTAATGAGAAATGCAAGCAGGTCACTGAAGAGAATTCAGAATTAAAACTGTTGAGAGGTGCAGACGAATGAAAAGTAGAAATATACAGTGAACTGACAGATGGGGTTTAACCAAGAAGTTCCCAACAGAGAAAGCAGACACCCAAATCTAACAAGATACAAATTGTCTTTTTAATTAGTTATCAGTCGGCATGCTCTGTTACATTGGAGATCAATATTGAGAAAAGAGGCACTTCGGAATGGATTCCTTTTTCTAAAAAGGTTCTCTCTCTGGCTGTGGAAATCATTGTGATTCCTTCAAACTAAACTTAGACTTAAAGCAGCATGTGATTTCTGCTCAACTACTGCCCTGATGAATAATAAATGTTCATTCAATATGACATATCACAGAAGGCTCTGCAGTTAATTGATTTCCTTCATTACTACAATATAATATCAAAGACAGCTACAAAACAAAAATACTTACTAGAAAATAATGGCAAAATGACACTGAAAACTGTGCCAAATTTGCATTTGCCACACAAATGGAAGCACAAATTGCAAATATTAAAACAAACTGGAATGTAAATTGATTATAATTAGGGTGACGTAAGTACAAGGCGTAAGTACACTTTTATCACTCCTCACCAACTACTATAAACATCACGGCAGTTGAGAACAGCTGCTATAAGCACAAATGGAGCATGATCAAGCTCCATGATAATTAACACATAACTAAGTCTTGACTCTCAAAATCTAATCCACTTACAAAGTGAGAAAGAAATCAAAAGGATAAAATATCTGCATTATAAAGTTAAACTTGATAAGGGCCTATTGAATTAAACTTATCACAGTATTCAAAATATTGTACATAAAAAAATATTTGAATCTTGAAGTGAAGTGAAAAAACAAAAAACTAACAAACAAAACAAATAAAGGCACTGTTTAACACTGACATTCAAAACTACTAGGACGGGTCTCGGCGCCATGCTCCAAGCCCAATTCATTCAACCGTAAGCACTTTTAATGTCTTAAGTACGCTAGGCATAAGATCCAGAGAGCCAGTCACGAAATGCAAATTTACATGGTGGGGTAGAACTGAGCCTGATAGGGAGGGAGAGCAGATTGCATGTACGAGAGAGCCGCCGCCGAGGCCTGTGGCGACTGAGAGGACTGCCACTGCCTCTTGAGTGGCAGCTGGGTCGAGTCTGCGGGGAAAGCGTTCTCCCACGACCGCTTCATGCCCATGGTGCCCATGGAGCCCATGCCCGCCATGAGCGCGGCGTTCGAGCCGGCCGGGGACTGCACTAGGGGCGACAGGGGGCTTTGACCAGCGTTGGCGGACGCGCCGCCGTGGCCGCCGTGGACGGAGGCGTTGGGAGGGGGCACCTTGGGGTGGTACTGGGGCATGCGCGACGCCTGCGAGGCCTGCGTCGCGTTGAACAGGTATACCGGCTGCGCGCTGCCGCCTAGGCTGCCGCCAACCCCCACCCCCTGCGGGTAATACGGCAGCTGCATGGGCATGGACACGCCCTTGCTTGACACGCTCTGCGGCATGCTGTTGGAGTTGGCGAGCGAGAACGAGGCATTGCCACTGGACGAGGCCACCGAGGACGAGGACACGGCCGAGATGGGAATCAGAGCCCTCTGCGACGCGCCCTGCGCCGCCCCGAGCGACCCGCCCAAGGCCCCGCCCAGCGCACCGTCCCAGCCCTTGGCCCCGGACACGTTGACGGCCGCCAGGGCCGCGGCCAGGTGCTGCTGCTGCGCCTGCTGCGCCGCGGCCAGCGTGTTGAGCCACAGGTTCTCCTGCTGCGCCTGCTGCTGCCGCAACGCCTGCTGCATCTGCGCCTGGACCAATATGTGCTGCTGCGCGGTGGCCACGCCGGCCACGCCGGCCACGCCGCCGGGGAACAGGGGTGGGTCCCACGGCATCACCTGGCTGGGGGGCATCTGCAAGGGTGGGGGGTGGCCCAACACACCGGTGCCGGCGTGCGCGTGCCCGTGTGCGGGGTGAGAGTTGTGGGGCGGACCTGGCGGGGGGTAAGCCAACGTACCGGGAGACAGTAAGGTGGTGGCGGCCGCCGCCTTGGCCGGGGAAACGGGTCCGCCCGTCGGGATGCCACCCGCGATCACCAAGTGCATGTCCTCGCCAGAGCACTGGAACACCTCAATGTACCGCTGCTTCTTGCCGAAGATCATGTACCGGTGGTGCTTCTGCTGCGCCGCCATGGCAGCACTCAGCTCAGAGTCCATCTGGATGAACGCTTCACCTGAAGGCTGACCCTAAATGACAAAGCGCAAACAAGTAATATTATTGACAAGGGGATTTTCATTCACCTGTGCAAAAGCAACTCTCATGTCGCATGATTTCATAAGACAACTCTACACTGCTATTCTCATGTTCAGTGGGGAATAAAAGGTAAATGGTTAGATTATTTGTAATCTGTTTTTACCTGTGCATTGAACACCATGTGAACACCTTGGTATACAATCGACTTGGCGTGGTCACCCAAAAACTCTAAAATGTTCTCCACTTGAGCTTCATATGGCAGTCCACGAAGTCGTATGCAGTCCTTCCTGGTACCCGTCGTCACAAACTGCTGAGGCAGCATTGGTAGGGGAAGGGAAGGGGCTGATACTGATTCATACGTTTTGGGATCCATTGATCTGTTCAAAACCTTAGGAGCGGAAAATGAAAAAAAGTTACAATTTGTATTAAAGATGCACTGTAAACAGACTGGTGTGAGTGAATCACCAAAATAAAAAATGTCACCAACCTGTTGTACTTCTGCAGTCGTGCTTCGGAAAAGTTCTATGTAACGTGAACCAATAAGCTCTCTGTGTTTACTAATAGCCTTTGCTCCATCCTCGTCATGTGCAAATAACACAAAAGCATCACCTGTTGCTCTTTTGTCAGGTTTTTTCACAAATAACACACCATCTTCTCCATCCATGACTTGACATGAGTTCTCTCCCGATTCAAAGAACTCAAGCTAAAAACAAATAATTATTATTAGTCAGGCCCAGCAAAAGTACCCATTGCAGAAAGAACGTGAGAAAAACTCACCACTTGCTTGGCTGTGCATTCATAAGGCAACCCTCTCATTCGGATGATGACCTGAGCCCCCCTTGACAGGAATGCCTCGGCCTCCGAATTGTTGCCTCCAGCAACAGCAACGAATTCAGATCCATTTGCTTTATATATCTCTATGTACCGGTTGGAAAGATGATGTTTGTGTCGCCCTAGCGCCATGTCTCTGTGTTCTTGGTTAACAAATCGAACCAAAGCCTCGCCGTTCCTACGTCCTTGAAGGCTTAAGCAAAGGGCTACACCACCTCTGTAATCAAAACAGAAAGAAACATTAATAAAAAGGCATTTTAATTATCCAAACAATCAGTTTAAAGCAGACACATGACATACTTTGCAACATTCAAGCCTCTAAAGAATTTGGCAATATCTTGATCAGAGGATTGCCAGGGAAGCCCTCTTGCGCGAACTACACAATTATTATCGACTTCTTCATTCTTTGAGCTGTAAGGACAAACCAGACCGATCCATTAGTTTCGTTTCTCGCCCTGACACACAGTTGGGGCGAAGCGGTGGCCGCCGCGTGTGCGCCAGAGGACACACCTGCTCACACAGGCCGCCTCTACTTACCATATGCCAGGTTCAAGTCGTAGTTCCACCGTTTCAGGATTGTCAAAGCAGTATCCTGCAACAGAGCAAACGAAAACCAAGTCAGCCGCCAATCAACCTCAGGACGTCCTCATCCACAATCTCGAGCGATCTAGAGCCCACAAAGGGACGCCAAAAGCAATCTGGCCGGCCGAATTATTATTTTAACGACTCTAGATAAGGATAGCGCGCCCGCGCCTCGCGCCGCGCGACGTGTCGGAGGCACTTGAGGGACCGGCCCCAGCAAGCCACGCCACTCGCAGGGCGTAGCAGGGCGGGCACTTGCGACCTGCACCATGCCTGCCGCCAGACCGATTCCGAGAGTCGTTTTCGTCGCTCTGTCTCCCTCGCACTCATGGGGCGTCCCGTACAGGAGCGAGAGAGACCGCGCGACGAAAACGACTCTCGGAATCAGTCTACTGCACCGCGCCACTAGCGCGATGCGCTCTGCAGCGTGGGCTGTTATTTCGACGAGCACAGCACTCGACTTGGCCAAAGGGTACAAAGCCGCGGTCGCAACGCGCGCTCCCATCTCTACTCAGACGAGCGGCCAATGCGCCCCCCCCCCCTTTTCCCCTCCAGTAGGTTGCGCGTTACGCGAGCAAAGCAGAACTGGAGCCGCATTTTTCCAACGACTGGGAGTCACCTCCCGGAGAAGGCAAAGCCTCGTCGAACGCGACACGGATGACGCGCTCGCTCCAGGCCTCCAGGCCGCCGGCCACTCCATTGTGTCCAATGTTGCGACCGAGGCATTTGGGCGAAAGGGCGCCAGCCGCGTTCCAAGCCCCCGGCCGCCGTCCAGGCTAGGCTAGGCTGCTCGGACGCACAGTGGGCCAGCAACCGGTGCAGGCGGCCAAAATTCTAGACGCGTTTTGAGCTCCAGAGTCGCTAAATGGGACTCGAATTGAACGAGTGACCCCACCAATGGATTGCTCTCCGACCGAGGAATCCATGGGTGGGATCACACGCTCGGTTTGAGTCCCATTTAGCGTTTCTGGAGCTCAAAATGCGTCTGGAATTTTGGCCGCCTCCGCCGGTTTCTGGCCCACTGTGGGACGTCCAGCAGATGCTGGAGCAGGCAAGGGGTGAAAGGGGAAGGCAATTCTCCGACCTGTTTTCGAACGTCACCGAAACAAAAACAAACGCGCCAAAAAAATACACATTGCTCACGAACTTATCGCATTACATGGCAAGTTTCATTGGACTGCGGACTCACGACTATCGAGAGGAGGTGGGGGAGGGGGCCAGCGTGGTGCCATGAACTGCACAGTGGGCCAGAAGACCAGTGGAGGCGGCCAAAACTCTAGACGCGTTTTGAGCTCCAGAGTCGCTAAGCAGGACTCGAAGCGAGCGTGTGACCCCACCAATGGATTCCTCGTTCGGAGAGCAATCCATTGGTGGGGTCACACGTTCGGTTCGAGGCCTATTTAGCGACTCTGGAGCTCAAAACGCGCTTAGAGTTTTGGCCGCCTCCACTGGTCTTCTGGCCCACTGTGAACTGCCGCCCCGTCGGCCTAGTCGCCCGGCGCGGCTAGAAGCGCGGCTGGAAGCGCGGCCTGCCCCCGGCACCGCTGTGGCACCGCACCTGTGCAGTGCAGTGCCTTGCCGTGATAAGCCCACAATAGCCAGTGGCCTCTCCACTCCCCCCCCCCCTCCTTTCGAACTCGCTGCAACGTTCCTGGCGGCCGATAAGGCAGTGGGTGCACGGTGGTGCCCGGGGGGACCGACACGGCGGCACGGCAGGCCTGCCCTGCACGCCCCGCCGGCACCTCCAATCGTATCCGCCCCCGCGGCCGGCCAGCCCGCCCCGCCCCGCCCCGCCCCCCCGCCCCGCCCCGACGCAACGACCGCGCCGGCAGCGGGTCGCACAGTGGTCACACGGCGAGGGGGGCTGACGCGGGCTGACGTACTGACGCTGGCGGCAGAGACGCCGAGTTTCTCCCTGCGCACTGCAGCCAGCTCCCAGCTCACTCCGAAGCATCGTCGTCACTGTCGCCGCCCTCATGGGGCGTCCCGTAGGTGCCCATAGGGCCGCGACACAGACGAAACGACCCTGCGCTGCGACGTGCGCGATGCCTACCGCGAGAGGGATGAAGCCATTCCCTCACTAGAACCACCCCGCTGTCGAACAGCCGCAAGAGGGGAGGGGAGGGGAGGGGTGTGGCGGCGATCGCACAGTGGGCCAGAAGACCGGTGGAGGCAGCAAAAACTCTAGACGCGTTTTGGGCTCCAGAGTCGCTAAACAGGACTCGAACCGAACGTGTGACCCCACCAGTGGATTCCTCGTCCGGAGAGCAATCCATTGGTGGGGTCACACGCTCGGTTCGAGTCCCATTTAGCGACTCTGGAGCCCAAAACGCGTCTAGAGTTTTGGCCGCCCCCGCCGGTCTTCTGGCCCACTGTGGATCGCACGCTGCTGACGCTGACGAACGACAAACCTCGCCAGTCTTTGCCACGTTTCCGTCGGCTTTGGGCGCAGGGCCCTCGGCAGGGCCGCCCGGCCACGCACGGCGCGCGGCAGGTGGAGGGGCCTAGAGCCCACGACGCCGCGTCGCGACGCCGGGCCGCCACCGTGGCCCCGCATACGCGGCCTCGTTTACCACCCGCCTTGAACCTCCGCACCGCGACGCAGGGTCACACCACCCCCACGGCCAGGGTGAGGGTGAGGGTGGGCAGCCCACCGCCAGCCGGCCGAGGTGCAGCGAGCACAGAGCGACCGAACGAGTCTTGTGAAAGAGCCAGCCTGTCGACTGATTCCGCGGGCCGCCTTCGTCGCTCTGTCTCTCTCGCACCTATACGGGACGCCCCACGAGTGCGAGAGAGACAGAGCGACGAAGGCGGCCCGCGGAATCAGTCGACTGCTGCAGCCACGCCGCCGCGCCAAAGGCAATGCACCCTTCCCCCGTGCCAGAGCGTGCCCCTTCCGGCAAGCTAGAGGCAAGCCAGGGGCCGCGGCCAGACGGAATGCCCCACGTCAGCAGGCCCGTTCCGAGCTGGAGGCCTCTCTCGCTCTCGTGGTGCGTCCCGTGCGGGTGCGAGAGAGACAGGCCTGCCGCGATCCTGGATCGCCGAGTGGGCGCTTGCCCGCCGCCCTCGCCGCGGCTGGGCTACAGGCGCTACAGGTGGCGGCAGGCAACAGGCGGCGCGGTTCGGCCTCCACGCCGAGAGGTCACGCCCCAGCCCCGGCCGGGACTCGCCGATACTGGAATGTCCTGCGGAGAAAAGGGGGGGGGGGGCAACCCGTGCAAAACACTATCGGCACGCCGCCGGGCTGCCCGCCTGCCCGTGTTTGTTTCGAGGGCCGGCAGACTCATTCCGAGGGGTCGTTTCGTCGCTCTGTCTCTATCGCACTCACGGCGCGCCCCGTGCAAGTGCGAGTGAGACAGAGCGAAGAAGCCCCGCCGGCCGGTCCGGTCCGGTCTGGTCGTCGTGCCGTGCTATCGCCGCGTCGTGTCGCGTCGTGTCGCTGCCGCGGCACGGCGGGCAGGCCTGGCTGCACCGTCGCGACGCCGCCACGCCACGCCACGCCGCGGCCCGGGGCCCAGGCCAACCAAACGCCCCGACGCGACGGCCCCTGACGTGCGCGCTTGCACAGGTGGCACGCCAGCCTGCAGGCCGACTCCGAGGGACGTTCACGTCGCTCTGTCTCTCTCGCACCCAAGGGGACGCCGCACCAGTGCGAGGGAGACAGCGACGAAAACGACTCCGCCGCCACAGCCCAGCAACCAAACGGCCGAGGGGGAAATCCAAGCGACAATCACCACCGCCCCCTCGTCCTCGTCACTGACATGACACGAGACGCGGCTGGGACACGTCACTCGAATTCCAGCCCCCGCCCCCTTCCCTTGCTCGCATCCCCACACGATTTCACGGAGACTCCGAGACGCCGCTCCGCCAGTGCTCCGCCAGTGCTCGCTTCTGGCTTGAGCGCCACATGGCTCATGGTGCCCATTGGGCCTGGCTAGCTTGATTCATGCCGTTGAGTTCGGTTCGGTCGAGGCCCTACTCGGCCCTCGGCTCAGCACGGCCAACGCCACTCGGTGCGGGAAAGGAAAGGAGAGGGTCGCCGCTGTTACGAAATGGCAGCGCCCAGAGGGGAATAGAAAAAGAATCTCGACGACATTAAAGTGCACATCGACAACAGCGAACGGACGCTCACTGCCAGATAAGACAATCAGCGCTGTCCAACCAAATAAAATGTAAAGTCAGACTCGAGAAAACATTCTCCCCGCTGGGCCGGGCGGACGGGACGGGACGAGACCGCCTGTTGCTCCACTGCTCCACAGCGGCGGCGCTGAGGCGCTGCGGCGGGGCGCTAGGGGGTTAGGTTGGACGGACACAACCCCGCGGCTGTTCCAGCTTCGGGCTTCCCACGACACCCCAGCGAACGCCTCGGCGAATGCCCACACACCCCACACGTCCGCTGTCTCTCTCACTCAAGCCCACCAGCGCGGCACGAGTCTTGAAGCACTCACACTGACAGAAACAGAACCGGGCAGCCACACGGCGGTGTGTCGACGAACCACAACAGAACAGACTTGGTACTCGGTACTCGTCGACTTGGCTGTCTGGCACGTTCACTCTGGCACACTGTTCGCGACGGGCGTCAACTCACACAACAATAACAGTCCATAAACGCATACGGACAAAACAAGACTAGCTCTGCACGAGACGAGGCGTCGTGTCGCGTCGCGCTGCGTCGATAGAGATCGCTGCGCAGTCCGTCTCCAACTGCCGCCGGGCCGGGCGGCGGCGGCGGCGGGGCGGCCAGGCCGGGCTGCCAGGCAAGAGCGGCCCAAGTCCGTCACAGCACTGCAACCCCCCTCCCCTCCCCCGCCCCACGCCCCCCACGCCCCGCCACGCCCCGCACCAGCAGCGGGCACCACGTGGCTGTCGCTGAACTGGTGTACTGGTACTGCCGATCGGCGCCTTAGGGCCTCGAGGGCCAGGGCCTAGGCTCTCTAGTTCCCAAAGGGAACGGAAGGGCGCAGTGAACAGGCAACAGCCGAGCGGTTCAGAGTCGTTTCGTAGCCGTCTCTCTCGCACCTATATGGCACGCCCCATGAGTGCGATGGAGCGACCAAAGCGACTCCCGGAATCAGTCTGCTGAAGACTTCTGAATCGCTCGATAGGGTTCGCCCATTCACCACAGAACTGATGGCGGCGCAGCGGGGGGTCAACCACCACGGACCTCACTCCGCCAACACCTAACCCGAATCTGGAAAAGTTTTCTTGATCCGTGGAGGAGGGGGGGGGGGGCATCGAGCAGTGCCCATGCGGACTGCACTGCAAATTGGCACGTACGAGCCCTTATTGACGAAGGCGACACGGCATCGGGGCCGCGCCAGGCCGAGGCCGAACTCGGGCCGAACGACCAGAGGCCAGGCGGCCGGCGGCTAGAGGGGCGGCTGCATCCGAGTCGCGCGGACGCGTGCGGAAAGAGTCAACAAGGCCGAGAAGCACGACGACGGACGACGGTGTGGGGTGGGGCACTGCCAGTGCACTGCCTGCGCCTGCACATGACGGGGCATGACTCGGGCCAGAGACCTCTAACCTGTTCACGTGAGCAGTCTCTGCTGCACTTCTAGCCCTCTAGGACTGGAACCAAACGCATACCCAATGGATTCCCTGCTCGTTGGACTCGAATCCCATTTCGGGACTGTCGGGCTGAACCCAGTGACTCCGAGAGTCGTTTTCGTCGCTCTGTCTCTCTCGCACACGCGTTCGGATGCGACAGAGACACACGAAAACGACTCTCGGAATGAGTCTGCAGTGCCGACTGCAGTGCCCCGTGAGCGCGGCGTGCCCGGCGTGCGCGGCCATAGAGCAACATGGCATACCGTGCGCGGCGATACACTAGTCATTCGGCCGTGAAGCAAGGCGAAGCAGGGCGACCCCATCAAGTGTCAATTCGACGTGAGGAGGCTGCTCGCTCGCTGCTCGCTGGCGGGGGCCGAAGAGGCCAATACTACGTCACACAGTGCCACTGACTGCCCCCCCCCCTCCATTTCCCGAAACGCATGCGGGTGGCGGGGGAGGGGGTGCAGGGAAGGCCAGAAAGGTGACGACGCCGCAGAGACCGACATACGTCCCCGTTGACCCATTTTAGCAGACGAGCGAGAGAGAAACAGTGCCGACAGAGCAACCCGCCCGCCCAGCGCGCATCTCCCAACGTCGAGCTCCACCGCCCCTCGAAGATGTACGACCCACTAGGCACACTAGACCCTCGAGACGGAAACGATCGGAAGCAAAAAAGCAGGACCACGCCACCGCCTGATGCCCGGCAGCCCGGCAGCGCGGCAGCCAGGCGGCGGGGTCCTGGGGGTCACACCGCGCCGCAGCGCCGCAGACTGATTCCGATTACAGAGGCTCCGTCTCCCTCGCACTCCGACGGGAGGCCAGGGCGGCCAGGGGGCGCGAGAGAGACAGAGCGATCCAAGGACCGTTCGGAATGGGACTGCAGGCAGAAGGCTCCGATACGATAAGGCGACGCGTATCCTATTGGAGGCTGCCGCCGTGCCTTGCCGCCGTGCCTTGCCGCCGTGCCTTGCCGCACTGGCGCGTCGCCCCGGCTTGGATATCGCGTATCTGTCCCCAAGGCGGCGGGGACGCGGCGGGCAGCGGGGCCAGCGCCTCCACCGCGGCCGCGCCCGAAACCAGTGATAGTGACGATGACGGCAACAAACCAAAAACCAAAACCACCCAGAGAGCGCGCAACGGAAGCGAGCCGCGCGCTCCTGAGTCCCGTCTGTCTCCCTCCAGGCTGGCCCAGGCTGGCCGAGGAATACAAGGAAGGAAGCGCCGACAGACGGCCGATGATGCGCTTCCAACAGAAAACACGACTCCCGCCTTCCCGTGTCATGTTCAACTGGCGGGGCGGGGCGGGGCGGGGCGGGGCGGGGCGGGGCGGGGCGGGGCGACGTCCAGAATCGCCACAATAAGCGCCGCCAGTCGACACCGCCGCGTTGCAACGCGCAGCGCGGCGTGTTGCAAAACGCCAGCGGCCCGACGGCGAGCACGCCAAGCACGACCACGCCGTCAACGCGCTGCGCTGCTGGCGCCGCGTAGCCGCGTGGCCGCGAAGCGCAGCGGTGGCGGAAAGCAGGGCAACGCGCAGTAGGCGGGGCGCAGAGGGAGCCGCGGCCGACATGCACCTGTAAACGCACCCCAGGCCTCCAGGCCCCGCAGGGAAAGAGGGAAGGGCGACTAGTGTAACCGGTACTGCTGTTCACCCATCTAGGCTAGGAGAGGCACGCGGCCATGATGACACAACGGGGAGGCTGCACGTGCGTGTCCGCGTCTTCTGCCCAAGCGTCGTCGGCAACCTACCTCCACCGAGATGAGGCACTAGCGGGGCGGCTAGAGAGCAGCCGTGGGTGGCATGGCCAAGCCGGCTGGGCCGGGTGAACCGGGGGCGGCCCGGGTCCCGAGGCCCCGCACTACCCACCGCTAGCCACAAGTGACGGGGCTCTCTTATCGGGCCACTCATATGATTGCCAAGACAACAGAAGGAACAGATATCCTGATGGGACTCGACGCAACGGCACAACAGCGCCCACAAGGGGAGGGGGTCTTAATGATCATGTAAGTGCGGGGGTATCGCAACGCAGATTTATCAGTGTGGGAGGAGGGGGCAGGGGGCGGACTCCCCGACGTCCCCTGGGCACGGCGTCGGCTCGTCGGCCCTCCATCCACGGCCGCCCTGACCAAGACGCGGCCAACGGAGTCCGTCTCCAACGTGGCCTGGATCGTCGTGTACTCACCGTCGGCTATCAACCTGTGGACGATGTTGACCATGTCTTTGGCTTCTTTCACGTAAAACTCGTTCTCCGTGTCGAATGTCATGCTTATATCTGGAAGAGAGAGAGTCAAGGATCCTCACAGAAACAGCGGAGCAAATCAATGGAGCAAAACACAAGCAGGGAAGTACCACAGGGAGCCCGTCCTAGAGGGAGGTCGCATGGATAAAACGCGGCTTCGGAATAGTAGTAAGTAGGTTCCGAAGTCATTATTTCAAACGTGAATTCAAGGAGAGTATGGTCATTTTTCTTCCAGGCTCTGAGTGGCACCCATCACACAGCCTTCAGCTCGGCCTTGGCGGCGTCGATGCAACGCCAGGCTCGAGAGGCTATCGCGCGGATCGCGAGACAATTCCGCGCGTCGTGTGAATCCGCCAATCCTCCAATCCGCCACGGCGAGCAGGGTAAACAGCTGGACGCGCTCGGTGACTCGACTTCCATTGTTGCGGGCAGGGCGCCATGATGGCCATGATGGGGGCAGGCAAACCGAGTGCTCGCGGCCAGCGGCGGCCGGCCGACCACGCCGTCGTGGTGCCGGTGCCGGCGGCGACGTCCACAAACCGCTAAACCAAACCGCTAAACCAAACCGCGGGGCCGCGCCGAGGCGGCCGCGCCACCTGCCGGCGAAGGGCCCAAGCACCGCCAACTACGGCCCACGGCCCACGGCCCCAAGACAGCTGTTGGCCGGCGTAGTGCCGCGCGCCGCCGTTGGAGGGCGCCACCGCCACGAACCGCGGACCCGACCGCGGACCGCGGCGCACCGCGCGCCATCTTGCAGTGTTGCCACGCTACGCGCTCGCGGCTACTCGCGGCTGCCACGCGGGCCGCCGGACTGGCCAGCCGGCCGGCCGGGCACCATTTTCACTCCAAATGGAAACAACCGCGAGCGAAGAGCGAAGTAGCAGGCCGCCAAGACACCGCCACTTGTTCCTACTTGTTCCCGGCGATGACCGCGGGCCGCCCTGGCCGCCCTGGTCACGGCACGCGGTGTTTCGGCTTCGGCCACCTATCGCGGCACCATCCAGCCGTCCAGCAGGCCGCACTATCTGGCATCTAGCGGTCGGGGAATGGGGAATGGACCTGTTGCTTCGCCTGCTTGGCGAGCGCGGTCCCTTCCCACCGCAAGCGCGCAAGCGGCCCGGGGAACCAACCGGAGAACCAGCCGCCGTTTCCAACAACGCGGCGGACTACCTTCGCACTTCCCCGATGCCCAGTGCAGGAACAGAAAGGAGAGGAAAAGAAAAACTGCCCCAAGCGATTAAGAAAACGCGTCGGAGCGGTGGGTCCTCTTCCGGTGGCACCCTGGTCTTCCCTTGGCCCTTGCGGAGGGCGGGGCCCTGCGACGCCCTACGGGCCCTGCGCCCTGTGAGGGACACCGCCAGGGCTACTTTGCCTTTTTAAATACGGCCGGGCCGTCGCGCCGTTGCCTACATCTGCATTCGTTGGCCCAGGCTGACTGCCCAGGCTGGCCTGCCTGCCGCGGCCACGCACTGCCACTGCCGCCTCGACGGTAGGTCATTCGTCGCAGCTATCGGACTCCAACTATCTGCCTGCTGGCAAAAGCACCTACCGAAAAAAAAAAAAAAGACAACGAAACGAATTTATTTTTAAAACCGGTAGCGGGTCGGGTCCTTGACAGGACGACCGCAAAAAAAGGAGGGGGGAAGGGCATCGAGTGGCCCGAAATCCGTATCACGAGGTGAGCGCGCGGCCCCGTCATTCGGGCCGGCAGACTCGTTACAGGTGACCGAGTAGGAAATTACGCACGCCAGGACGCGGCCAGGACCGCCTCCTGAGCAGCCCGCTATCTTTCCAAAGAAATAATAACGAGACACACATTGCTCGCGGCGTTGCGGACAAGGAGGCCCCCGCGGACAACTTGCAACTTCCGGGAGAGGAGACCAGACGGGGGCCGCGGAGACTAGATGGGCCGCGTCCGGACGCTCCACGCCGTCCTGGCATGCGCGTGTCCGCGTTCGCATTAGCGTTAGCGTTCGCCGATTTCCCTCTCCGGGGTGACCCGGTTCGGTTTCTGACGTCCCCGCGCCGCGGAGCCGCGGAACGCGGAATCCGGACAGCCTCCCTTCACCCACTGGACGCCACCTGTCCTGGCCCAGGACGCCCTGCCCGCCGCCCGCGCTGTGCGGCTTAGAGAGGACGGGCACCCTCAACCTCCCCACGGACTCCCGTGCCGCGACAGCGTGTGGCCGGGCCGGCCGGGCCGGCAGGTCGACATTTACGTGACAACAGTAAAGTGTCGTGCCGCCGTGCCCGCGACAGGTCGTGGCGTGGCGGCGTGGCGACGCGGCCAGACCGCACACCGCTCAGCACCGAGAGGCCCGAGACCTGGGCGATAACCATCATGGGCAAGGCCGGCAAGGCCGCATGCCCGCCCGTCCAGCCACCGCGCCACCGCCACGTCCAGACCCGAAACGGCACGGAGAGCTGCCCCGCAGGCCCTGCAGGCCTGCACACCTCCGGGCCCAGCCGGTTCGGTCCAGTCAGACGAACTGACCTATCCCGTCGAAGGAACGAACCCATTTTGAGTGGCCACATCTCGCCAACGACTATCGCTGCAAGACACAACTCGAGTAGAACACCCAAGCTGAAAACCAAATCATCGTGTGCACACCGTTCCGGACGCTCCGTTCGCGGGACAGCACAGCCGGCCAAGTGCTCCCTGACCCGAGCGCGACCGCCAAACGTGTCCGCCGCTCCTTCCGAACACGCCCCAGAAATAACCCCGGTGGCGCTAATGGATGGACGAGCGGCCAAAATAAAAACGCCGAGACCAAAACCGACGTCGTCGCGTCGCGCCTTGACGTCAGTACGTAGGACGTGGCGCCGGCGAGGAAGGAGGCGGCGCGGCGTCAGAGCGCGGAGCGGCAGGGGCGCGGAGGCCGTGCCGTCAAGCACGCCCGCTCGACGGGCTGCCTGCCCACCCGGCGCTCCTCGCCAGCAGCGCAGCGGCGCCGCCAGGGCGCACTCCAAGGAGGAGCGGGGGAGGACACAAAGGAAGCAAGGCAAACGGCACCTGAGGCAGGCAGGCAGGCAGGCAGGCAGGCAGGCAGGCAGGCAGGCTCCCCTTTCGCCGGCTCCGAGTGCACTGTGCACTCTCTGCTCCGCTCCGCCGCGGAGCCCTTCCCCGCGAGCCGCGCTGCGCTGCGCCGCGCGGTCCAGCCGCCCGTCCGGATGCCATTCTAGTCTCCACTCCAGCCAGTGGCCCGCCGGCTGCAGTGCTGCAGCAACTGCAGCGGCGCCTCCAACACAATGCACCACTTCTCCGCGGCAGACAGCGCCTCCAGAGCGCCGCGCCGTGTCCTACACTGTGCAACCACACACGTCGCCCAAAAGGATACAGTTTATCATCTCCTTGATGGAGTTGACGACGGGCGCCGAGTAGAAGGCGCTGAAATCCTTGCGCAGGTCGTGGAACGCGTTGTAGTAGGGCGCCAGGTCGATGTTCTTGGAGCAGCTCTCCGGGTGGAGGCACTGGCGCAGCGGGAACTGGCCGTCAGTCACCAGGCAGAAGTGCGGCGAGCAGGGGTCGATTTGGAGCGACCGCACGTAGTCGTCGAACTGCAACAGAGAGACACAGAGAGTCAGCGAGGCAAGTCGGCCCGAAGCCCTTCCCTCCCTACGCACAGCGCGCACAGCCCAGTCCGAGTCACGACCCGCGTCCAAGTCTCCGCCGCCCTTGGCCAGGCCCTCGGCCCTACCCGCCCGTTTCCGTTCTAGAATCCCTTTCCGGGACACGGCCCTCGCTTCCTTGAACCCGAGGAGCAAGACGAGGAGCAAGACGAGCCGCGGGGCCGCGGCGCAGCGGCGACACCCAGCACTGTCGTGGCGTGGCCGTGGCGTGCCGCGCGCCCCGCCCTGCCAACAGTCTTGAGGTAAGCGCTTGAGTTACTGTTCCCTTTTTTCTTCTCTTTCGAGTCACGACCGGGCAGGGACCGGGCAGGGACCGGGCAGGGACCGGGCAGGGACCGTGACGCTCCGCGCGCCGCGCCTGGGCCACCAGCTTTGCACGAAGATTGGATGGCGAGGCGGGCGAGGCAGGGCCCTGCCGGAGCAACGTTGCCGCGTCTAGCCGCGTCTAGCTGCGTCTAGCCCGGACTCGATCTAGGAACGCCGCTAGACCGGCAGGCCAGCCAGCCGCACAGTGGGCCAGCAACCGGCGCAGGCGGCCAAAATTCGAGACGCGTTTTGAGCTCCAGAGTCGCTAAATGAGACTCGAATCCGAGCTCGAATCGAACGTGTGACCCCACCAATGGATTGCTCTCCGAACGAGGAATCCATTGGTGGGGTCACACGCTCGGTTTGAGCCCCATTTAGCGACTCTGGAGCTCAAAACGCGTCTCGAATTTTGGCCGCCTGCGCCGGTTTCTGGCCCACTGTGAGCCGCGGCTAGACCAACCGGGCTAGACCAGCCGGCCTGCCGACACGGCGCCAGTCATCGCTCCACTCGTGAAAAAGCTTCTGCAGGAAAGGGTAGCCGACAAAGAAACACTCGACAGTCGTCAAAATTTTAAAGCCGTCGGCCATCAATACCCTGTCACGTGTACACGTCCATGGCGCGGCCGCGAGGCACGGCGACGGAGATGGAGGTGCCTTGGGTGCCGGCGATGCGGACGTACTAATGAGACGGAGCCGTGTTTTGGCGTGAGGCACCCCCAGTGGCTTCCAGTCACTCGCTGGAAGGGTTGGCGCACGTTGGCGCTGCGTCGCCGCGTCGCTAGCGGGGCAGTATGCAGGGGATCGAATCGAACAAGCGGCGAGGCGATTGGTGGAGGCAGTCGGGGCAGTCCGCCTCGACGGCGTCGACCATGGCGTCGACGGCCCACAGGCGTAAAACAAGTACCGTTCCATGGCGGCATCGCGGCCCTTCACCGCGCCGCCGCCCGGCAGGCCGATGCCTTGCAGTGCTCTCTCTCTCTCGCACTCGCGGGCCGCCCCGCAAGGCCGCAAAGGGTGCGAGAGAGAGCGACGACAACAGTGCCGGCACTGCCCCGGGCGACGATCCGCGTCCCCGATCTCCATCGGGCATCGCCAGCATCACCACCAGGATCACCATCAGCATCACGACGGCCCGGGTGTCGGCAGCACCAGTTAGGTTGATGCCGGGCACCGCTCTAGTCGCTGTCTCTCTCGCACTCACGGAGCATCGCGTAAGGGTGCGAGAGAGACAGCGACGAGCAGGCGGCAATCGGCAGCCTCCTCGGCTCGCGCAAAACGATCGGCTTCCTCGCGGTCCCGTAGGAGGCTGTCTTTACGGACTGGAAACCAAACCCAACGCCGAGCGCAAAGCCCAACGGAAACAAACCTGTTTTAACGACTCGCTTGCGTGGCGCGGCGTGGCCGGCGCTCGGAATGCCCGGAAGGGGGAGGGGGGGGGCGTACCGCGAGACAGAGAGGACGCGATGCTGCCGCGCGCCACGACAGCCACGACACACGCAAACCCACACGGGCACCGCGCTAGCACCGCGCTAGCGCCATCGCCGAGCCCGCGCACAGTGGGCCAGAAGACCGGTGGAGGCGGACGGAACTCTAGACGCGTTTTGAGCTGCAGAGTCGCTAAACAGGACTCGAACCGAACGTGTGACCCCACCAATGGATTCCTCGTTCGGAGAGCAATCCATTGGTGGGGTCACACGTTCGGTTCGAGGCCTGTTTGGCGACTCTGGAGTTCTAGAGTTCTGTCCGCCTCCACCGGTCTTCTGGCCCACTGTGCCGCGTCGCCGCGCCGCCGCGTGGCCCTCAGAGCCCTGAGTGACGATGGCCTCGTTTCCGTCACACACTCATCAGCGCCAAAGCCAAATTGGTCCATGTTGCCCATGTTGGCGCCGGCCGAAAGGACTTGACGGCCTTCTTTTTTCGGCACCGGATGCACTGGTGGTGACACACATCAGCCTGGTCCTCGCACTAGTGGTCCTGCCCCAAATGCAGAGCTTGTCGCGTGCGTGGTGAGCGAAAGAACAGTTCCAGTTACTGTACTTTTGACACGGAAAGAAATGACACCGAACACTCCAAGTGCCTGCCAAGGACCTCTCCAGCCTGCACGCCATTTGGACGCCCAAAGCGCCGTCACCTTCCTGGCCTGCCTCTCCACGTGGCTCGCCTCGCCCCTCGCCCTACTCCCTGGTCTTGGACTCCGAGGCACTGTAAAGCGCAGCAGACTCATTCCGACAGTCGTTTTCGTCGCTCTCTCTTTCTCTCTCACACACCTATAGGAAACGACTTTCAGTACGAGGGAGACAGAGCGACGAAAACGCCTCTCGAAATCAGCCTGCAGGGCGAAGCAGCGCGAAGCGCCACTCTCCAGCCGGGCCTGGCCTCTCAGCGGGGCTAGCCGGGCTAGGCTGGCCGGGTCATCGCCCGAGTCCGGGCCCCGGGCCCGCAGTCCGCCAAGGCATGGCGGGCACGGCAGGCACGGCCAGGGCGCCGCGCTGCACCGCCACGTGATCTGAAAGCCCAAGCGGCAAGCCCAAGCGCCGGCCGGAGCCGGAGCGGCGGGCGAGCGGGTGCCAAGCGCCGCCGTGGCGGCTTGCATCAACTGGGCCACGCCGCCGCGCCACACACTTCCTGCTCGCTCAGCCCGGAGGAGCCGCACGAGAGCGCCACAGGACTAGCAGTGGACAGCGCTTTCGGCAGTGCAGTCCAGAATATGATCCACGGGGCGCGAAAGAGACAGCGGTGAAACCACTGTGTGGAATCAGCCTTCTGGGGCGCTTCATCGACGCGGTCCTTCTTCCGCGTCGCGTCGCGTCTGCTCGCCGGAGTTCTTCCCGACCGCCGAGCGCGGCAAGGCGCAGCAGGTGCCCCTTCCTCCGCCACTGGATGAAGCAATGGCAAAGGACGATGGCCGGAAGCAGATAGGTCCCGTCCCGTCCCGGCTGCGCGCGGGGAGCGCCGCCAAAGCGCCGCCACGACGACGGAGCGCGGGGCGTTCTCCAGAGACACGGCAGCCTTCCATGGGCGTAGCCAGCGTAGCCTCGCGCCGAAAAGGGGCACCACTGCACTTGCCGCGCCGCGCCCCACAGTGGGCCAGCAACCGGCGCAGGCGGCCAAAATTCGAGACGCGTTTTGAGCTCCAGAGTCGCTAAATGAGACTCGAATCGAACGTGTGACCCCACCAACGGATTGCTCTCCGAACGAGGAATCCATTGGTGGGGTCACACGCTCGGTTTGAGCCCCATTTAGCGACTCTGGAGCTCAAAACGCGTCTCGAATTTTGGCCGCCTGCGCCGGTTTCTGGCCCACTGTGCGCCCCGCCCCGCCCGCAGCAGCACCTGTCGCGCGCCGTTTCGACACCTGCAGGCGCCGCCGCTAGCTTGCCGCTGGCTTGCCGCTGCAGGCTCATTCCGGGAGTCCCTTCGTCGCCCCGTCTCTCTCGCACCCGAGCGCGACGCCGCGACGCCCCGTGGGAGCGAGAGAGACAGGCGGTGAGCCGGAAGCCGGGATATCGGGCCGCGGTGGATGATGCGGAAAGACGTCCCCGTTACGCACACGCGCCACGCGCCCGCCCGTATAAACGCCGTCTTACGTCCTCGCGACGTGGCGTGGCGTGACGAGGCGTGACGTGCCGTGACGCGAACGGCAGGTCATCGCTCTGTCTCTACCGCGCCCGCACTACGGCAACGCCCCAGGAGTGCGAGAGGAGACAGACTGACAGCACTGTTCGGAACCAGCCAGCCTAGACTAAGCAAGCCCTTGGGTGCAGTGTACGAGGCCGCGCGGCCGCACGGGGCCACCAGTGCAGGCCACCGCGCGGCGCGCACCCGGTACCACACTGCGGTACCCGGTCTTCTATGGGCACGACGGCGCGGCCGCCGCACAGTGGGCTGGACTTTGATGTGTGAGAGTGTTGGGCCGTCGGCGTGACGCAACAAACCGGGCTGCACTGCTTGACACCTCCGCCCGCTGCGCCGCTCCGCCAGTCGAAGCACACGCCAATGAAGGGCCGCGGCCGCGACGCCAACGAGTGCGCACTACACCGTGTAGGCCCTGCTCCACGCCGCCCGCATGCACCACGCCGACAAGCGCCTATCGGGGACGTCCACAAACCACGTCACGACGCCACTGGGGGTGCATGCGGCCCCGGGACTCGGCTTACGGCCGGTCCCTGGCCGGCCCGGCCCGGTCCGCACCCTGCGTGTTCGGCCCCACCTGCCGCAAGCCAGTGGCGGGGCGGGGCGGGGCGGGGCGTTGGTTGCGGGACCCAGCCGGAGACAGCGCGTCGCCGTGGTGCCGTGTGGTGCCGGTCGGCCAAGCGGGCAAGAGGGACGGGCCCATGACGGCGGCCAAGTCCTGGCTGTTCTAGCAAACGCCAGGACCCGGAGCCCACGCACAAGTGGGGCATCAACTGTGCCCCGCTTGTAGGAGAACTCGTGCCCCCGGTCGCTGGACCGCCGTCAACAAGGGTCAGCCCCAGCTATGCATCCCGGGCCGGTGCGGCACGGCGGCAAGCAGAACCAGAGCCTCCAGCGCCGCAATGTCCATTGTTGTGCCGGACAAGACCCGCTGCAGGCTGGAGGCAAACTGGAGCCAAACTGGAAGCACGCTGGAGCGTCGATCACCTTCGCCGCCGCCGACAGCAAAGGACAAGCACGGGACGGCCACCAGGATAAACATGAGCCGCGGCGCCGCGACCAAGGCAAGGACCGCGCCGTCGCACTAGGCTGCTCTCGCTGCGCTTGACACGGTCCGCGAGCAACACGCACTGCACCGCCACGCCGGCCACGCCCGCGTTGCCTAGCGTTGCCGTGGTAACCGGAGGAGCGTCCCGTCGCGCCACCTGCCACGGCACCGCCACGGCGCCGCAGCCTCCATTCATTGACAAGCCTGCAGCCTGTCTGCAGCCCTCCGCGGCACTAGACACCTCGCGGCGAGGGGCGGGGGGAAGGGGGAGGGGAAGGAAGCGGGCCGCAGTGCCGGGTCGATGTACCGTGTTACCAGGCGAGCTGGCCCGTCGGTCTGCGGGGGTGTCGGCGTCGGCACGGCAAAGCCCGTGCGAATCTTAGCGAGCGACCCGGGCCTGCCTTGCCGCGTCCTGCCCTCCACACAGACAGTCTGCTTGCGGTGCTCGCGCCCTCAAAGGGCGAGAAGAGCCGAGGGAGGACGCCGCGACGACGAGCACACCATGCCGGGCTCCGTGGCGCTCGGCGCTCCGCGGCTCCGCGTTCCGCCATGTTGTCTCTCGCTGCCGCGGATAAACGCCCTCCCCCCCCCTTCCCCCGCGAGCAGCGTTGCCGCGCCAGATTGCCGGCCGGCGCGTCCTGCGAGTGCCCGGCGCCAACAAGTGCCGACGACGGCAACGCGGTACGCCCGGTGCGGCCGGCACGTCCATCGCGGAGCGCCGCGGACTGGACTGGACTGGGACTGGAGGCCGACCGGGCACTCCGCGAGCGCCGCAGAGCAGCGCCCCGCCGCAGATTCCAGCCCAGACCAAGGCGGCAAGGCGCCTCGCTGCAGCCGGAAGAGCATACACCGGAAGCGAGCCGGAAGCATTCACACCGAAAACGTGTCGAGACTGACGTGGGCCCGCACTGCACCCCTTTCGTTCGTACGGCCAGCTGGGCGGGAAGGGCGCGCTGCCGCATGCCGCATGCTGCCGCGGCGGCGAACCTAACAGGAACCCCTCAGCGGCAGCAGCGCCAGAGGACGCGCTGCCGGATTTGCATTCAATGGCGACACTTGATGGCGGGGCGGGGAGCAATGTCACGGCAACGGCCTCTCGGGGCAGCCGGCCAGCCGACCGACCGCCCAACACTCTTGCAAACACGTGCGTCTGCCAACATTCGCGTCACAAAATCACGCCAATGCACGGAAAGCCTCCCACCGCAATGTTGGGTTGGGGCGGTTCCGTCTGGACCCGCGCACCCGGCCTTCGCGAGGGTAGTTGGCTCCTCGGCCTTGCCACAAAGGAGAGAGAGAGAGAGAGAGAGAGAGGGACACAAAATGGCAGTGGCGTGCCCGGCAGTGGGCGGGGCCCGCCCCGCCACCGCCACTGCGGAAAAGCCTGGAGCTTTCCCAGGTTTCCTCTAGAGGGACTCCGCGCTGCTTTCTCTGCAGGTGGTGCCGCGGCGCGGCAGGCCCATTCCGAGCAGTGCCGTCGCCGCCCTGTCTCTCTCGCACCCACGGGGCGCGGAGTGGGTGCGAGAGAGACAGGCAGAGCGCCGGCATTCGGTCGTGAGGGTAATGGCTGATCGGCCCCGGGGGCCCCGTCGCACAGTGGGCCAGAAGACGGTGGAGGCGGCCAAAACTCTGGACGCGTTTTGTGCTCCAGAGTCGCTAAACGGGACTCGAACCGAACGTGTGACCCCATCAATGGATTGCCCTCCGAACGAGGAATCCATTGGTGGGGCCACACGTTCGGTTCGAGTCCCTTTTAGCTACTCTGGAGCTCAAAACGCGTCTAGAGTTTTGGCCCACTGTGCGTCGGCCTCGTCGGCCCCACCCCCGCCGCCGGAGACATCAACGCAGGAGCGCCCCGCCCCGGCCGGCCGCACGCCTTCCCCCCCCCCCTCTTCTTTCAAGCCCCGCACCGGCACCGCTACTTTGCGGTCACATTCCCCATGCCGTGCACCGCGCCTTGCACCGAGCCACGCAACGCGACGCCGGGCCGCGGGATCCAATGTTCGAATCCCCGCCATCACGGCTGCATCGCTGGTTTTTCCCCCCCTTTTCTTTCGACGCGGGACGCCGGTGGCGCACTCCCACACACACGCACAGACACACACACACACACACACACACACACACACACACCACACACACACACACACACACACACACTGCAGTCACTCACTCACTCGCACGCCGAGTGGAGGAGTGTTGATTCCCAAAGCCCCACGCGTACGCTGCATTATGAGAAAGAGAAAAGGGGAAAAACGAAGCGCCCCACTGTAAATAGTCAAGGCGAGCGCGGCGCTCCCAGTGCACTGGCGGCCTTCTTTCCTTGGACTATGCTCAAACGCTCAAAATCGCGTACGTACAGGCGTATACAGCACTTCCACACTGTGAGTATCGCCGATTTGGCGGCCGCGTCCGAACTCGCGGGACTCATTCCCGCGCTCGGCAGGCTGCCCGTCTCTCTCGCACTCCCGGGCGGGGTCCGTGAGGGGCCGTGAGAGAGAGAGACAGAGAGACCGCGGTCTCCAGGAGCGTCATGAGCGCGAGGCGCCGGAGCACTTCAACGAGACCGGCAGAGCGACCTTTGCGCGCCGAATCAGCGCACAGTGGGCCAGAAGACCGGTGGAGGCGGCCAAAACTCTAGACGCGTTTTGAGCTCCAGAGTCGCTAAATGGGACTCGAACCGAACGTGTGAACCCACCAATGGATTCCTCGTCCGGAGAGCAATCCATTGGTGGGGTCACACGTTCGGTTCGAGGCCCATTTAGCGACTCTGGAGCTCAAAACGCGTCTAGAGTTTTGGCCGCCTCCACCGGTCGTTGTGCGGGGTATAGCCTCCGCGTGACGTCCCCGTCGTCGCCGCCGCTCGTACTGACCTGGATCAGGGCCTCGCCCAGCGAGACGCCCTTCTCGTTGACGATCTCCTCGGTGAGCTCGGAGTGCGCCAGGATGTGCTCCGAGAGCACCGTGTCCGCGTGCTCCACCATCATGGGCTTCACGACGTACTGTTGCGCGCCCACGACCTGCAGCAAAGGGAGACCAAAGAAATGGCATTAGTTCACAGGAGGCAAAATACAGGGAAAAGCGACCGAAGTCGTCCGATCGGAATGTAAACGAGTGTTCGCGAAATTTCCCACAACACAAATTAAACGCGGAAATTCCACTGGCTAACTAACAATGGCACTAGTTTTCTTTTTTATCCAGCTCATCGGACGAGACTCACATGTGGCGCATCTAGCCCTACGTCGGCCTGCCATTGGCTGTCGCCAGGCAAGAAGGCACTTGGCACTCGGCACCCGTCACCGGGCCCCTTCAGAGGCACGGGTCACCTCGGCCAAGGTTTTCACGAGGATAATCAGCGTCTTTTTGCTTTTTTCCTCCTCCCCGCCAGACGCTCACTGACTCGCTGATTCCAGCAGTTTTCAAGTGGCGCGAACGGAATGGGCCGGACTACCGCCAAAAGGGTCCCCGTCGGACGTGGCGACGTGCCCGCCGCCAAATCCACATCGCAACGAACCCAGCAGCCACTGCCTCGCCGACGAGTAGCTGGTCTGGTCGAAACCACGGAAACGAATACTTTTTGGCACAAGCGAACAGAGTATACTATACAAAGCCAACTGCGTATGCATGCACCGTGGACGTACCAGTGGGCTCGAAAAAGAACCGATCGGGCTCTCTATGCCCGAATCACTTTTAATGGTGGCCTTTATGGATATCTCTGCAGCAGACTGATTCAGTTAGTCGTTCTCGTAGGTCTGTCTCTCTCGCACTCGGGGGGCCAGTTGAGCTGTGCGCCATTTCGTGAGTGTGCAGGCCAGACAGCCGCTGCTCTCCTTCGCGGCACCTCGCGGCCCGGAGACGAGGGCAAGGGGTGCGGGTGGCAGGACACTCGAAAAAGCCTTTCGCGAACCTTTTCCACCTTCTCCAATGGCCAGTCGGCTTCCACAGTGCACCTCCGCCACCGCCGCTTTGCAATGCAAACGTTTCACGCTCTCGTTGCGCGGTGCAAGGCGGTGCAAGGGAAGGATGCAAGGGAAGCCGCTTCTCCGCGAGGAGGCAAAACAACGATACGCATTGAGACGTGTTTGAGCGGTCCCATGGGAAAAACTGTGTCGCCTTTTCTGGCCTTTTTTCCATGGCGGCCTTTCGGTTCACGGCACAATGGCGCTATGGGAATGCCGTGCCCACGTGGAAAAACTTCATTTGCCTCGCGGAGATATTTCATTCATGCTCAATCACTGCGAAGGCCACAAAATATGAAATCGCGAGACACCCAAAGTCTCTCAGTGGAACGGCCTCCGCATAAAAAAATTGAAAGCCAAAGTAAGATTCGGTGAAACCGCTCGACAATTACCACACACTGTAAAAGCGGCGAAGTAAACCCCAAGCAGCACTAAAACTAAGAGACAGGAAAAAATCTTGACAGTTCCTCTTCTGCTAGGCCAGCGCAGGCACCACCGCTGGGTCCGGGTACCCCGGTACCGGTTCGAGAGTCAGACTGGCAACGCTGTAATAGCCCCCCCCCCCTTCCCCCGTCTCTGTCTCTCTTCAAGCCCCGCGAGCTATCCAACCAGTTTCACTTTATTACTGTACATAGTATCCGGTCCAATCGTGCGTCCAGGCCGGCCGGCAAAGTCCGGCCGAGTCCGGCGGCGCGACTGCGGCTGAGGCATGGCTGAGGCACTGAGGCCGTCCCCGAGCCCGAACCACCCTCAGACAGAGCGCCCTGCCTGGCCCTGCCCTGCCCGTTTCCGGGTCGCCGAGGCACGGGCCGCTAGAGAGACATCGCGGAGCACGAACTGTTAGAGGGACAGAGGACGCCTCCGCGGGGAGGCTTTAGAGAGACGGGGTCGGGGCCGCGGGGAAGTGTGTCAGAGGGAGCGCGTGGGGGTGGCGTTAGAGAGCCGCGCGACGCGCGAGGATAGAGAGAAAAGGGAGGCCGCCGGGCAGTAGGGGGGTAGAGAGATGCGGCCGTGAGGTGTCTCCAGTCGGCCCCTCCCGGAGAGGTCATTCTGGAGAGGTCATTCTGGAGAGGTCATTCTGGAGAGGTCATTCTGGAGAGGTCATTCTGGAGAGGTCATTCTGGAGAGGTCATTCTGGAGAGGTCGTTCAAGAGAGGTCGTTCAAGAGAGGTCGTTCAAGAGAGGTCGTTCAAGAGAGGTCGTTCAAGAGAGGTCGTTCAAGAGAGGTCGTTCAAGAGAGGTCGTTCAAGAGAGGTCATTCTGGAGAGGTCATTCTGGAGAGGTCGTTCAAGAGAGGTCGTTCAAGAGAGGTCGTTCAAGAGAGGTCGTTCAAGAGAGGTCGTTCAAGAGAGGTCGTTCAAGAGAGGTCGTTCAAGAGAGGTCGTTCAAGAGAGGTCGTTCAAGAGAGGTCGTTCAAGAGAGGTCATTCTGGAGAGGTCATTCTGGAGAGGTCATTCTGGAGAGGTCATTCTGGAGAGGTCATTCTGGAGAGGTCATTCTGGAGAGGTCATTCTGGAGAAGTCAACCTGGAGAGGTCGTTCAAGAGAGGTCGCCATCCTTGCCAGCAACGAAAGCCGGCCGCGCTCCTCGTCCAAGGCGCGCGCCGGAGAGACACTATAAGAACGTCGCCCAAGACGTCGTCCAGCACGGCCCTGCCGACCGTCTGTCTCGCTTGCACTGCTGCATTCGCGGGGCGCCCCGAAAAGGTGCGAGAAGGACAGAGCGAGTTGGAACCGAGGAGGGCCATGTCAAGGTCGCGACGGCACAGCTGCACATTTCCGCCCAAATTACCGCCACTACACTCGCAAACGCGTCAGAGGCGGGGAATTTAGCACCGCGGCTAAACCTATAAAAGCGGCGGCAGACCACCGGAAGTATTTGGCATGTGACACTGTCCTCATCGATTCTTTTCCACAGTGCACCCGACGTCATGAACACGTCACCAACACTCAGGCACCCAGCGCTCCGGTGGCACGTCAGAAGCAAAACGCGAAGGGGGGAAAGGGGGGGGGGCAGTGCCGCGCCTGGTGGACCAGTTTTGGTTTAGGTGTGCGCTGCGCTGCGCCGGGCTGGGCTGGGCTGGACGTCCAGGTCGCGTTCAGGGTCGCCGGGACGGCGATGCTTGTGTCGTAGCCAGTCGTGAATAATTCTAGACAATTTTGAGAAAAAGAAACCCACGAAGAATACCAATCCGACGCGGGGACGCGGCGACGCCGCGTCACCACGCGACGCGGTACACTGGCAGTACACTACACTGGATCGCCGCGACTCGGCCGTAATTGTCATAATACAGCAGCGGGGCCCAAATTATGAGAGGGAACGCCAAGCGTGGAGTACGCACAGTGGGCCAGAAGACCAGTGGAGGCGGCCAAAACTCTAGACGCGTTTCAAGCTCTAGAGTCACCAAATGAGACTCGAATCGAACGTGTGACCCCACGAATGGATTGCTCTCCGAACGAGGAATCCATTGGTGGGGTTACACGTCCGGTTCGAGGCCTGTTTAGCGACTCTGGAGCTCAAAACGCGTCTGGAGTTTTGGCCGCCTCCACTGGTCCTCTGGCCCACTGTGGTACGTCGGGACGCGGTGCCGGCTGCGCTGGCCGACGGACGACATCTCGAGGGACTCTCGGCTGGCTGGGGCAGGGCACCCTGACGACAAGCACTGCACCGCGCACCCACTCATCCCCGTGGACGGCCCGGACGGCCCGGACGGCCGGACGGCCCCGGACGCCAAGCAGAGCAAGCACGTATCCAGGTCGTTGTCCTCCACGGCACGCCGGGCAAGCCGCGCGGGCACGGCGGCACGGCGATGCAGCTCTCGGCGGAGCAATCCACGCCCGGACGGGCAGGCCTAACCTAACCTAACTTGTGCCCTCCGCCCTCGCGACTCGTCACAGCACGGCGCACAGTGGGCCAGAAGACCGGCGCAGCGGCCAAAACTCCAGACGCGTTTTGAGCTCCAGAGGCGCTTGACAGGACTCGAAACGATGGTGTGACCCCACCAATGGATTGCTCTGCGAACGAGGAATCCATTGGTGTCACACGTTCGCTTCGAGTCCTGTTCAGCGACTCTGGAGCTCAAAACGCGTCTAGAGTTTCGGCCGCTGCGCCGGTCTTCTGGCCCACTGTGCGGCGACGCCAGGAGAGCGATCCCAAACCGCGCGCGTCGCGTCGCTCCTTCTCTGTCGCACCCCCAAGCAGCGGCGGGGCGCCGCCGTGAGAGCGAGAGAGACGGCGCGATGGCACGGCGGCCCGACGACACACCGACGACGTGCGCCGGCCGTAAACGCCATTGTGCACCGAGACATCGACCATAACGCCTCGCGACTCCCAGTGTAGCAACCTGCCAATGTGGCAGCGCTTCAAAGTGATTCTTCAAAGTGGCCGGGGAAGAGAAAGGGAGGGAAACCTTACAATAAAAAAAATTTTAAGGACGCGCAAAGAATTGTCAGGACCTGCTTGCGTGGCACTGTTCGCGGTCCGCCAAGAGGCGGGGTCCATTTCACTTTTGAAAAGTGTTGAAACGATAAGACACCGGCTGGGGGTATGAGCCGCTAAACAAGGGCAAGAGACGCACACACACACACACACACACATTGATAATCTGAACCAATGATAAAAAGGACGCGTCGCGTGTGTGTGCGCAAGTGAAGTCAGTACACGCGTAAGTCACCTCGTGTATGTCACCAGATAAACCGACCCAGCAGGGCGCCTTGGAGGCCGTGGAGGCCTTGAACCCGCGGGCAAGGCAGGCGGCCCGTCCAGGGGACGACGCGGACCGGGGGGGGGGGGGGAGAGCCCCGCAGGGGCGCAAGGCGTGCGTTCAAATCAGCAGCGTGTTGTACTGCCGAGGCTTAGACACACAAGCCACACCCCCGCACCGCCACGCCGCCACGTCCACGCCACGGTGACCGAGTCAGAGACGGTCAGAGACGGTCAGAGACGGTCAGAGACGGTCAGAGACGGTCAGAGACGGTCAGAGACGGTCAGAGACGGTCAGAGACGGTCAGAGACGGTCAGAGACGGTCAGAGACGGTCAGAGACGGTCAGAGACGGTCAGAGACGGTCAGAGACGGTCAGAGACGGTCAGAGACGGTCAGAGACGGTCAGAGACGGTCAGAGACGGTCAGAGACGGTCAGAGACGGTCAGAGACGGTCAGAGACCCGCACATTTCAGACAAATGAAATTGCCCGGTGGATTCAAAAAGGTGGGTGGGCTGCCGTCCGAAAGGGCAGCCTTTCAAATGACTGTTTGGACGCAGGCTGAATGACGGCTGTGCAAAGGCAAACATTGGCGCCGCATAAACAAACTACGTACTAAACGGTCCCATGTGGAAGGGGCGGGGCGGGCCGGGGCAGGACGGTCAGCGCTTCGTTCTGCTTCCGAAGTGTCGCCCCGCCACAATGGGGGCCTTTATGACCGGCACACGCACGCACGCCAACACACACACGGTCGCCACTTTTTGTGCGGGGGTGGGGCGCACTCTACTCGGCGCGCTGGAGGCCAAGGCCTGGCAAGGCGTGCCAAGGCCGCCCCGTCGGGTCAGGGTCAGTCACCTCGCCGAGGCCGCGTGCGCGGCGTAACACTGCCAGCGCGGCCTCCGGGCCTCCACCACAGACCGCTGCACGACCTCGCCCTGGAGGTGCGCGAGGGTGGCCGTCGCGCGGGCCGGCCGTACCCCCCGCCGAGCCCCGGCGATATTTGTGGGTGGGGGGGGCAATACTGTATCGGGGTGCGGGCCAACCTGGCAAGGGGAAAGGCACCGCACAGTGGGCCAGGGAACCGGCCCCAGGTGGCCAAAACTGCCAGCGCGGCCTCGAGCTCCACAAAGCCCGCTACATGGGAGGTCACCGAGGGTGGCCCCGGGCCAAGGATTCCCCCGTTCGAGCCGCAATATTGGTGGGGCACACTTTTCGGGGTCCCAAATTTAAGGGGGACTCTGGGCCAAAACCGCGCGGGTTTTGGCCACATTTCCACGGCTTTTTGGCCCAGAGTGCACAGCGCCAAAACCCTTCCACAATGATTCCTTTTGGACCAGCAATCCAGGTGGCCCGTCCCACGGGGTTTCAGCCCAAGCAAGCTCAATCCGGACAGTGTTTGGGCCCGCTGTCCCCCTTTCGGCCCACGGAGCGCCCCCCCCCTGCCAGAAAAAGGGAAAGCAACGTCGTGGTTCAGGTCAGCCCAGAAGGGTCATGTCCGGACAGGTTGCCTGCTCCCTGGGCCCCGGGAGCGCCGCTGGGCGAGGGAGGCCGTCGTGGAGGCGAGCCGAGGGCCGTCCGGCAACAGGTGCGACGAAGGGGGGGGGACGGGGAGGGGGGCGGGGCGGCGGCGCTCCGATTGCGGAGTGAGGGGCGACGGGCGAGGCGGCGGCGGGGGGCGGGGCGCGGCGAGACCCCCTCGCTCCGGATTGCGTCAGCTGTGACGACTGCGGCGACGGTGGCGAGGCGGCGGCATCGGGGGTGCAAGAGCGGCGCGTTCGCGAGAGGCCCGGTGGCGGTGGCAGCCCGCCCTCAGAAACACGTGGCCCACGCCGGAGTCCTAGCGTGGCGTGTCGCGGTTCGAGTCCGCGGCGTGGCGGCGTGGCGTGGGGGTACAGTACAGTCCGGGCCCCGCATCGCGTTGCGGTAGGCCGGCGACAGGCACCCCTAGGGAAGGTCCACGGCGTAGAGAAAGGCGCGTGTCCAAGCCTTACCCGAACCACGGCACTGGCCTCGGCCCTCGGCCCCTCGGCCCCTCGGCCGGCATTTCCCACTCCCTCCCCAGGGGCCGTGCCTAAAGCAGCTGGCCACGGCGCCACGGCCGCTACACCGCGAAGAAAGGCGCAAAGCGGCCCAGTCCGGCCCCGCGCCTTCGAGGAAAGCAGGCTGGCGCACCGCGGCGCATCCACGAATCCGCGGAGGGAAACTAAGCCCCCGAAAAGAAGGCCCGTCCAGAGCGAGAAGGCCAACCCGCGCAACCTTTTCCACGAGCACGACTGATTTAGCTTTCCGATTTGATAGCCTTCCGAGACGCTGGCGTCAGCCCGCTGCGGCCAAAGCTAAGGCCACAGATTACGTCGAGCCCAAAGTTTAATTAGTGATGGTGGCAAATGGACGAAACTCACCTTGTTGGCGGCCACGTCGATGACGACGTAGATGAGCAGGACCACCTCCTCCTCGTCCGAGCCGAGGCGCGCGCCCTGCTGCCCGGCCGTGGCCAGGTACAGCACGCACAGGTACCTCGTGCCCTGCATGTTGCTGCCGGGGACGTGTCCGTCGGGGAAGCCCTTGGAGGGGCCTGGGGCTCACGCAGCCATGTCCCTTGTGGTGCTGGGGTTGGTGATGGTGGTGATGGTGTTGGTGATGGTCCAGCGGGTGATGCTGACGGTGATGTCTAAACCCTAAAAGAAGACCGTCGATCTCATTCCTGCGCGCCGTGCCACAGACTGAGGAGGTGGTTCCAGTACTGTTCCCGTCCCCACTTCCCTCTCGGCCCCGCGACCGGCGAGCCCACCGCCCTGCCCACCGCCCTGCCCCCTTCCGCGACGCCCCCGCCGCTCGTCCAGTATGGTAAGGAACGGCGGCCGGACACAGGAGAACGGAAGGGACTAGAAAAGACAAGCCAGCTCAAGCAAAATTTAAAAAAAAAAAAAAAATCATGTAAAATCTGTGTTTAGCTTGACATTGGAACAAATTTTGAGCAATTAAAATTTACAGGGTTCATAATTTAGACAGATGCAAAATTTAAAAAAATATTTACTGTATCGTTCTTCTGAAAATGAACGCAATTTTACACTGTCTTGAAATATTTTGTAAATAAAACTGGCGCACCGAAAAATATGACAGTGATTTTTTTTTTCCAGAGGTCCGTTCAATTTGCCACTCGCGCACCTATTAACGTCCCTTTGGCTCGGACCCGCACGCCGCGCACCTTGTCTCGGGGTCTTATCTCATTCAACTATCGAGACTCGGAGACCGGCGGGTCGCGGAGCCGCATCCGCGCACCGCACCGCGCACCGCCTTGCCGCGATAAGAGAGAGACAAACTTGGCGCGGTGCCAAAATCTCACCGGCCCGGCCAGATTCTCAACAAGGGGTTCGTGGTCCAGGGCTCCAGTGCCCCTCCTCTAGATCGGTGCGAGTGGCGAGTGCGTGGCGGTGCCTGCTTGACGCGGGGGCGCTAATGCTTGCTGCTTGCCCCGTGCGGCGTGCAGTCGGCGTGTCATGTCGGCGTGCGCGGTGGCGGACGCGGCGGAGGTGCCTCTGCTACCTGGGTGCCCGGCAGTGCCGGTGCCCGGCGGCCACGGACAGCAACGCGGGCAGGGGGTCGGTGGACCTGGAGGCCCGGCAGGGCAGGCCCAGGCCGGGCAGTCGCATCGGCCGGCAGCGCAAATCGAGAAAACCAACCTCAAAAAAGTGGCAGAACGCGGAAGGGGAAACACTTGAGGAACAGGACACTTGCAGACTAGAATGTCATGGAAGAAACGTTGACGGTGGCGGCGACGAGGATGATGACGAAAATTCACGAGTACACACACACTAGACGAAGGGAAACACTAAATAAATATCTTGGTTGCAGAATACGGCGTGATGGTTCGTGGGCAACAAACTTAGTTAAGTATCACAGATCACATTGTTCTTGTTCCTCTTCCATGTCACTAAATTACTGATATCACACGATTTGTAATCCGGCTAGGCACTCACACACACATTCACTGTTACTAAACAACGTTCACACGCATTCACTCGGGCTTGTTCGTCGCGGCTCTCTCGCCTCGCCTCGCCTCGCATCAACTGTTGGTTCGGTTGTCTTGTCCGGCGCGCGGCGCGGCTGAAGCGCGTTGAGGCAGCGGCCCACGGCAGGGGGACGGGGAGAGGCGCGGGGCGGCGCGGAGCGGCAAGGTGTGCACAGGGATTGGCTGGGCTCGGCACGGCCCGGCAAGTGAGAATAGGGGGCACACAGGTAAGCCAAAGAACGCAGCGCGCAACAGCGCGGCAGACACTCCACTCCTCTGGTTGCTCGCGCTCTGTCTCGCCGTGCCGCTCTCTCTCGACGCGGCAGGGCGGGGCGGGGCGAGGGGCGGGCCGAGGGGCGGGGCGGGGAGTCCCGGCGCTCCACGCCGCTGCCCGGTGGCTGCGTGCAAAGGCGTTGCCCTCTCTCTCCCGTCGCCCGGGGCTGTGCGGGTGCGAGAGAGACGGCGAGGGCCGCGTGCGAAAGGGGAAAGCCCTGCCCGTCCGAATGCGCGGCGCGGCGCGGTGCGGCGCGGCGAGAGCTACCTGGCGGACCTGGCGAACCGGCGGCGGCGGCGTGGCCGCGGCCGGCGCTCCGAGAGTCCTGCCGCGCCGTCCTGCCCGTCCTGCCTGGCGCGCGGCGGACACGCACGCGGTTTGCAGTGTGCACGCCACGGGCCGCGGTTGGCACGCCAGCACGCCAGTAAAGACGCGATCAAGTCCAAAAGGACGAAGGACCCGCCGTGAGGACACTGAGGACACACACGCACAGACCGCACCGCGCGCACCGCGCATTCCGGCGTCGGTGTCCTTTCTCCTCGTTCCTTTGGGGGACCATGCTCGGGACGGGCCAACGGGGCGGGACTAGGCGGACCCCTCCGCCCTCGCAGCCGCTTCCGCCCCTGGCCGCCGCCACGCCACGCCACGCCGCCACGCCGCGCACCGCGAACACAGCCACGTGGTCCGCGCCCGGTTTCAGCGGCGAACCCTTTATTCATCCATTTATTTATTTTCGTCGGCGTGGTCGACGGCAAGCTGGGGTGCCAAGTGAAATCCATGTCGAGGTGCAAATGAGGCGTTTCTTTTCGTTTGCCCGGCCGCGGTGCGCAGAGGTCCCGGACACCTTGGCACTGTTTTACCGACTACGGATCGCGCATCGCGCAGCGGCGCGCGGTTCTTTCGAAATGCACGTGTGATATCTGCTCCTTTTTTTCGTTTTTCTCCGCCTATTGGCGCGGCCCCGCGAACCGAAAGCTGCCCACGTGTATAATGTCTGTCTGTCTGGCCGCGCAGTCCGTCCGTTCGCCCCTCCCTCGCGTCAGCCAATGAGGCCCACGGGCAGCCTGCTGATGTTTTCAGTCTTCCAGCAGCCGGCACTGCTCTGAATTGCTCTGAATCCGTGCATTCACATTCCAAAGCGCACAGGACAATCACGGATTCAGGCCGCGCCGGCTCGGGTTCAAACACCCGGTCTTCTTCTTCCTCTTCTTCTTTTCGGTACGGCATGGCATGTGCGCAGGGTATACGTACTGGAGGCCCGCGGTGTGGTCCGCGGCCCGTGCATGGCGTAGCGCGGCGTAGCGCGGCGTAGCGCGGCGTAGCGGGTCCACATCTCTGCCTTTTGAATTAACTTCCTTTCTACGGCCCCCTGGACGTCCTGGACGCCGCGGGCTCTCCTTCCCCTCTCCCCTCCCCCCTCCCCTCCCCTCCCCCGCCCGCAACCACGGCTGGGCGCGAGGCCCCCGGGGCCCCGGCAAGGGCCAAGGCCTGGCAAGCCCCCCTCGGCCCTCCGCCTGGGGTCCCTGGAGTCCGACTGGCCGAATGGCCCGTTCCAGGTTCCAGCTCCAGAATGTACCCCCGACTTGCAGCTCCAGCCAGCCTTGCCAGCCTTCAGCCGCGGTACAGTCCGTTCGGTCAGTCAGCCAGTCTGGAGTTAGTCTGGAGACCCGCCGCGGCCGCAGAACAGGTGATGTGGATGTGCTCTGCCCGGCTCTGCCGCTTCCCGTCCGACTGGCCGTGTGGCCGTGTGGCCGGCCGGGCGGCTGGACCAGGCTGGACGGCGAACCACATGCTTTTGAGCCCGTCCGTCCGCCCGCCCTCCGCCCGTCCGCCTAGTAGGCCTGGAGAGGGATTAGATCGACTCCGGGGGGAGGAGGGGAGGGGAGGGGACAGGTGCCACAGTGTCGTCGCGCCGTCGCGCGATGGGTTGGCCAGCCTGCAGGCTGATTCCGAGCACTGCTTTCGTCGCTCTGTCTCTCTCGCACTAATGGGGCGTCCCGCAAGGGTGCGAGAGAGACAGAGCGACAAGCAGTGCTCGGAATCAGCCGGCTGGCCGGCCGGGGCTGCGGGATGCTGCGCGCGTGCCGTCGCGTTCTGCTCACGTCGCGGACACGTCTCGTCACGACTCTCCGCACGTCGCGGCACGGGCGTGACCAGGGCGTGACCAGGGCGTGACGAGGCGGCCGCCAACGTGGTCCTCGGCGTGTGTCTGGCCGCCTTGGCCGCCGGCGTCTCTAGCACTATGTCTCTAGCACTATGTCTCTAGCACTATGTCTCTAGCACTATGTCTCTAGCACTATGTCTCTAGCACTATGTCTCTAGCACTATCTCTAGCACTATGTCTCTAGCACTCCCGGGTGGAAGGATCTTTCGTTAAACTGTAGTTTCAACTACAGTACCAAAACTGCAGTTCCCGAACTAAAGTTAGTTTTAAAAAGAAACTGAAGATTAAATACAATTCCACTTTGCAGTTGAAATTGTAGTTTTCTGTCAGTTCACAATGTAGTTTTAGTGTTGATTTGAAGTTCAGTTGGAGGTTCAGTTTAAGTTTCAGTTACAATTTACTTAATATCCATTTCTGGAAGTAAAGCGACTGCTGAAAATAAATATTCAAAAACTGTCTCTCATCTAGTATGTTTCCGTACTTAGTATGTATTCTAAACATATTCTCTTATCGACATACTAACGTTGATAGTTATGTCTCAAAACTAGTACGTTTCCATACTTCTTATGCAATCTTCTAGTTGTATCAAGTAAAAGTTACATACCACAAGGGGAACTCAAAATTACAGTGGCTGCTTCATTGCTTTTAAAGCAGTTGAGGTTTACGTTGAATTTTTTGTCGTCTCCCTTTAAAAAAAGTATCAGGTTAAGAGCAAACGTTTAAGGTTTATAGCTAATACAGTTGGCTTTACTTTAAATGGTATAGTTGTTCGCTGTTTAAAAATTTATGCAAGCTTCCCCTTTTTTAAAGTTAGCCTCCCTAAAGAGACAAAGTAACCTTAAGTCTGCGACAAGTTTACGTAAACAGACTTGTCGCAAAGGTCCAAAATATTTTGCGCTTACATTTTTTATACTGACAGTTTAAAATTAAAATTGGTCATAAAATGCAAGTTTGTCATGAAGAGGACTACAACTTTACATAGGATTACTCTAAAATTGCTTGTAGTTTAAAAGATGTAGAAAAATTCTTAGTTTTGATTTTTTTTTATTAAATCCAAATCAAAGTAATTCTGTTAAGTCCTTCATATACCCTTCCTTTTAAAAATAAACATAATATTACATGCTAGTAGTATTAAATAACACTTTCGTTGAGTAACGGGGCTGAGGCTCTATTTTGAATTTTCTCTCTCTTTTCGGAAACTGAACCCCAACTACTCTCTTTCTAGTTATTTCAAATGGCTTTTAAGTTGTTCGAAACTAAGGTTGAACTGCAGTTTGACTGCAGTTTAACTAGCACGAAAATGAGGGAGAAACTATAGTTGTTCCAAATAACTGGTAGTTTTTGCATAGTTAAACTGCAGTTTTACTGCAGTTGACTATAGTTTAACTACAATTTTTTTTCTCTTAAAAGTTACTTTTAACTTCTTTATTTTTTAATTTTTGTTTCACTTAAAACAATACATTTTACAACAGAAAAACTCCTGTTTTGTCATATAGTTTTAACTGCAGATCCTTCCACCCGGGCTATGTCTCTAGCACTATGTCTCTAGCACTATGTCTCTAGCACTATGTCTCTAGCACTATGTCTCTAGCACTATGTCTCTAGCACTATGTCTCTAGCACTATGTCTCTAGCACTATGTCTCTAGCACTATGTCTCTAGCACTATGTCTCTAGCACTATGTCTCTAGCACTATGTCGCCGCGCATTCAAGTTGGAAGTTCCATGCGCCTCGAGGCCTCGGACAATCGGGTCGAGACAAAGGGCGAGGGCCCCAACGGGCCCCACCCCAACCCCACGGCGTGCAGCAAGGCGCCAGCGCGCAGGCCGACCGATTCGTCGATTCGTCGCTCCGTCTCCCTCGCACCCCTACTCGGGACGCGCCATGAGTGCGACAGAAATGTAGGCACTCTTCGTCTGCTGCAGCAGCTGCAGTGAGCCAACCAGCTGCAGCGCCACGCCGCTCTGCCAACTTTGACGAAATGCTTCGTTTCCTGGTTTCGGGTTTCGACACAGACCGCCTGGACGGGGTTCGATCCCGCGGCCCCGCGCAAACTGCCGCGGCGCGGATGCACGACAAAACGACCTAATGTGTCCACAGAAGCATGCCGGAGCCCCGCCGGAGGCATGGGCAGCAGCATGGTGGATTTTGCATTCCTCTTGCGTAGTACAGTACAGTACACGAGGAATACTACATCGACATCCATAGGCAAAATACTCCGACAGAGCGTGATCCGCCTGGCTGCGAACGCGGGTACGCGTGCGCACCGTAAGGCCGCCCTGAAAGTCGATCTGAATCACGATAGCGGAGCGATCGCCGCGTTTGGATCTCGGATCCGCACGCAGCTCGCGGCGTGCCGTCGTCGAGACCGTCGTCCCGGCAGCGTGACTACGTCGTTCCGATTCGTTTCTATTCTCGATGTGATGAGAATCGATAGGCCGGCCGCCCAGTCCGCGCGGACGCCGGATGGTGACGTCTTGGCGTCGCAGGGCGTCGCAGTGCGTCGCAGTCGCAGGCGTCGGGGTCCGAAATAGTGTTCCGGATTGGGTGGGCGGTCAAAACCCGATGACTCCAGAGCGACTCTAGAACTCGGCCGGTGAATGCAGTGCCAGCCGCAGGCACTGCCGACGGGATAGCTTAGGCCCTACGCCAGCCTACTGACAGTGCCTGCGGGCGGCACTGCATTCACCGGCCGAGTTCTAGAGTCGCTCTGGAGTCATCGGGTTTTGACCGCCCACCCAATCCGGAACACTAGCCGAAAGTCCGACAAGGGGCGGTTTGCCTGCAGACTGCAGTGTCGCTCTGTCCCTCTCGCACGCTTCGCACGCATGAGGCGTATCCCGTCGGGGTGCGAGAGAGACAGCCTCCTGTTACTCCTACAGTGTGCTGCAGTGCAGTGACCCCCGCGAGCCCGCGAGGTAGGCAGGCCGACAGCCAACCAGCCGGCCGGTGTGTCGGCCTGTCGGCGTCGGCGTCGGCAAGGGTAACCCGTGCCGTGTGCCTGGCCGCCTCGCCGCGGTGCTGGTACTCTGGTAGTCCTGGTGGTGCTGTTCCCGGCTGTGCCGCCAGCCAGGCCAGCTGGGCCTCTCCGCCTCTCCTGCTCTCCCGCAGCTTCTACTTCTTCTACTCAGCTTGGCGAGGCTTGGCGCGGCGCAAGCTCTACTCGGCGAGCTCCAAAGCTACAAGCTCGCGGCTCGAGCTCCGCGAGCCGGGCCGGCGCGGCGACCTCAATGCACGGTGCGGGTGCACCCGCCTCGGCGCGCGGGGCAGCGCTCTGTCTCTCTCGCTCCTCTACGGAGCGGCCCGCGAATGCGAGAGAGACAGCCTCCCGGCCGCGCTGCGGGAACAGCTTGGAATGTCATCAGGGGCGTAGGCACGGCGGGGCGGCGGGGCCTCGGGGCCGGGCGCCCTCCCAGGCCAGTGTACCTTCCAGACCTTCCAGTTGCGCCAAGCCGGGACCAGCTGGGACAAGCCGGGACCAGCTGGGACTGCTGGAAGTGCTGGAGGCTTGGGGCCGGGACCTCTAGGCTCTCTAGGCCGGCCAGAACGGCCGGAACGGGGACGGTGGCAACGGTGTTCACTGTCACAATCCAGGCAGGGGTCGTCCCCCCCCCCTTCCCGCGGCGTGACAAGCCCTTCCCGACCCGCTTCTGGACGTTCTGGACTTTCTGGACCCTGGGGCAACCCTGCAATTCTGCAGCCAGGAACAGAAACAAGAGCAACGCGAGCAACGCCTAGAATCTAGGTGTGGACACGTCAAGGGGTGTCTGCTGACACGCTGCTGACGCCAGCGGGTGGTTGGGTCACCTACCCGGCACGGCGCACAAGACACCCGTTTGGATGCGATCTCGATTCTGCTGGGAGATATCCAATGCGAACGGCCCGTGCGACGGAGGGCCCAGCCTCTGGGCCCAGCTCACGGCATCCAACATTCACGACCATCGGGTGACATTCGGCCCAAGCCCGAAACGACGCCCTGGCCTTCATTTTATACAACTTTGTTCCACTTATACACTGCTATTCTAGGAGCGTGGCGACCGGCGTCGCACGCGTTGGGGCGTTCGTTCGAACACTGCAGTGTCACTTGAGTGGGCCTGCGGTGGCCGTAGGCTGATTCCCATTGAAACGAAGATGATGTTGAGACGCTTGTCGAATAATTCCGCCTGCAATCGATGGCGAAGCCCCGCTGGCCCGTTCCGATTGCCTACGCCACTGCATGGCCACTGCCACTGCCGCGAGCGTTGGCGTTGCCTCCCGTTGCCTTCCGCGGTGCCGCGGGGACATTGCCGGCTGCAGGCAGCCTCTGGGGAGCCTTCTGTCTGCAATCAGTCGCACTCGATGGGGCACTGTCGGCCGGCCGGTCCTTGGGGCGGCCCGTTCAGTTCGTTCAGTTCGGCCGAGCCATTCCTTGCAATCAGTGTACTGATGCACTGTCGGCCGGCCGGTCCTTGGGGCGGCCCGTTCAGTTCGTTCAGTTCGGCCGAGCCATTCCTTGCAATCAGTGTACTGATGCACTGTCGGCCGGCCGGTCCTTGGGGCGGCCCGTTCAGTTCGTTCAGTTCGGCCGAGCCATTCCTTGCAATCAGTGTACTGATGCACTGTCGGCCGGCCGGTCCTTGGGGCGGCCCGTTCAGTTCGTTCAGTTCGGCCGAGCCATTCCTTGCAATCAGTGTACTGATGCACTGTCGGCCGGCCGGTCCTTGGGGCGGCCCGTTCAGTTCGTTCAGTTCGGCCGAGCCATTCCTTGCAATCAGTATACTGATGCACTGTCGGCCGGCCGGTCCTTGGGGCGGCCCGTTCAGTTCGTTCAGTTCGGCCGAGCCATTCCTTGCCTTCCCGCGGTGACGACGGTGACGTCGAGCTGGTCGAGGTATTGTATGCAGATGGCGTTTGGCGGCCCAGGGCGCTCGCGGCTCGCGCCCCGCGCCTCGCGTCGCCCTTTCCGCCCCACCGGTAGAAGGGTTGACCCTCGACCCCTCGGCTGCCCCCCCCCCCCTCCCGCCTCTTGCGAGCAGACTTTGGCACCTTGGCCACTCCCCGCCCCGCGTGGTCCCATCCTCTTGATGCCGAAGTGCGAGGAAGTAGATCAAGAGCGAGACTCGCTGCGAGAAGCTCGACACGTCGCTCTCATGACGCGTGCCGCACGGTGCGAGCAGCGCGAGAGGGACAGAGCGACGTGCAGCCGCTGCCCGTCGCGGAGAAAGGTGCCAAAGGTGCGCGGTGCGCGTCCACTTGCAGGACTTCCAGGCCTTCCAGGCCTTCCAGGCGGGCCGTGAAAATGAAAATCAGAACGCTGCGCCGCGCTAGGCCGTCCGCCTCTCCATGCTGCAGCTGCAGCCAGGCTGCCAGTGTGGCTGCCACGGCGAACGCGGCGAACGGCACGGGAGTTCCCTTTGGCTTTCCACACCACGCGCTTTTCCTTTTCGCTTCTCGCACTAACTCCAGCTTGTGTGTGTGTGTGTGTGTGTGTGTGTGTGTGTGTGTGTGTGTGTTCGTGAGTGTGTGAGTGCGTGTGTGTGTGTGCACGTGTGTGTGCGCGTGTGTGTGCGTATGTACGTATACCATGTCTGTGTGCACGCGTGGCGCGGCAGCCGTTTTATAGACCTGGAGGTCGTCGGAATTTCACAGACACTTTTCCCACAAAAAGACGAAGGATGTGAGGGGCTTGGCTGCGCTGCCGCGCACTGCCGTGCGCTGCCTGGACGGCAACCTGGACGGCAACCAAGCCACGTACCCGCGCTCCGGCTCTGGCACCGGTTGACCTAGCCCTGCCTAGGCGGACTAGACGGACTAGACCAGCGCAGACCGGAATGAACCCGACTCATTTATTCAATGCGGTGTTAATCGTGGTAATCTGTGCTAGGTTTTTCAAGTTGGCCGTCGAGTGCGCCGCGCCGTCCGGGTGCTGGTACGGGTGGCACCGACACGTCACAACGCAACCCGGGACGCGGGGTGCGGGTTCAAGTCTCCACGTCGGGCTCCCCGTTTTCTCGGCGTTGCGTGCCGCGTGCCCGCCGTGTGTGTGACACTGTGTGACCGGGCGGGCGGGGCGGGCGGGGCGGGCGGGGCGGCCAAGGCATCCGCGGCCACGTGCAACGCGTGCAACGCGTGCAACCAGTACAGCCAGTCACTCACACCACACTCGACGTGGAGGCTCGCCCCATTCCCATGGGCATGCTGCCCTGGACGCGCTGCCCTGGGATCTAGGCAGAAGCATCCCGGAGCCCTGCAGTGCCCTGCAGCCTCAGCTAGCCTCAGCCGAGGCATTGCGGAGTCACCTCGTCGCTGTTCCTCTCTCGCACCCTACACATCTCATGTGCGACAGACGGAGCAACGGAACGGCTCCTCGGAGGTCTCTACATAGCGGGGTGGCAGTGGGGTGGCAGTGGGGTGGCAGAGCAGAGCAAGCCCGGCGAATCTAGCCGGCAGAGCCAAATGAAGTCGCCGCGGCCGTGGCCTCCACGGCCTAGAGGGCCCGGCGACTGCAGCCGGCAACTATGCGACCGCACCGCCCCCCGCACCGGCCGGGCCCGGGCCCCCGCAGCCCCCGCCACGCCGCGCTTGCGATACGCCCCCCGCGCCGCGAGCAGCCGCGAGGCGAGCGCCCATTGGCTGTCCCCGCAGCCGCCTCCGAACGGACCGCCGCCATTGGCTGGACTTTCGCCCGCGACCGCGGCCCCGCGGCCCTCTCCGTCTCTGTCTATCTCGGATTCGTTTCGCGTGTAGCGGCATGGCGCTGGCACCATGCTGGCAAGGGCCGGTGCCGGTGCCGGTGCGGGTGGTGCGGCCGAACTTCGTCACGACACTGCCGTGCCGCGGTCGCGACCGCCACGGGGTCTGTAAAGTTAATCCATGCGCACGGATGCTTGCATGCATGTATGCATGCATGGGTTGCGGATCGCCATGAAATCCATATAGAAAGGTGTTGTTGTCATCCGACAGGAGTTAGAATGACATTTTGTCACATAATAATGCTACAAACATATTGGCATACAAGATAAAGGCCAGTTTGGAAGAGAACTAGCGACAGCGCGGGAGTGCGTGCATGCATGCATGCACGCAAGCGTCGGTGCGTCGCGCTGAAAATACCACTTTAAAAGGACTTTTATCAATGCTGACACATTTCTAAGGGCTAATAACTTCTTCTTGGGTCATGCCAGATGGAAACAATAGCCTTCTGAGTGGATTCCATAGTGATCCGCAAACCATGCATGCATGCATGCATGCAAGCATCCATGCGCATGGTTTAACTTTACAGACCCACGCGAGAGGGTACAGCGTGATCCGAAAATAAGTGGGCGTGCGGTTGGGCTGCCTACCAGGCACGGCGTGCGAAAGAGACACAGCGACGAAACGCTCCCTGGGGACCGCTGGCGATGTCGCTGGCCGTGCACATGATGAGCGTGATGTTCGTCGGCGTGCTGCCCTGGCCCTGCGTCCTGCGTCCTGCGTGCACAGTGCACAGGGAGGAAGCGGCCCCGCGCTGCTCTAGGCTCTAGGCGCTTGGCTAGGCAACCCAACCGACGCCTGTGCTCTCCACTTCTACCAACGCACGATGCGCGGCTCCATCCAACGAGTGTTTCGCAACTGAAAACACCCGTTCAAAGTCGGTCGTCTGTAGCTTTGAACTTTAATTATCCTTATTTTCTGTTAGATGATGCGGCTTCTTCTTTCTCGAGTGCTTCTGCTGTCGTGGTCGACGGAACGGAACAGATCCTTGGCAGAGGTTGGGCACCTTGCAGCGTAGCAGAAGATGTAGCAGACGACGTACTTGAAACAGATGTTTTGATGTTCCTTCCACATTGTAGTGCCCAACAGTTTATACTTGTTTTTTATGTTTTTGGACCGACACAGCACAGTGTTAATAAAGAAACCAGAGATCTGTTTTGCACCAGTGCAACATTTAGATTCTGTCAAATTGGATTTCTGCTCTTGAAAGCGGGTTTCTTTGAATATAAACCATGTCAAACGACATGAAGAGTCGAATTCTGGGTCTCGCTCGGAAAGCAAAGATTTCTGAAATGGAACAGACATTACAGTCTGCTGGTGTTCACTGGATTGAATGTAGATACCCTTCAGGTGACACTCCTTTGCATGTGGCTGCTCAGAGTGGCAATATTCCTGTACTCAGGTTAGTCTTTGTTGATCATCATGTTAATATCGTTTTCTCATTAATCAAATGACACCCTCTACACAATTTTTTAACGAAACTCCAGGTATCTCAGTGAAGTCTGCAATTCTGAGACAAATCATGTTGACATCACCAATCTAGCTGGGAAAACAGCCTTACATGAGGCATGCCAAAACTCACAACCCGAGGCAGTAGCATACCTTCTCAGCAAAGGTAAAGAAAGTTGTTCACCACCAACTAATTTTTTACTCCTAAGTTAAAAGAATGAATCCATGTCTTAAATTGGTTTTCTGTTTCCAAAGGTGCTAATGCTCGTGCAATAAAACAGGCAGACTGGACTCCTCTTATGCTCGCTTGTACCAAGACAGGAAAAAAGGCCTTAGCCTGTTGTCAGCTCTTGCTGGAAAATGGAGGTTCAGCCCTTTTGAGGGACAAAAATAAGGATGGATGGAATTCTATACATGTTGCAGTGAGAGAAGGTGATACATCTATTGTGAAATTGCTTCTTGAAGCTGACCCAGACTGTAAAGAAGTTACAATGAGAAGTAACAATGGGAGAACCCCCCTGCATACAGCAGGTGAGTTCCCAAAAACTATATGAAGTATTTGAAGAGATTCCCAAACATAAACATGTGTGTCATATGTTCATCTTATCTTGCAAGCCTTGCATGGCTGCACTGAGGTTGTGAAACAGCTGTTGAACATCAGTGCTGTAGATTTAAATTCAAAGGACTCTTGTGGGGCAACACCAGTTCACGATGCTGTTCGAAGTGGAAATGTTGAAACATTTACAACACTTGTTACTGCTGGTGCTAATTTATCATTATTAAACAAAGAAGGATATGGGTAAGGGAATGCTTCAATATTTTTGAAAAATTTGGAGTAAATTGATTTTGCTACCTTGTACTTTAATTCTTTTTCAAATTTCAGGGTGCACCACATGGCTGCCCAAGCTGGCCAGTGCCAAATGCTTGAAACACTCTCAGGACTCATCAAGTCGGATGATGGATTGGGGTCTTTTAAAACAACTCCCCTTCACTGCGCTGTACGAGCAGGACAGATTAAATCGGTTGAAACTCTTTTGGCCATGGGTGCCGACCCAACAAAGCTGGATTCATGGGGGCGCTCATGTAAGGACATGCACAGTTTGCCATTTTTTAAGAAATTGTGATGCAACTAATTCCATTACATAAATAACGAATTTTTCCAGGTCATGACATTTTACCAGAAAGGAATACTCCAGAAATTAAGAGTATGTTGGACAATTTTCAGCAGAGATAAATGATTGGTACAATATAATGAAACAAAGATTGATAATAATGGTCATAATTTATTATATATACTTCATTTTACACCTTTAATCCTGGTCACTGTGTTCATTACCTGGAAGCAGAATCAAACATTACCGCTCTGACACTTCATAATGAAATATCAATCAAAAATAAGGTTATTACTTTCTTGGTTTGAGGCTTCCTCTGCTGCCTCAGTCATTCTTAGTCTCTTCCTTCTTTTGTTCAATTTGGATCGCTTATTATTTCGTTTCCTCTTTTCAGATTTCTGATCTTCCACTGACTGTTTCAATGCATCTACAGCAGTCTCCTTATAGATTTCTGAGTTAGACGACATTGCACCAGGAAACAGAGGAACAACCAGTTTTCCTGTCTGTGTAGGAAACTTTGATGAGAAACCTTTAGGAATAAGAGGTTTGGATAGTAAAATATTTAACTGCTTCCGAAGGGCTGCAGCTTCCTTCTTCACTTTGTCTCCACCATCACGAGAATAGGATGTGGGTCTATTAAGATAGTTAAGAAAATACACATAAAAAGAAGTTATAGTGTAACAACAAACTACCGAATGATAAACCAACATGAGAGAAAGGATACAATTCATCATCACTGAGTACCAAGTCCATTTCTTTGACAGCTTTGTCCAGCCAGCCATGCTCTGTATTAACACGTCTGGCTTGTAGTTCTAGTGTGTCAAGGCGACGAGCAAGATGAACCCTTTCTTTAACATTGGCCATCCATTCTGATTCCACAGGGAACATGGGAAGATTAGGGTCTGAAATGAGATTTTCTATGCATTATAGCCATAACTACATTAGTTCTTTTTCAAAACTTTTTAAAGTATTTACTCACCTCTACAAAGGGTCCGGAACAATCGTTTAAAATTGATCACCTCTGAGGGCTCTATGAATACCACAGTTAGACCTTGTTGCTGAGCTCGCGCTGTGCGGCCACTTCTATGAACGTAACCCTTTAAAAGAAAATTTTGGCTAAATTTAGATAGTTTATCTTGCAAATGCTCACAATAAAATGAATGTTGAACCAACCTCTGCTGTGCGTGGTATTTGATAATGAATAACATGCTGGACATTGGGTATATCGAGACCCCGAGCAGCAACATCTGTGGCTAGTAAAACACCATTGGGACTGGCAATAAACCTTTGAAAGAAAAGGAAAGAATGAACATGCAAATCTCAAAAGACAAAAGATTAGCTGATAAGAGAAATGCATAGTAGCTGCTTTACCTTTCAAGGTTTTTAAGGCGAGCTTTTTGATGCATTTTAGCATGCAAAGGCCAAGGCGAACAACCTAGTATTGTAAATAGTTGTGACAGTCTCCTTACAGCTTCAATTGAGTTACAGAACACTAATGTACGCCCTGGATGCCTCTGAAGAAAATAGTACAAATAATAATCTTTTTCACCCAGTGAGCAAATAATTTGTGCCTCTGAAAGCATCTCAGCAACTCCTAAAAGTAAATCAACTAGGTTACAACAATTGCAATGTATGTTTCAGGGGAATAAACAAGCAAGCAAAGATGCTACTGACCTGAACCTTCAGTGATGTCCACAATCTTTGGATCTGACAACCCAACTGTCTTCATAATATTGTCTAATTTCTGGGCAGGTGTCAGTTTGGAGGGTGGCTTCTTTAATTTCTTTTTACCTTTCTTTTGTGCTACATAGCGAGGGGGGGCATGAGTGAGAGTGAGAGTGGCGGAGAATATAAAATTCTGTCGTTTCTTCCTGTGAGCTTCATCTTCATTTATCCTGAATAAAAGTTTTTGAAGTTCCTCAAAATGCCCCCGTTCTAACATGCGGTCTGTTTCATCAATAGCTAAATACCTGAAATATAAATCACAATTAAATAATAACAACAACCAACTAAGAAGCTTTTCAAATAAAACAAACATAAAACATACTTCAGAGTGTTAACTTTTGCAAGATGGGGATGTCCTTCTTCAATAAGTTCCCATAATCTACCAGGAGTAGCAACAACTATTTCAGGGCCACGATTAAGCAATCTTTCTTGCTTTTGAGAGGACAGGCCTCCAACTACAACCGAAACAGATATTGTGGTATATTTTGCAGCAGCCTTCAAATGCTGCGAAATCTGGACAGCCAATTCTCTTGTAGGTGTCAGTATCAGAGCATACAAAGGTTTTGAAATATATCTGGTTTTGGAATTACTTTCTCCGACAGTTGGAAATCCAGAGGTAATATTATCTATTACTTTCACACACTGAGCTGTTCCATCAAAACTGTCAAAGTCATCACCATATTCCTCACAATCAGAGTCTCCTCCATTGAGGCTGTTATTTTCCTCATCCTCTTCATCATCAACACTCTCTTCACCTTTTTTATCATCTTCATCATCGACACTCTCTTCATCTTCTTTATCATCATCATCTTCATCTTCCTCAGCAGTTCCTTCATCAAAATCATTTGCTTCATGCTCATTCCCATCAAAGTCTCCTTCATCATCATCATTGACAAAATTTTCATTGTCACTGTTCATGTCTTCCTCATCTGACAAATGCACATCATTCTCCAATTTTCCTAGAGATAGAAAGTATTTTTTAGTATTTATTTTCAAAACTAAGACAAAGCAAAGGACACAGTGAAGAAGGGGAGCCTACTTTTCTCAAGCTCTTCAATTATTCCATTCAAAATAGGAAGGCCAAAAGCCAGAGTCTTTCCACTTCCTGTTTCAGCAGCGCCAAGAATGTCTCTACGTCCAAAAATTGCAGCTGGAAGCGTCAGGGCCTGGAAAGGAAAAACTATTAAGAAACTGGCAATAAGAAATGATAGAGGATCTACAACCTAAGCAACAGTACCTGTATTTTTGTTGGAGCTAGGAATGATTTTTCAGCAAGGGCACGAAGCAAAATTGGTGGCACGCCAAGACCATTCCATGCTGCCATCCGAGTAGACAGATCATCAGAATTGAACTCATTGCTTTCCTCGGCACTTTGGGTTTCCACTGGAACTTCCCCTGGTTCTTGTGCCTCAGTGTTTGAGGGGGACTTGACATGCTTTTCACCTTTTCTCTTCTTGAGTTTCTTTTTCTTGGCCTTGGCCTTCTTTTCCTTTGACATTTCTCCCTTTGCACTTGCATTGTTTATGTCTGTCGGATTCTTCTTTTTCGATCGCTAGACAAGACAAGTCAACCATTGAAATCTACAGGACCATCATAAATTGATGCTCAATTTTTTTCTGCCCTTAAACTAAAATAGTTTTTACCTTTGCGTTTATTATGGAGTAATCCGTCAGTTCCTCAATCCCAATAACACCATCCAAATCAGCTGCACTGAAAACTGTTGGGTCTAAGGAAATAGATTTCCACTGTCCTTTGCCGCCTTTGATTATTCTAGGTTTAACCATTTTGTCAGGTTGAATGTATTGTTTTATGTTGAAGAAATAAATCCAAAATTGACAGATACGTTAAATTGACTGAAATGAACATGAACATAACCCTTCATACATGTGGCTGGAACTTGCTTCGAACCAGCAACAACAAAAACAACAAAAAGAGGTGTTTTATGAAGTATGAGAAACTATGAAAAATTCTTTGTTGTGAAGATTGTACCAACTGGATTCAACAAACCCTGTCAAGGCTTTTGTAAGAGGGTTATCTTGAAAACTGGTTAACTGTTTTTCTCTTGTATTTTCAAAACTAGGAGTCAGTTTCTCTTAACCCCGTTGTTCTAGCTCAAATTTTACAAGTAATAGTGAAAACACCTCATGGAAGACGCTTGTTGGCTGGCTTGAATTCGATCCTACACAACGCGTTTCCGGCGGGTTCGAGCCTTTTCCGGTCTGATTGTAGCCTTCTTCCAGTGTTGACATCGGTTGCAAGAACATCATCCAATTGGTAAGAAAGAATCCCTGGAAATCCGCATCTGAAACAATTAATCTGCCTTATCTTCTAAATTTAGTCTCATTTTGCCCGCTGTATTCGGCCGCTTTGATAATCTGATCCCCGTTTGTAGGTGGTGTCTTTCACGCTGCTCACAGCCAGTCAGCACACCTCTTAACAAAATGGTAAGTTTTTCAACTATTTTATTTTCTTAGTTGTCCTGTTTAAACCTCTTTTGTCGCAAATCTGATCTCTAAATGTTTTCGGCTGGGTCTTGTTTCTCTATGATCCAGCTATCTATAGTTCAAAACACTTCATTGGAGGTTAGGTTGCCGGCTGCTCCCAGTTCTATGTCCGCTAACACCTCTCTGTAGTATGCTATATGCCGAGACTTGCAAGCATTCATAAGCGAAGATTTTCCACTTTTGTCCATGTCTCGTCTTCCAAATTTCATTGCATTCACTTCGCTGTTCATATTCATTCTTGGTTGGCATTTTCCCCACAATCACAGTACACTTTCAGTTCCTGTCAAGTATGGTTTAAATTATGAACCTCAGCCAATTGCCATACACTCAGCTGCAGTTATCGCAGCTTGTTGAGCCTGTTATGTCTGTTAGACCTTTCCTGCTGTGGTGTTCTGACTGCACAGCTCCGCTGAAAACTGTCTTGGATATAGTTGTCTTAAATTTTGTTTTGTTTCTTTCAGCCCAAGGAAATTAAGGAGATCAAGGACTTCCTGCTCAAGGCAAGGAGAAAGGATGCCAAATGTAAGTTCCCGGAAATTTTTTACTGCTTTGTGGCTAGCTGTGTTGGTAGAGTCTGATTTATTTTTGACATTCTCAGCTGTTAAGATAAAGAAGAACGCTGAGAACACCAAATTCAAGGTCAGGTGCTCCAGGTTTCTCTACACCTTAGTCATCACCGACAAGGAAAAGGCTGAGAAACTGAAGCAGTCCCTTCCTCCAGGTGGGTCCTTCTTCTAGTTCTTAGTGGTTGTAAGGTACCTGGTGAGCTCATGTGTTGCAACAGTATTTTGTTGTGATACCTAAGTGGTCTGGAAGTCACATGATTTGTGGATTCTATTATTTTTGTTGGTGGGTCAAAGTTTAATGCAAGTTCCTTGAGGAAATTCAGCCTTGTTTGTGCGCTCATTTGTGTGCTGAAACATTCCCTTGTTTCTTGTTGCAGGTCTCCAGGTCAAAGAGATCAAGTAAAATGTTTCTTAGGTAATAAAATCTCTATAAAAAAATAATATGTTCTCATTATTGTTTCCTTTTTATCCATACTTACTAGAAAATGACTAGATTGAACTAATTTGTGTTGGTTAGAAAATAAGAGGATACTTTTATTTTGTGTGGGTTTATTTCAACATGATATGTTCTTTAACATATTGCATGACATTCTGAAAGGCAGGAATTATCTGTTATGAAGAAAACTTTGGCATATGAGAGACGACAACATCTGACAGTGTCTAGTTACATGTCTCTGACAGGGTTGGAGAACAGGCTAGTCCAACTTGTGTTATAGCGATCAGAATCCTTTTACTGCTTTTCAAAAGTTTGTTAATGAGATGGAATGATACACTTGGCTGCTTAGCCTTTGTGTGACAATTAGCAGCCATTATTAGAGATGCTTCTCGCATGCTGAGGAAGCCAATCTCTTTGACGATCTTTACATTTCTAGCTGGGAAGTTTGGTCTTTGATACCATTGCAACAAAATAGGATTTAACAATCAACACTTATCAACTCTGTACAAAATGTAACACAAATTACAAAAAAAACGATAGTCCTCTTGTGCTGTTGCTAGACGCCTAGTCTGATCTTTCCATGAACAGTCCTCATTCGACTTTTGACTATAACTAAAAGGGAGTAAGAATAAAGTAGCTACTCAGGGGTGGACTTCTAGGTAATGTGCGCACATGTGAGGGGCGACCATAGGCCTAGATGAGCACTCCTGCCCTAACAAAGACAGTGAGGTATTGTCAAACACATCTAACGTAACCTTATAATATTTGGTGACAGGTTTCAAAATCTGTTTGTGAAAGTGCCCACCCTAGCTTTGTTAAAATCCTTCCTCAAAGTGCATCTCTCAGCGGCTCAATCTGTCAAAAGATGAAGCATAAGTGCAGTTAATTTGGTTTGGTGTCCTCAAATTGTGGATTGGACACACCTTCGCTCTAATTTTGAAGAACATTAAATAATGTTCAAAATTCAATCAACAGTAATTTGTAAGATTTGTAAACCAAATTTTACAGTATTCTTCTGATCAAACCAAAGGGAGGATGGGGTACAGTCAAAAACAGTTCATCTCAATATCAAAATGGTATACATAAAAGCCATAAAACACTCCCAATACAAACGATTTTCTTGATGCATTTACCCTTGGTTGCAACTATCTTAAGATGATGAATTCCCAGGAACACTGTGGACTATGCCAAACATACATATTTACAGTAAGTATTTTCTCAAAGAGATCAGACCTCTCTGTAATATCCAATAGCCTTCAGAATTTCACGTGGAGCATTGTGGCTCCAATCCACCCACCTGCTCACCTAATAGGTTCTTACATCAAAACTATACAGCCTGTAATATACATATGGTACAGCAAAATTATAAATTTCAATCTACTTTTTCCTGCAGTTTTTACATTTTCAGAAAAATAATATACTGTTACTTCATTTTTGGCTATAGTAAGCATTCTCGGTAGCACAATCTCTCAATGGCCCTGTCCTGGCTGGGAAGGAGGGATGGCTTTCTTCTTGTCTTGGCCTGCGGCGATGTACGAGAACACGCACAACACCGAATAGCAGATGGTGTCGGCCTGGAACGGAGGGAAAGATCTGGATTTAACGCTGCTGCATTTCATTTCCTTGGTTTCTCCCTCTCCCGCACAAGGGCCCTGTTGGGTCCATCCCCCAAGGCCTCAAGGGGTTGTCAAGTGGGCCTCGAGGCAGTAAGGGTCTAGCCCTTAATGGTAATGGTAATGGGAGGTAGGCAAACCGACGCGCGCGGCTGTATGATGCGGTGCAGCACAATACAATCGTTGCAGCACCACGCCACGGTACAAAAAATAATAGCACTTTGAAAAAAAAAAGTTTTTAAAGAAAACGAAAAAGGAGGAGAAGAAAAATGTCAAATTAAGTAAAAACTTACAAAAAAATAAAATAAAAATAGAAGCTGCTGATGGAGGGAGCTACCGAACCAGTTGTGCGTATGCCACTGACATGATGCGATGCATCGAAAGAGTAGCTTCAGAAGCCTAAGAATGCAAACGAAACAATAACAACACGAGCAAAACCTAACAAAAATTGATAAAACAAAAACAAAAATTGCTGAACAAAATACATGAACATGAATTTGAAAAATAAGAAGTTGCTGTTGCTAACACAGCATCGGCTAGGACTTACCATTGAAGATTTGTACTTCCTTTGAATCAACTGCCTAGTCTTTGGATCTGCAATAAACAGGTTGACAGTCCATCAAAACCGGTTCTTACGTACAAGAAACACACATTCAGGCGCAACTGGGACACTCACTAAATTCTTCGAGGACGAAGATTCCACCCTGCAGACAGAAGCACTTGCGCACGTGGTCAAGTCGCACGAAGAACTGCAACAGATTCGGGAGGGGACGTTCACGAACCGGTCGGGACTGTCGTCCTGCCATTCCCGCTCAGGTCCCTCTCCCCCTCCCCTCCCCAGTCAAAAATGGGTGGTCGAAACGAGTTTGCCCAAGCTTGCCACGACTCGACGCCATTTCGGCCACCTATTTCTGAGTTTGCTCCCCGATACCAGCTAGAGGCGCCAGTCCACGCTTACTTGTTTACCATGTTATTTAAACTAAAACTAAAAGTTTAACTTTCGTGCACAAAGATTTGCTTAAGTTTGCGTTCTGCTTGTCGCGGCGACGGCCTGGACCGGAGGCGCGCTCTGGGGAGGGCTGGGGACAGGTCCTGCTTTAGAGCAATCGTTATCCGGAGTGGCGATGGTTTGTCCGGGGATTTGCCTTGCCGCTTGCCGGCACTAAAATCAAAACGGCACTAGTTGACCTAGCGTCAAACGGTCGCTACGATTGCGGCCTTCAAAATGCAGCGGAAGCATCAGAGCCGACGTGGCCGGGGTAGGCAACGCGGTGCACGCCAATGCGTCCCGCCGCCGCGTTGCCTACCCCGTCCACGGCAGGCGCCAGGCAGGCGGCGGCCCGGCCAGGGCGTGCTTGCCCTGCAGACTGAATCAAAGAGTCGTTTCCATCGCTCTGTCTCTGCGTCCCTCACAGGTGCGAGATAGACGGAGCGACTGAAACGACTCGTGGAGACAGTCCACTGGCCGTGGACGGCCGACGCGGGGAGGGGAGCGTCCGTAAACCGCGCGGCCGTTGGCGCCGTTGGCCTGTCCTCTGGAATCACAACCCCCGCCCCGCTACGCCCCGCGAGGAAGGGGCCCAACGCCACAGGTGCGGACGCGTGCGCCCCCAAACCGCGCGGCTCACGGACGCAAGGCACGCGACGGCCGGAGGGGCCGGAGGGGCCGGAGGCACACACCATGCGGCACAGCATGCGGCACACGCACACACACACCCATGCAGACAAGCGGTGCACAGCGGTGCTACTGGCTAAGAGACTAAGGAGGCGATAGGACACTTGAGAGATGGTCTGTTCAGCTCGAACACCGCACTGACCCACTTGTACTTGACTCTGATTGGCGGCGGAGGGGAGGGGTGGGGGTTGAAGTGGGATGGGGGAAGGGGGCGAGGTAGGACGAGAGAGAAGGGGAGAAAGAGTGGGACGGGGAAAGGAAGTAGTGGGGTGGGGTGGGTGTGGGTGGATGGGTGGGAGACCCCGGGTGCATTCTTGGGATGCCATTGAGCAAAACACGCCCGGGGCGCTTCATCCCATGGAAGGCGAGGAATGAGGGGGAGGGGGAATGGAAGGGGCGATGGGGAGTTATTGGAATGGAGGAGGAAGAGCCACCAAGTCAAGTCTGGAATATTTTCTAAAAAAAAGTATGATAGGAATGACACCAATTCTACAGTAAGTATTGTCAAAACAAAAGTAAAACAAAGTATAGGTGATCAACTACAAAACTCAACATCTAGATAAGCAAAATTAACTAAAATATAGATAGATATTGATAAACCAAAGTGATTTACAGAAACAGTCTATTGTGATTCATTGTTACAGGTACCTCAAAGTCCTGTTGAATCGTCACCAAGGTTCCGACGCGCGTCAAAAGATTATAAAAAAGAAAGAAATAAAACACATTATTTTATGCTCTTTTTAAAAATCAAATGCAGATTTGTTTATGGAATTACGTGCGTTTCTTCTTGTCAAGGACCATCTCAAAAGTTCCTAGGCTTTCCAACGAAAGAATATAGTATAATTCAAAAGAAGAATATGGAGAAGCAACGAATCATGTTTATATACCGGCCATCCACGTCTGTGAAATATACAGACGTGGAACAAAAACATAAACATAGGATTAAGCAAGAGTTATACGTAATGTAAAAAAAGAAATCCGACAAACAACATTCAAATTAATGTGAAGATAAACTGTAAAAGAATGATGTAAATTTAAATAACAACGTGGATAAAGAATCAAATAGGGCTGAACTGGAAACAAAGGATGTACTTAATCCAAGATAGGGTTGGGATATGGACAAAGAATAGCATGCAGAAATGTTAAAGACAGACAACTTGAAATGGGATTAAATAATACTTGAAAAGTAAAAAAGAAAGCATTAGCTACCGAAGTATTTTGTATATTGCTGGCACAGTATGTGAATTCAGATTAAAATACGTGGCAAAACCGAAACGTACGTTTGACTACGCATTCGTATGGCTCTGCTCTCTATCTGACACACAGACTGAATATCCACCTCAGATTCAGTCAAAAAGTGATGAATAATACTCTTAAAAACGAGTACAACGATGCAAAAAGATGAGCAAGCACAGGGAAATACTAAGTAGAAGAGGAATATTTTGAGAGGTCCTTGTTATACATGATTCTAAACACAACACGCACATTGCCAAACATCCATTGAGACCCTTTTTTTGTCTACTTTTCATACTTAAAAAAAGTCTTCATAATCCCTTTCTCAAAGTGCCAAATGTTACAAAATGGCCTCTTTGCAAGAAGATCTAGGAATGCTCGCGTGATTTTGCCACTGGAGGGCAACAGAGAACCTCGCGTATATATCACCGGTACGTCATGACGTAAAGAGGGGCGGCTGACATTCCGACATCTGAATCATGCCTTTTTGATTCGATTCGATGGAGTTCGCGGTTCGCGGCGGGCGCCCTTCCGGAGACTGGCTCTACCTCGGCCGCGGAAGTGACTCCATAGGGATCTTTAAGGGACTTTCAATTTGGAGGAGAGTGACGTCAGGGAGTGTTTTTTTGATTGGAGGGTCTTTTGTAATTTAATCTCAGAAACTTTGCTCGTGGTTGCAGGCAAAACCTCCGAGCTGCGTTTCATGGTTTCCGGGCCGGGTCTCAATGCATGCTTCTTCATTCTTTTGGATGGGTTTCACGGGTTTCAGATGCAAAAGGGAAGACAACCTTACGTCCCTCAACGATTGAACCTGAGCCAGATATAGCTTCCAATCTAAGAACGTTGAGCTAATCGCATCAAGTGCAAGATTAAGAAAGATTGTTTACAAAAAAATAAAAATAAAAACAAAGACTTTAAAGCGCCAAGCCAAGGCGTTGGCTGTGGGATCAGAAAATTTGGCTAAGAGAAGACGTCAGCGAATCGACGTAAAATTTATCCTTTCGATTATCTGAGGTTCTACGGAGTAAAGTTTCAGGCCAAAGACACACAAAGTCTGAACAAAGTACAGCAAGTCCGGATGGAAACTTTTCTCCTTAAGTAAAAAAATATGTAAAGCTTTACTGCCTAGTACCTCAGTAGTGGTCGGCTCGGGGAACGCCGGAACGTACCTTGCTGTGAGCAAAGAGGAGCCCGATGCCCTCCATGCAGACTTGTAGGAGGCCACCCTCGCCGGTGGCCATGTCTTGGACTGGGAACTCGCCCCCCAGTTCGGCGCCCGAGGCCACCCCGTGGCCGCGAGCGGCCGCCGCCTCCATGGCGCTCTTGATGCAGTAGTACAGCTCCTTGCACTGCAAAGCCCACAGGGTCCATGTTATCCAGTCCACGCCGTTGACCCGTCAGCCTCCGACAACGCCGCCGGCCTACCTTCTTGGTGTAGTACTTGTGCAGCTGCGTCTGGCCGCCGTGCCGCGCCCACAGGCATAGCACCTTGGTCTTGGGGCTGTAGGTCATGTTGACGATGCGCTCGAACCACCAGCGCTCCACGATGATGCCCATGATGGTCCTCAGCACCATGCCGTCGTCGCGCACCTCCATGAACATCATGTTGCCGGTGGCGTCCGGGCCCATGTGCACCGTGAAGGACTGGCGGTGCGCGCGACGCGAACCCAGCGGCCGCAGGTCGATGTCGTTGCCGTGCTGCGACAAGAACACCGTCAAGGACACCGTCAAGCACGCCGTCAATCTCCACAGAGGGAAAGGGAACCTTGGTCGCGAATGCCGTTGGGCGGCGGGTGCGGCGGGCCTTACCAGGGAGTCCACGCGGTCCAGCAGGTTGTTGACCTCCTGGCTGTACACCAGCCCGATGTGGCTCTTGCCCAGCAGGCGGCGCACCTTCCGCTTCAGCTCGTTCTTGTCCACGGCGGTCATGACCATGATGGCCACCAGGTTGTTGAGCATGTGCGACAGCAGCCGGTCCTCCTCGTGCTCCAGCCGCTTGCGCTCCGACTCACTCAGCTGGTTGTACCTGCGGGCCCCATCAAGTCAGTTTGCCAGTCGGGAGAGCCAGGGCGAGAGCTACTTCTTTGGAGGACTGCACTGACCGCTCCATCATCTCGCCGGGGCCCTGGTCCATGCCCACCATGTCCCGCTCCTGGGACACGGCGTCCAGGAAGGCGTCCTCCCAGAACTGCATCTGGTCCCAGAGCGAGGACCGCTCTTTGCCGATCAGCCCCCCTGAAACGCCGCCAGAAAGGGGGAAAGTTAACCGAACCGCCACCGTCGGGACGCGAACTCGGAGACTTGCTATCGCGAGCCGAGCGCGCTGCCCGTCGGGCTGCTGTGCCTCTTCTTCACTCACCCTCGTACAGGTAGGTGCGGCCGTGGTCGGGGCTGGGCGAGCCGGCGGGCATGAGGTTGCCGCTCTGGAAGGTGCCCCTGAAGGCCGTGCTGAGCGAGGACTTGCTGGACCACACGCTGGGCGTGCGCGGCTTGGGCTGCCGGGCGCCGCGCGGGAACTGCAAAACCAAACGTACACGGCTCAAAATCCGCGCGCAAACTGCTGCGGTGAGTTCTTTTGAGGCTGAAGGTTAGGAGTTGCAGCTCTAGGAGTGATCGCAAATCGATGACGTCATTCGAGCACGCCAGGAAGCACAGCCCCAGTTCCGTGAGCGCGGTGGTCGCGCAGCAACACTACTATGTGTGGCCGACAGTCTCGACGGGGGAATCGTGTAGCGAGTGGCGCAGCGCCCGTGCAAGCCATGATCCATGTAAGCAGTGGCAATGATTAAGCGTTGTGTGATTTTTTTTAAAGTACCAGTTTGATTATTAGTCGCCACTACGAGCAGCGCTAGGTCTACGCTAGGCCAGGGCTACGCTCGGCCGGGTCTAGGCTAGGCCATGGCTAGGCCGGGTCCACACTTACGTTGCCCTGTTCGATCTCGCTGTCCGACACGGTGCTACGGAAGGACGCTTGCAGGGAGCCGCGTTGCAGGCTGAACACGGGGTTGGTGATGATGGAGCCGGCGTCCGACGCGTTGCCGGACACGGACAGGTCGTGGCCCTGGCCGCCACCGCCTTGGCCACCGCCCCCCGCCTGCAGGCCGCCGCGCCGCGGCCAACAAAAGGAGTGTCAGGTCCGACTTTCTCGCCCTCAGCGCCTGTGAGGCGCGGGGTAGGCAGTGCGCTCCACCCGCCCGCCCGCCGGTCGCCTACCCTGAGCGCCTGTGAGGCGCGGGGTAGGCAGTGCGCTCCACCCGCCCGCCCGCCGGTCGCCTACCCTGAGCGCCTGTGAAGCGCGGGGTAGGCAGTGCGCTCCACCCGCCTGCCCGCCGGTTGCCTACCCTCACGGCTGGCCGACCCACCATGCTCCCCGTCATACTTTTGGCGATCAAACGAGTGTCGTTGTATCGAATTCATTGAAATTTACGTCGAGTCCTTCCCCAAGTTGTAACCACCGTGAACCGGGTGAGGTGCTGTGTTTGTGATTGCGACGCACCTCTGAGTCGATGGAGGACAGCTTGGACAGGAAGGCGTGCTTCTTTTGGCTGAACATGTCGCGGAACATGTCGGTGGCCGAGGACCCCTTTTGCTGCTGCGGGGCGGGCTGCGGCTGCACCGCCGGCCGCAGCGGCGGCTTGTTGGGGGACTTGGGCAGCTCGGCGGGCTGCTCGGAGGGGTCCTGGATCAGGCGCACCTCCGGCGGCAGTGAGCAAGCCTCTGCAAAGCGAGACCGAAGAGTTGAGACAAGTTCGGGCCGGAGTCCGGCAGCCTGAGGTTGGCAACACTGGCTGCACCCACCGTTCAGGGAGCTGGTCTGCGAGGACTTCCGCGAGGGCGGCTGGCCCTGCAGCAGGTACTCCGGCGGCAGCGAGTCGGGCGACTTGAGGTTCTCCATGCTGGACGAGGTGGTGTTGGCCGTGGTGTCGAGGCCCAGCGTGGACATGCCCTCGGACTCCATGTCCTTGGTCCAGTAGTGCGTGTGGGCGATCTCCAGCACCTGGAAGGCGGACGCCATGCCGCCGAGGCCGTAGTTGGCGTACGACACCTCCAGCCCGCTCACCACGGCGCCCAGCACCTTCAGCATGGCCTTCCACACGGGCCGGCTGACGCACTGCAACAGAGAACAACGTCGTCACATCGCGAAGGCCGTCTTCAGACAGTACGGAAGCAGACACTCACCACGTCGTCGACCTTGTCCTCGGGGCCGATCTTCTTGTCCAGCGTGCGGTTCAGCTTGCTGAGCACCAGGTTGCGGTAGCTCTCGTCCTCCATGAGCTTCTTGAGGCGGTTCAGCTTGAGCCAGCCCACGCCCTCGCCCTCCAGCACCTGCGCCACCACGTCGTTGAGGAAGGCCTGGTTCTCCTGGTTGCTGGTGGAGCGCTCCGACGTCTGCTGGCGCATGATGTCGTCCTGGCTCCTCCTGGACGGGCTGTGCCGGATGAGCGACGAGTTCTCCACCAGCCCCTTGCGGCCCGTGGGGAAGGGCCCGAAGGGCTGCGCCTTGGCCTTCTGCTGCTGCTGCTGCTGCTGCTGGGGCGGCGGCCCGATGCCGATGCCGCTCGTGATGGCCGCCATGCCGCCCGGCATCCGCGGCCCGGCGCCCCTGCCGCCGCCCTTGCTGCCGAACAGGTCGCTGAACATGCTGGTGGTCTGCGCGGCGAAGCCGTTGATGTTGGAGAGGAAGTCCCTGCCCGGGTTGGGCTGGCCCTGGCCCTGGCGGTGCGCGTCGGCCGCGTGCACGAGCGAGTTGTTGCTGCCGGGCGGCCCCATGGCCGGCCCCACGCCCGGGGGCAGCAGCCCCTTCTTGGCCGCCACCTCCTTGACGCTCTTCGTGACGTCGCCCAGCGTGCTCTTGCTGACGTAGGTCAGGTCGCCCAGCGTGTTGCGGCTCACGTCCTGCATCGACTTGTGCGCCTCGCCCATGGCCTTCTTCGTGGTGATGGTGAGCTGCGGGCAGAGAGGTGCGGTCAGGGGGCACGGCGTGGCAGAAGGCTTTCCAGGGCTACAGGGGCCCGGCCGTCAACGGACCTCAACTAGTCGGCCCTTTCTAGCACGGAACGAAGCCACCACCACACTGCCAGATTTAGCTAGCGTTCACTGGGGCGTCTAGAAACCCAGCGCGCGCCCTAGCGTGTTTTATACGTTTGGAAGAAGAGGTCTACTTCGACTCTCATTCAGGGCCGACTCTCGTAACGTGGTTAAAAGCTACAACACAGGCAAGGCAGCTGTACCTGTTCCAGAGGCGCGAAAAGTCCCGCATCGTCGATGGCCACATCGCTTAGCTTCTCCTTGGCTTGCTCCTTTAACTGAGCGATCATGCATGACAGAAGGAAAAAGAAGGAAATAGTAGATCGAGCCAACAGGAAAGACAGATCGAGCTAACAGGAAAAACAGACATCGAGCCAACAGGAAAGATCGTTATCAGTGGCGGCAAACGGTTCGCTGTTCGCGGGAGTCAGCTCGGTACGAGTGCCTTCAAGTGGTAATAAACTTTCAGAAATGGCATGCGGTTTGGAATAGAGGCACTGTTTTACAATGCAAAAAAAACTTAAGTTTTTTATTTAAAAATCACGAGAAGTGCCCAGAATTCACACAGACAGACGGACAGACGGACGGACAGACAGCACAGAAAGCTTCATGCTGTGAAGGTGGAGCTGGACTGGCCTGGACGTACCTTGTCCATCTGGGCGAGGATGCCGTCCTGGCTGCTCTGGCGCGACTCCCGCAGCACCTTGTTGGCCTGCGAGGTGATGTGGTCCAGGATGGAGCTCTGGGAGCCCTGCCGCTGCACGCCGGCCTGGCCGGGGGAGCCGGGCGAGCCGGGGCCGCTGTGCTGCGACGGCGACCCGAAGCTGGACGTGCGCGCGAGCACGTTCCCGATGCTGGGCTGCCGCGTCAGCATGGGGTTGGGGCTCACGGGCACCTGGGGGCACGTCCCAGGGGCACGTCAGCGACGAAAACGGCAACGGGGGGACGGCAACGGCGGGGCGGCACTCACCGGGGCTCTGGACACGGACATCCGGGGCATCTTGGGCGTGCCAGGCTTCTGCTGCGGCGAGCCGGGCCCGTCGCTCTGGTCCGCGTCGGCGCTCTCCTGGAAGGGGAAGGGAAGGTCATGACGACGGACTTCGGCGCTGTCCACCAATGGCCAGTCCTGGACCAGTCCTGGCGTACTCACCCTGCGGGCCGCGTCCCTCGCGCTTTCCCTCCGCATGCCGGGCGGCGGCCGGTGGCGGTCCGGTGAGCTCACGTCGCTGTCGGACGAGTCCTCGTCGTCGTCGTCGTCGTCGGGGCCCCCCGAGTCGCCGTCCGCGTCGCCGTCCGCGCCCGCCGCGGCCGCACCGCCCGGCCCCGCGGCGGCCTGGTTGGCCTGGTCCTCGGCCGCCCCCGGGTACTGCAGCGCCTCTGGCGGGTGGTACACCGTGTGCGGGTCCAGCCCGCTCGACATGGACAGCGGCGTGGGCTGCGGCAGGAAGCCCGGGGACACGTCCGACGACACCATCTCGGACACGAGGTCGCTCAGCGAGGAGTACGACGAGCTGGTGCTCTCCGCGCCCTCCGAGTCCGAGCCGCTCTCGTCTGCAACGCAGGGGCCCAAGTCAGCGCGACAAGTTCAAACGGAGGACACCTGCAGTCTGGCGTATTCGGAGCACTCACCAGTGGGCTGCTCCGTGCGGCGCATGGCCTTCAGCGCGCCGCTGAGCGAGCTGCCCTCGTCCCAGACGGTGAAGTGGATGGGCTCCAGGTTGTGCGCGAACCACTTGGCCTTGTCGCCGACCTGCTGCGGGTCCACGACGCCCGTGTGCACGCGCAGGAACGCCACGTTGGAGGGCGTGAGCGCCCACTCGGCCAGGAACTCGACGGCCTGCGTGCGCGCGAACCGGTCCAGGAACATGGAGTTCCGGGGCCGCGACCGCAGGAAGCTGTTGATCTGGAAGGCCACGACGGGCCGCGGGTACAGGCGCAGCGTGCGAGTGTGCTCCGTGAAGTTGGCCAGCAGGTTCTGCGAGTTGAAGAAGCGCACCTGCAGCAGAGACACAGTGGTGTCAGTGGAGGACGGCATGGAGGCGACTCAAACTTGACACAGCGAGCTCGCACTCACAAAGGCGACGCGCGTGGCCACGTCCACGGAGTCCACGTCGTTGCCGTAGATGAAGGGGTTCATGTTGGCGAGCGAGGCGCCCTGCTGCGCCGTGCCCGTGCCCGTGATGAGCTGCACCGACCCTCGCTGGCTGCTCGGCGCGCTGCTGCAAGAACAAAGTCGTTAGGCGACTGCCGGGCTGGCAGGGCTGGCAGACAGGTGTGGCCAGCGCCGCCGGGTACTTACTGCTGGTGGCCCATGGGGTGGCCCATGGGGTGGCCGGGGCCCACGCTGGGCCGGCGGCCCGGCGTGCCCGTCCCCGTCATGGACACCGGGGTGCCCGGCGTGTGCGGCGTGTTGGTGTTGGTCCCCGCGGCGGGCGAGGCGGCGGTGGTGGGCGGCAGCGGGGAGGAGCCGCCCAGGGACAGGCTGTTGAGCGCCTGGACGGGGAAGAGAGGATTCTTACTGCACGGCTTGGTGGAAGGTCACTACGAGACCTGGCATTGAAAACTTTTCTATGTAGAATGTGTAAAATAACGGCTTGGAAGATGGAAATGAGATTTGTCGAGAGAGGGGTGAAGAACGGAATGACGCAAAGCTGTACAGCACCCACCTGAGCCTGGTCCATGAGTTGCATGGCCTTTCGGGAGGAAGCAGAGAAAGGAGTCAATATCGAAGAGAAGAAAAACAGACATCAAGCAACAGATTAGGAAGAAAGTTGAAAAGACACAAAATTATCCAAACGGTAAATCCATGCACGGTGAAAGCAGCCAAAGTTGGCTCTATCAAGGCTCTGAGCGTCCGCAACGGAAAATACGAATGAATTTAATTCCATCATTATTCATCATGCATTGATTTTTTTGTCGTTAGTAAAAAAGAGCAGTCGAAAACTCGGATCATACCTGTTTCAGGTGGTTTTTGAGTATTGTTCCTTCAGGTTCAGGAAGCGGTGGTACCTCGTCGCTTCCAGAAGGGAAGTTCAGTCTATTCGAGTCGAGATCTACCAACCAGATGTCGTCCGGAAGGCTGCAAGAACAAAAGAAAGTTAATCGTGTCCAGCCAGCCTAGCCCCTCGAACTTACCCGAACTCAAAAACAATCTTACCAAAAGTTTTTCTTTAACATTAGGAAGCTCGTCGGAATACCGATCACAAACGGAGTCGGAGTCAGCAAAAGCTGAAAGGGGAAACAGAGAAAATGGTGAGTCTACCCATGCAACAAAAGCCGGCAAAACGAAGCTTGCTTTCCGTGACTGTACCTGCTCCGCTCCGCACATACAGGTGGGCAACAAGGGGATCACGGGGAACATGTACTCCAGGGGGTACAGCATCGCCACGAAGGCCATGACGGACATGGACAGCGCGTTGTAGTCCTTGGACTGCACCAACACCTGCACCGAACACAAGTTGACGTGACGGCGTCGGACAAGCACTAGAGAAGAAAACGCTTTCCTGTCCATCCGCGCTCACCTTGTGCTCCAGGATGATGAGGGTGAGCACCTTGAGGCACATGTCCACGCCCAGCAGCTCGAGCGGCAGGTGCAGCGGGTAGTCGACGAGGGAGAAGCGCGTGTGGTCGGGCAGGGCGAGCACCATGCAGGGCTGCATGGCGGCGGACAGGATCTCCAGCTCCAGGCGGGTCTTGGAGGGCACGGGCACCGGCGCGCTCAGCAGCCGCAGCACCCAGGTCTCGATGGCGCGCACGTCGTGCAGCACGATGGAGGGCGTGCCGTCGTACGCGCAGCCCGTCAGCACGCTCCACACCGTGTCGCGGGCCTGCTGCCGGTTCGACGTGCCCACCCGCTTGGGCGAGGTGTCGTCGTTGCACGCGTCGATCAGCTTCTTGAGGACGAACAGGCACTCCCGGAAGTACTTGAAGAAGGGGTGGTGCGAGACGACGCACAGCGACGTCAGGGTGTGGTTGCGGACGCGGTGCCGCCGCAGCGACGCCCTCGGGGACGGCGAGTGGGAGCCGCCACTCTCGGAGTCGTTGGCCGCCGCCCCCGGCAGCACGCCGAGGCGCGCCTGCTTCTTCTGCGCTAGCGCCGCCCCCGCCGCCCCCGCCGCCCCCGGGACCTGGTCCGCCTCCCTGCAGCTCGACGCCTCCCGGTCCGAGTCGCTGGGGGCGACGTTACTGCGGTAGTCACTGCAATCATGCGACCTGAGGGTCACCGTCACGCCACGTCCCCGCCACGCCACGGCGACGCCACGGCCCCTGACGTCACGCATTTCGTCACATTGCGTCGCGCAGTGCCACGTGCCACGCCACGTCACACCGATTCGCGCTTCACTGTCATCGACTGATATGGCTTCCCATTAACCGAGCCTAACGACAAAGACGAAAGAATGCACTCGAAATGTTTCCGTTATCTGCAGCTGAAAGCCGAGAAGTCTGACCCCCTGCTGTTCCCACAATCTGAGAAAACTGATGAAATAGATAATGATGCTCTAATATTCCTTACTTGCGAGACATTTGGACCAGGAAAACGAGTTTTCATGCGACCAGGAAAGTTTGCGTCGGTTTGCGGTCTCTCAGGCAGGAAATTGAAGAAACATTGACTTTTCTAAATTTCTAAGAGGGTGAGTTTTTATTTTTAGCGGATTGTGTTCACTTTGCGCCCAGAGCAGAGTTGCGTGGCGAGGCAGATAGATGTTGCCAAGAGCAAAGGGCGCCCTGCCCCCCGCCATGCGGCCTTGCGGCCATAGGCGGCTGCAGAGGCATTCCTGGCGGCTAGGGTATTCCCCGGGATTCCCCGGTATTCCCGGACAGCCTCGACGACTGCCAGCTTGCGTTTCTCGGCGGACTGTTACTGTACCGGACTGTACTGTACTGTCCGCGAGGGAGGCCGACTTGGCCGGGATCTGTGGTCACTGTGCGCCCAGCGCAGTGCGACCCGTCAGTTACTATACTAACTTGAAGCAAAATGCTGGACTTTGAGAAGACTGCTAAATTAGAGAAAGATGACAATGGGTTTGACTGGTGCTGAATGGGTGCTGCTGGCTCACCTGGAGAAGGCCGAGTCGGAGCTCTTCTCCATGCTCTTCCTCCAGGACTCGCGCCGGAAGGTGGACGAGTGCCGTCGGCCGCCCACGCCCCCCACGGCCACCCGCTCCACGGGCCGGTAGAAGTTGACGCAGATCCCGTACCGGCACTTCCCTGCAAGCAAAACCGGATGCAGGTCTGTCTCTCTCGCACTCGTGGGGTGTCTCACAAGGGTGCGATAGGCCGAGGGTGGCGCTTACCCGAGTCCTTGTCGGTCATGGTGAAGGTGAAGGAGTTGGCCTCCCTGCGCGTGGTCCGCCGCGGCCCCACCGACACGCATCCCTCCGGCTGGCAGAAGTACACCACCTCGTTGGGCAGCGGGAAGTCCTTGTGGTCCTCTGGCGGGTAGCGGCGCAGCAGCTCCGGCGTCTGCGGACAACCAGAGCGTGACCGGCGTGACGAGCGTGACGAGCGTGACGAGCGTGACGAGCGTGACCGACACCAGCCAGGCTCGCCAGCATGACCAAGTAGGGACCCTAAGCGGCGAAGCCGCGCCCGCATGCGTCACCGAGAAATCATCTTTTCGGACAATCAGAAGGGGGTGGCAACACTGTCGCTAAAACACACGGCCACGAAGCAACAAAAAAACAACAACAAAAACAACCTCGTTGAGGCGGTATCGCATTACCGCGAATTTCTTCGCCCTTCCCGAAGTGGGAGTCGGCAGCCGAGAGGCATCAGCTATTCCCCACCGGACTTTCAGGCTTCGGGGCACGTCCCAGGGGCACGTCCCAGGGGCACGTCCCGAGGGCGCGTTCTCCAGTTTCCCCGAGCAGAAGCGCCAAGGAAATCGACACGACCTCGCTCATGGCGTCGCTGTCCAGCCGTACTACTCACTCTATTTTTTTAAGGTAGCCTTATTATTTCCATTTTTTTTGGTATTTAACTGATTTTGACTTTTTCAGTTGTAATTTTCATAACATTGGTTGGCATTTTTTTTCACAAACAATTGTTATGAAAATTAAAATCACAAATGATTGTAAATTGTTTTACAATCACGTTATGAAAATTCATATCATGTTATGAAAATTCATATTCGCGTTTGCGAGGTCATTTTAGGGCAGTTAAGCAAAAGGACGACCAAGTGTTCATGTATATGAACACCTATGCGGCCTTATGTCATTTAGTGAACCGATTCTGCTTTTGATCAGTGGGTTTCGAACCCGGGATCTTTGACTTGTGGTGCGCGCTCTTTACCGCTGTGCTACCACGTCCCACGGGAGGCGGAGGGTCAGCTGCCTGATGACTCTACCAGCGCCCCTTGGCCACGCCTCTTGAGCTAGTTATGAAATTTACAATCGGATTCGGAAAATTACTATTGTGTGCTCAAAATCAACACTTAAGATTCGCAATTTTCAGAACATGGTTTGAAAATTACCAACAATTGTCAATTTTACGAAATTGTTTCGAATTTTCGCATCAAGTTCTGAAAATTGCAATGTTTGTAAATTTCATATCCGTGTTCCGAAAATTGTCATCAAAATTGCTTTGAAAATTCATAATTTTTTTAACAGTGTGTTCGACATGCCGCCACCCTCCACGGCGTGCTGGAGCTCGGGGCGCGGGGCGGGGCGCGGGGCGAGACTAACCTGGATGGACGGCGCCCCGGAGCCGCCCTGATTGGCTGAGCGGTGCTGTCCGGGGCCGCCGGGCCCGCCAAGGGGGGCCGAAGGGCGCGCCCCAACGAGCAGCAGGTAGTCCACGAGGCGCGGGCACAGCCATTTCTTCTGGATGTCCATGGACCGCCTCGCGCGCCCTCACGCACGCCTGCAAAGAAAAATAAGTTTGGTCATTGCCGCGGAACCACTCACATTGCCACACATAACAAAATTTACACTTTATTCAACACATTTCTTTCCGAGCTTTGTTTTCTTTCGATTTTTTTTCAGGCCTGTTTTTAAACAAGCACGTAACGAGACACCAACGCCGCCTGACAGCCCACGGACAGGTGTTCGCGCTTTGCACCGCGCTTGGGCAAAAATATATTTTACTACTACAAGTTATTTTTACAGTGTACACTTTGTATGAGCACGGAACGAAGCCGCCCTTTGGCCCTGACTTTGGCATTTCGGCCGGCCGCGCTGAGCGCAGTGAGACGAGAGTGTGCGTGGGAAGCTTCCCCGTCTCGAAATAGAAAAGGGAAATGACGATAATCCGTTGTGTTTCCATACTGGAGGACGCGCGGGGCAACCAGGGCGCGAGGCAGCCAGGTGGCAACCCTATCCGCCGCGCGCGGGGCCAAAGCCGAGGCCTGCGGGCTGCCCGCATGCTCGCGCGCTCGCGGGGACGAGTGGCCACCCTAGTCGTCATCGATCCAAGGCAGCCGCCCCACCCCCTGGCCGCCCCTGGCCCGCCCGGCCCGCCCCCGGCAGCCCTGCCGCGCCGCTCCGAGGAGTCGTTTCGCCGCTCTCTCGCTCGCACCCCTGCGGTCCGCCGGGCCTCGGCCGGGCCCGCCCTGTGAGTGCGACAGAGACGCGGCGACGAACGACTCGGAATCGCCCGGCTGGCCCTCGTACTCCCGTACTAGCGCGGCGTCCGTCGGTCTAGCGCTGCTGGCCGTGCTGGCCGTGCTGGCCGTGCTGGCCGTGCTGGCGGAGCGTGCGAGCGGGACGGACGGCAGGAACGGTCCAACGGGCTGCGAGGGGCGGACCGGGCTGGGCCGGGCTGGCCGAGGGGGTGGATCTGACCTAAATCGGCTGCCATCAAGTGCCGCACAAGGCCTCAGGCCCGGGGGGGGGGGGGGGGCGCCCGCAGTCGCCGTCTCGGGCGAGGTCTCGGGGCCGCCCCGCCGCCCCGCCGCCTCGAGCATACACTCATTCAAATTTAAAGTTCACTTGGCCCCGGCGAAGGTTCCGTCCAAATCAGCGAGATGATTCGTTATGGAAAGTTAGTCGGGATGGTGAATGTGCATTGAACACGGTGAATTCGTTACGCGGAGGGAACGAAGAGCGACGGCGAGTCTCTGCTGCACTGTACTTTTTGGTCAAAAGAAGAACGCTCCGGCGGCGCAGTATTCCCCTCGGTGCCCCTGAGCGCCACTGAGACGGAGAGCCGCGGGTAGCCGGGCCGGGCCGCTCCACTGAGTCGACAGTTATTCTGTTTCTGCAGACGCGTCTGCCACGACAGCCCGCCGCGGCAGCCACAAAGGGAAGCATCAAGGCGGCATCAAGTTCGACGGGAGGCATGTCCGGCCGCAGACATCCGTCGGGCCATGGCCTGGCCGCCCCCTTCGCCCAAACGCCGCCTGCAAATACTAGGCAGAAACGGGAAGAACAGAGGGAAACTGCCTGGAAGCGAGCATTTGGGCAACTTAACCTAACCCAACCCAACCTAACCTAACCAAACCCAACCTAACCTAACCTACCCCAACCTAACCTAATCTAACCCAACCTAACCTAAGCATGTCCGAAATGTGACCGTTTCGCCGCCTTTCGCGTGTTTCGCGCCGAAACTTTGCCCGATGTCCATTCGGCTTCGGAGTCCAGTCGTGGAACATTCGCCGGAGGCAGCGGCGGCGTGTCGCGAGAGCGGCGGCGGGGGAAAGGAAGAGGGAAGAGGGAGGGGGCAGTACTCGGGCGGGCCATGTCGGCCATGTGTTGCTCGATAAGTGCAGCTGGCTGTTAGGCAGCTCGGTCGCGGCGTCGCGGCTTTCGCCCGGGCCGGGCGGCGGTCTGACGGCGGGGGGGCCACTCAGCGACACGGAGCGGACACTGCCACCACACTCTCGCCGGACACCGCCCCGCCATGGATCACGCTCCAGAATGGGTCCGCAAATCCCCGGCCGGCGGGGAAGTGCGCTTGACGCGGCGTTACTTTGTCTCAGGCTTACACTGAGGGACGTGGGGGGACGTGGGGGGAGGGCGACATGCAGGCCCGCCGCCAGACTCATTCCGAGAGTCGTTTCGTCGCTCTGTCCCTCTCGCACCCATGGGGCGTCCCGTGTATGTGTGAGAGAGCCGACTCTGGGAATGAGTGTGCGTGCCGGTCGGCCACGACGACGCTGCTGCCGCGCTGCTCTACATTACCTCACTCGGAGCAGCAGGCTGCCGCGGCTGCCGCACCTCGGCCCGCCAGGTGGCGACACTGCCGTGGGCCTAATGAATGTCGCTGCTTTTCATTGGCTTTTTTTTCGAGCAAAGTTGCGGGCCCCGCGACGCGGGCGCGGCCGGCGAGAACAAACGAGTGTGGGCCCCGGAGCCTCCGAACCGAAAACCGAAACGAAAACCGAACCGCCAGCTGCGCCGACAACACTACTCCGTTCCGTCGTGGCGACGCGACGCGCCCCGCCCCCTCCCCGCCCCCTGGCCGTCGGACGGGTCGGACGGCCCTCGCGTCGCGGCCCTGCCGGCCCTGCCGCCCTGCACCCGCACACTTGCCGCCAAGTGTCTCCCTCTCCCCGCCTTCCGCCAGCCCGTCAGCTTGCCCCGAAAAGCCCCCCGTTCCGTTTCCGTTTCCCCGGCCGCGGTGCCACGATGCGCCATGGGGGCTGCCCGTAAACACCGTCAACCTCCGCTGCGAGTTCCAAACCTCAATTCCATGCGAGTCCGGTTTCGCGTCTCTGTCGCACTCGCGAGGAGTCTGTGCGAGTTTCCGCGAAAGCCTCCACTCCGTTGTCCATGTCGTCACACTCGCGCGCTGTTGGCTGAACGTGGCTGAAACGTGTTCGCGTGGCTGTCGGCCTGGCGGCGGCGCCTGGCGCCCGGCAGAGCAGCGCAGTGCAGCCAACCTGCCGATGCCTGCCGGTCGGTGTACAGTGCACCAGCGCGCTGCAGTGGCAGTGTGTGGTTCCGGCCGAGCGCCAACATCCAAACCACGGCGACAGCGAGTGAGGAGTGAGGCTGAGTGAGGATATCCCGATTCCCGACGCTAGCCCCAGTTCGTGCGTGCGGAAGTAGGAGGGGCCATGCTGCCAGCAGAATAGCAGCAGCATTTCCCAGTGCGTGGAGCCGCAACGCACGCCGCTCGTACCACACGCGGACCGCCGCATCCGCCACCGCCATCCACCGGGCCGGCCAAACCGGCCAAGTGCCAAGCCCTAGCGCCCGACGAGGCCAGGGTAGGCAATGCGGAGCAGCACGGTGGCGAGCGGGCTGCCTACCTCCTTGACTTCACTTGCGAGGCTGACCGGCCTGACCAGCCCACTGTCTGTTACGACATATCTGTCTGTGGCCTCAGAGGCGTGGTCACAAACTGCTCTTGGCAGAAAATGCTTTCCGCGGGGAGAAATGCTTTTGGCGGGAAAATTCTCATGAGCGGAACAACGCGCGCCTGGATGATGACTGGCAGAGCGAGATAACACCTTTTCCTCGAGTGTGGCGGTGTCTCACTGCACTCCTAAGAAGCAGGAGGCGCCGCCTCCGCGCACTCGGCGGCCCAACGCGCTGCATCACCCCCTAGTGAGAATCCCTGCCGCGGTGACTGCTACACTGCAGGACGGGCACGCGTCACGACCGCGTCGCCGCGTCACCGCAGATTTGACGTCATCGGCGCTTCCGACGCCGCGGCTGGCTCCCTGCGCACGGCGCCCACCCCGACCGTGCGGCGGTGGCGCGTGGCGCCGCTGCTAGCCGCTGCAGGCTCCGTCTCTCTCGCACTGACGCGCTCACGGGTCGGCCCTCTGGAGTGCGAGAGAGACAGGTTGGCGGGGCCTGCTGACCTTTGTCGGCGCGCCGCGTGTGTGGGAGGGGCCGCGAGGGGCGGAGAGGGGGGGGGGCGTCGCTCCACTCTCGACTCGTCCAACATCCCCGTCCCGGCCGCACAGTGGGCCAGAAGACCGGTGGAGGCGGTCAAAACTCAAGACGCGTTTTGAACTCCAGAGACGCTAAACGGGACTCGAACCGAACGTGTGTCCCCACCAATGGATTGGTCTTCGAACGAGGACTCCTTTGGTGGGGTCACACGTTCGGTTTGAGTCCTTTTTAGCGACCCTGGGGCTGAAAACTCGTCTGGGGTTTTGGCCGCCTCCACCGGTCTTCTGGCCCACTGTGGGCCGTCCCGGACCGGCCGCCCTTCACGCCCTTGCCGTCGCGTCGGAGAGGAAGAGGCGCGAGCGCGTGGCTCGGCTTCGGCTAGTCTCCACGCGGGGCAGACTGCGACAAACGCACTGTGCGAAAAAAACCACAGTGAATCCCGTTAATTTTTTTGCCGGGATTTACTGTAGTTCAGAACACAGGATTTACCGTGCCTGGCTACAGTATCTATCTACACTCTAAATATGGGGTGCCCAGCAATTGGGCGCCTTTGTCGCCCGCCCCACTTTTTAGGGTGTCAAATGTCGCCCAGTTTCTGGGCACCTTTGTCGCCCAGTCTCGGGGTGGACAAATCACAGTGACCGGCCCTCTCCCATGGTAGAGCATGCTCAGGTGTCTAGATCCTGGGCGACTAAGGTGCCTAGATTCTGGGCACCTTTGGCACCTCAGTCGCTGCTGAGCCATGGGTGAAGGCAGGTTTTTTAATGGTTTGTCCACCCCGAGACTGAGTGTCAAAGGTGCCCAGGAACTGGGCGACATTTGGCACCCTAAAAAGTGGGGCGGGCGACAAAGGCGCCCAGTTGCTGGGCACCCCATATTTTGAGTGTACTGTACCTGCTACAGGATATTCCGCACTTCACTCCTGTGGTACAGCAAATCCCGTACAAAGTACAGTAGATCCTGTTAAAAAAGTACAGTAAATCCTGTACGCTGAACTACAGTGACAGCTGTACTAATCACTACAGGATTTACTGTGATTTTTTCCCACAGTGCGGTGCTTATCGTCGCTCTGACTCTCTCCCACCCCTTCGGGGCGCCCCACGAGTGCGAGAGAGACAAGAGCGACGAAAGCACTGTTCGGAAGCAGCAATCGGCTCCAGACCCGTCGACGCGGTTCGGACTAGACTGGAGGATAGGTTAGGCCGTGCGACTGGCCGCGCGCTCGAGGGGCAAGGCCCACGGCGCGGCCCAGCGCGGCCTACGGCACTAGAGCAGGGCGGGACCGCGGGACTGCGGGACCTCCCTCGGGCAGCGCGGCCGTCACGAGCAACGCGAGCAACAAGCATCGGGGTGGTCCAGCCCGTCCCGTCCAGCCCCTCGGCCGCGCCGTGCCAGCGTGCGCAGCGTGCCGCCCCGATGAACGCCGAGAAGGCCCCCTCAAGAGAAGAGAGGGAGGTCCGGGCTCCGGGCGGGGCTCCTTGCTCGCGCCGCGCCGCCGAGCGATTCATAAGATTGGTTTGTCGCTCCGTCTCTCTCTCTCTCTCTCTCGCCCTTAGGGAGAGCCCCATGAGTGCGACAGAGAGAGAGAGAGAGAGTGACGAAAGGACTCTTGAGAATCGCCGTGCTGCTTCCCCGAGCAGACTTGACTTGCTACGCAGTGCTCCAGCACTCCACTCACCTGGCGAGCCTGCGGGGCTGCGGGGGCTCCCTCATGGAGTCGTGCAGCGCGGGGTGGCCCCGAGGGTGGCCCGACAGTCCAGCCAGGCCACCAGCCTTCGCGCTGGTGCTGCTCTCTTGTCCCGGGGGCGTGCAGCCCTCATGCCGCCTCACGCCTCTCGCCCGCGCCGAGCCTGACTGCCTCGGCAGTGCCCTGGCAGCGCCCTGCCGCCCCGCCTCGCCCGGGGGATGGAGTCCTGGCCGCATGGCCCGAACGGGGCACCCCCCCCCCTACCCCCCACGCGGGCACCGCGGGCAACGCGGCCCACCCCCTTCATCCCCTTCCACTGCGGGGCCTCGCTCGGGGTGGAGACACGGCACCCGTCCCTCCCCCGCGGTGCGGTCTTTCATGACCGCCGCCGCCACCGCCGCGGGGCTTGGCTTGCGCTTCGCTCTGGTTCCCGTCAAGGACGCCGCGAGCGAGGTGTCATTGTGGTACTTGGCCGCGGGTTCTGGGGACCATGATCTGGACCTCCTTTGGGCGCGCGCTGGCGTCGCCCTGGACGTCCTGATCGTCCTTTTCGCGCGCATGCGTTCTGAGTGCTGGAGGATCAATAAGAGCCGCGCTGCCCCGCGTCGCCCCTCGCCCCGCAACCCTCTCTGGGGCCTAACGGCGTCGAAACGGGCCTCTGCCGGCCACTGCCGTCATCGGCGAGGCCGAGTTGCACTACAGGTTGGGGTTCGAGGTTCGAGACGCTGTCGCCGATCTGGCGAGGCGTGGCCAGGTTGCCTACACTGCCTCCGCAGCAGAGCCTGGGTGCTGCGGCTATGGGACGAGTTGCCGGCAGTCTGTCTCTCTCGCACTCTCGCACTGTCTCACTCCCGCACCGAGAAAACGAGGATAGGGCGGTCGGCTTGAGAGGAAGGGATGTCGTCGAATCCGACGCAAGGACTCTCTGGTCCTGCCAGGCTGTACCTGCAGAGCCTGGTCCGGCGTGGCCCGGCGTGGCCCGGCGTGGCCCGGCCCGCTGCAGGGCCACTGTAGCTCTATTTTAATTGGCGACTCCTAGATAACGACTCAACGAGTGGGGCTCGGCTAGGATTCGCACGTGGCTTTCCTTCCCACTCTGGACGCCGATTCCGGTCCCTACTTTCGCCGCTGTCTCTCTCGCTCTGTGGCGGGACGCGGGGACGCCCCAGTGCGGTAGAGCCAGGGCGTGAGGGAGTACGGGAGCAGCGGACTTGCTGATTGCAGATTTTATCACCATGCGTGGCGTCTGTATTCCCTTCCCGCCCTGGCCTTGGCAGTGCCTCGGCAGTGCGAGTAAGGCATTCCCTGGGTATTCCCCGTCGGGTCGTCGGCTCAAGCTGCTCCTGTCAAAGATCCCGCCAAATCGCGCTTCGAGCCAGCTCCGCGAGACGGCGCTCGCGTCGCGTGCTCGACACGGACAGCGGTAGCAGAAGGGAACAGCAGAAAGAAAGCGCGTATTTCGTGCGATGGTTTTTCAAATAATCGGCTTGTTGTGCTGATGCGAGTCGCATGATCAGTGAGGATCGAGCGTTTGTTGCGCGCGGGTGGCCTTGGGTGCTGCCTCCTTGTTTCCCTGGTTTCCCAAGCTTCACTCGATCATTATTTATGCCAGTGAGCTCAAGCTGGCAACATCGCACATTCTGGCCGAGAGTAGTCTTTCTCCGTCACTGCTTGCTTGCTGGTGGCAACACAAACTGCGAGACCACTAAAAGACTCAGTTATTGTCTTAAATTGGGACCGAGAGCATCGCAAGCCACTGAAAACAGCTGTGTAGTTTGTGAAGAGTGTTGTGTACATCGTGTGTGCCTCTAAGCCCGCCAATCTGTGATACAAAATGCATCTCAATAACGCCATAACCTCATCCGAGGACGAGTTGAAGGAGTTCCGTCCTTTCAACTTATAAAGAAGACTTTTCTGGAGGAGCCTTTTCTACGCCACTCTTGAGCAGCCCTTTAGGATGGCTCAAACCACACGGATGGCCGTCTACGGCCGCACTCCTCCCTGTGCGCACAGGGCACGACTGGCAGATCGGGTGGAAAGAGGCAAGAAGGAACGTCAAGAAAGAACAAGGAAGTCTGACCAGAAACCAGAGGACTTTGTGGCTTACGATAGCTCTGATGACGACTTCGAAAACGACCCCAATGAAAAGCTGTACCTTAGGACTTCCAACAATTTTGTGGATTATTTAAATAGTCGTGAATCTGGAATGAAAGAAGTACGAACAGTGAAAAATTACTATGGTCAAAGACACATATTAACGCAAGAAAAGTTCAAAGAGCATCCTGTCCCTCAACTGGGTAACATCAATAAAATCTTTTGCTCTCAGTGGTTAAGTGATAGACAGGTTGTGTTTGGCACAAAGTGCAACAAGGTACAAACAATCTTAAACTAATTCTTATCACGTTGTTGTCCTTGAGTATCAATGCAGATTCTAATTGGTTGATTTCTGTGTGCAGCTAATGGTTTATGATGTTGTCAAGCATCAACTAGATCATATACCCTCCCTTCGGGGATCTTCATCTCGACAGACTATAACAGGGCCTCCAACAGACCAGCAAACTGGAATACATTCTGTCCAGATCAATCCCTCTCGAACGCTGCTTGCCACTGGTGCTCGCAACCCCAATGAAATTGCTGTTTATAGACTGCCCACATTAGATCCAGTTTGTGTAGGACAGGTAATAGTAATTGTCATGATAGGTGGGAATGTCTAACTATATTATGATCTGTAATATCATTTTGCATCTTATCTATTTCAGAACGCACATACAGACTGGGTGTTTGATATGTGCTGGCTTGATGACCAATTCCTTGTTTCTGGGTCACGAGACACAAGAATGGCCCTTTGGAGAATTCAAGAAGATGAACTACTTGGATTGCAGGAGGTTCCCACTTATGGGTATGTTTTAAATGTATTATGTATGATATATTAGAACTGCTTCATGATTTTTATTTCTCACCACTCCAATTTTGTACATTTTTCTCCCCTTTTTATTAATTTAGTGATACCATGGCACTTGTTTTCAGATTTGTTAATCCATTGGAGGTGAAAGAGTGCAAGTCAGCACAGAAAGTAAGAGCGCTAGCATTCAACAAAACTAAAAAGGAGTTGGCTGCTCTTTCTCTTAATGGTTACATTCATATTTGGAGTGCTGACGACTTTAAACAGGTGAGGGGAGGGCTTCTGTTTCATTTGGTGGCATACACTTCGGTTTTATAAGTTGGTTTAATCTTCATGTGGTTTTTTGCAGAGGTCGTCAAAAAAGCTACCATCATGTCAGGAGAATGTCTGTATGGCAGTATCTGACTCAGGCTTGTACGCTATTGGATGCCGGTCCTATACTCTCCTTTTGGATCAGAGAACTCTGCAGTCAATCAAGAAAATACCGTCCCGTTACACAGGCTGTGGTAAGTATTTATAAGTTTTTGATTTTGATATGAATTGCAATACCTTTTGGCTTTATGCCTTCTCCAAATGTCTTGGAGGTACCCAATTCATAATATTTTATTTTTTGCAGGTATACGCTCAGCAAGCTTTCAAGGTAACATCTTGACCATTGGAACTGGTGTGGGAATGTTAATGTTCTATGACCATCGGGCCGGAAAGTACTTAGAGTCCAGCATCAACTCCAGTCGTACAGTTGTCTTAAAAGCGTCTCGAGGATATGTGGTATTTATCAAGTCTTAAACAACATTTCAAAAAAATTATTCATCTTTTTTATTTTTTAAAATTGGTTTTGTTAATTTTATTTTGTTGTTTTCAGTTTCCCAATGAAGAATATGTGGACGGATTTCAACAAGTGAAATACACCCCTGCCATTTACACTCATTGTTATGATGCCTCAGGTATCCGGTTGTTTTCTGCAGGCGGACCTTTACCTGCTAATTTACATGGTAATTATGCTGGACTCTGGCAATGATAATGGTAATACTGTCTTCTTTAGCTAATCTGTGATTAATTACTGACTGAGGTAAGAGATTAAGTCCTTTCATATTATTATGAAGCTGAAGGACATGAGTAGCTTTCTTTCAATTTCAACTGCTTGTTATCATTTAATTTAGGGCTATCTCAAGTCCCAAAGGCCCTCTACCTCTCCAATTTAAAGAAAGGAATGGCAGAATTTGGTTACTTTATTGACGTGATGAAGTAGATTTGTAAATCCACCCTGTCTTTGTTTCCCGTACTGTGCAGTATTATTGATGAAATAACCTGCTAATCAATGGAATAACTGTTCTCAAATTTTCCCAAAACCGATGTACAAGCACTGTTCCAATTTTTTCTTACATAGAAGTATCTTTGGTTATATCGCATACCAGCAAGGTTCATTCCTTCAGATGCTAACTTTTGATTTCCCATAGCCCTTATTACAAGCGACTCTCAATGTATCTTCTGCTGGAGTTTCAAGAAATAAAAAATTCTATTCGTTTTTTGTTTGCTTGTTTGAGTTTGCTCTCTCAAGTATGGGGCATTCGCAAAGTTGGGGGAGATTTGATTGTTGAAATCATATTTTATTAACTTATGGTTTACTGGATAGGTTTACTTCAGGTGATGTTTTTGTGGTGTTAACAAAAAATATTGCTGTTTATGAAATGTTCAGAGCTCAGTAACTCGGTGAATCCTGTGAGTTGCCTTGAACTGAACTTGAACGTAAAAAGAAAGATACAATCATGCAACTTTCTTTGACATAAATGGTTGACCAGTTTGCTTTCTGTCACACTTCCAAGCAGATAGCTTTAGCTGTCACTGTCAACACTTAGCTCGAGCTCTTAGTACAGGATTAATTTTACTGCCTAATTAATGAGACCTGTAATGGGGGAGAAAGAAACCGTATAAGTGATTGTGTGATTGATTTCTGCTCTTGCGCTTCGGAATAAGACCATTGTGGTCCCCTAGGATGGCTCTACTCTCAAGGGAACTCCTTTGCAAATTTGTGTCATTTTGACCAATCGTAGCATTGAGTTCTGGGTGAAGATTTAGGAAAATATGCTTGAATCCTGCTCCTGAAAACTACATCACTGAATCATTCTGTAGGGTTTTTGTATTAGTATTATGGAAAAATGTCTCAAATGTTTGTAACCTTGGCTGTATGGAATGCAAGAGGTTGTATAAGTTTTCTTATGTGTGATCTTTATATTATGGTAGGATCCTAATAATTAACATGTTGACTGAAAAGACTTTTAAATGGCAGCTTTGCTCCCAAGCCCACCAGCATGCTTCATTAGGAAATTTAATTTTAAACATAATATGTTATTTATTGTTTGGTTTGTTTTCCCTCAGTGTAAGAGAAAGGCTTGAAAATTTTACCCTGAACAAATGTTTTGACTTCTTTGTTATGTTTGTTTCATTTTATTTTTCAAAAGGTAAAATTATGGCTTTGAAGGTCTTGTAATAATTACCTGCTGTATGTGTTTAGGGTTTTGTTCCCAATTGGGATTTTCATTTTTGTCCTCTTTGAATAAGCTAGAGTTTTCAGTATTGAATTTTAGAACATGCTCATGTGAGAGGCCATTTATTAGTGGTCAGAAAAAATGATAGCAGTTCTCCTGTCATTGCATTCAAATTTAGAAAAAAGGAAGTTCTTTTGTTATGTTCCTTTTCAAATTTTATGCCAAATATATATATGAAAAAAAAAAGCCTTTGCCCTTTTTTACCGTATTAGAAGCATGATGGAGAAAATATACATCATACTTTTACTCAACTAAACTGGTCTTTGTAAATTGATCTTCCATGGCCCAGACCCAGCCTCAACCGCTAGAGTGGCAGTTCAGCAATCCTCTCCCATAAGCGTCTAGTGGTGACTGACAAAAGATACAGAGACAGTTCTTATAAAATATTTTATTCTTTTAGAATTTAACAGACAAGAGTGAAAGTTGACAGCATCAAATACAATCATCCAATTTTTCTTAAAAATAAGTACTCTTTATATTTAATTTTTCACATAAAACTTCTGCAGGATGCAGGTAACGAAAAACAATAGCATTACATTAATTTGATGAGAATTTGTTGAAAAAATATTAGTGATTAAAAGTCAAGAGTAACATACGTTTAGACAGGAAAGAACAAATTCTTATCTGGAAAATTGGTAATGACTCCGAATCTCTGAAGTATCTTACTTAATCCACTTAAAAGTTATGGCAACAGCTCAACTAATGTTGAATTACTACAAAATCAAAAGAACTCTTCACTGTTGGGTGTAATTTCCCAGCACAGCACCCATCACTGAATGCCTCAATTTTAAATTTCATAAGGAAAGGAAACAAACCAACTGTCCTGAGGAGAAACCCTCTCCAAACTTACAATGAAAAATAATACTACAACACAAGAAACACTCACTTATTGGATAACAACTGCTGCCACTCAGGAGAACTGGGAGTGGTTGGGAGCACCCAGCCCACTGGTATTGTCGACGCCATGGGTACAGCAGCACCCTCTGGCACTGTATATTGATCCCAGGCATAGCTAGAAAAGAAACTCAGAATGTTAGGCAAAGAAACTTGGTTGAAAAAAGTTGATGACTAAATAAATGAAACGTACCGAATTGAGACAAGAGTGCTGATATCAAAAGGCTCATCCATTGTAAATGAACTTTCTGTGCCAAACAAGCATGCTTCCCATTCACTGAGAACTTTCTTAACATTTTGAATTTCTAAATCACTTTTTTTTGCAGCAGATTCTTCCAGCATAACTCGCAAACCATGTTCCTCTTTAGCATACTCTTCCATTTTGCTGGACCACAATGTAAGAAGTTGGCCTGCAATATAGTGAAATAAAAAAGGAACAAATATTAGTAATGACAAAAAGAATAACTATGGAGTCAATCAAAAAATTAGTTCAAATCTTTGGCAGAGCACTGTATTTGCACTTACAAATTTGTGAATTGGAATGTTCACAACTTGTTTTGTCTTCAACTGAAAGCTTTGTACCACGAGCCTCGAGGGCTTGGATGCGAGCCTGATGCAATTTTTGCAATGCCTCCAGTAAAGCTATTTGACGCTTTCCCTCGGACTGACGATGTGTGACTTCAGCAAGGACAGTATCTGCTTCTTTTTTCAACTCTTCATTCTGCAACAACCAACAATGAAAAATAACAATACACTATATTCCCAATAATATAAGAAAAGCTATGGCACTGAATTTTAAATAATACTACAGAGTAACTCTTTGCATGTAGAGCTGGAAAGAAGCCCTTTAAAGCCTAAGCTTGTTAGAGTGTGTAACCTGCTCAAGCAGGCTAAGCCCTTTAGTTTCCTTGGGAGCTCGCAATCAGTGCTACCCAGTTAAAAACCAACTATCAAGTTCCAACAAGAAAAACAAGAGTCTTCCCTTACTACTTAGACTATTATGTAAACAGATTTACTTACTTTGCGGACTCTGTCCACAGCTAGCTGCATGTCAGCTAACCATGCATCGGCTTTTTGGTGCAAACTTTGACGTCTGATTTGAGCCAAATAAGAGTCTTTCCGCTGCTTAGAAATCTTCCTCTTCTCTCTAGATCGTTTCTTCACTTGTTTACAGACTTTCTTCTGTAAATCTTGAAGTAGCTTCTTAGTTAGAGATGAGCTGATGCCAGATAATTCTGACTTCTGTTCCTCAACATTCGTACACAATGCACTCCATTCTGTTACTGTCTCTACTTTCTGATGTAGAATGCTATGCTTTTCTTCAAGATTCCTTAAGCACTGCATCCATGCCTTCAACTTGTCCCTTGTTTCACAAATGGAAACACTCTTGAGAGTATGGAGATTAGCAGGTTTCTTAAATAGTCGAGATTGAATCCAGTTTTTCAGCCATTGCTCATCTCCATCTGTCTTTGAACCACTAGACAGGGGAGGAGGGGGGACATTGAACATAGGCGGCACATGTCGAAAGGGGAAAGGGACAGGAAAAGCCCCCCTGGGTCCAAAACCTGGAAATGGTGGTGGCATTTGGGGTGGCATTTGGGGTGGCATTTGGGGTGGAAGAGGTGGCGGAGGTCTCCAAAACTGAGGTGGTCCGACGGCACTGAAGGAGTTAGGCAAGGAATGCACTCCATGGAACATATGTCCAAGTTCATTATGTCCACTATGTACACCTTCAATAGGTGGTACAGAATTATTACAATCCATTTTCTAAAGAAAATGGCACGTTTTGCAATCTTGAATCACAAAATCACTTAACACTTCACTTCAAACCTGCATTCTTGCTGGGGCATAGAATGGATTGATCTTGATGTTGATGTGCGTTGCAACACCGTGATTTGGGGCTGGCTGACCTGAGCGGAATCGCATCACTGATACTGGAGCCTCATTTCGGCATCTTAATATAACTATGATCAAAAAAATCAAAAATAGAGCAAACAGAGCAACAGAAATTTCAAGGTACATCTCAAAAGTAATCAAAAAAGGAAATGTGGATGAAATTAAATAGTTAGTAAAATTAAAATTAGCAACGATTTTTTAATAAAATGAAACAAATGTGAAGTGATTGGATTAATAAATAGCTAACAACAGTGAGCTATCGACGACTCAGGAAGCTGAGGAGTTGCTTCTTCAAGAACCTGTTCAGCTGCTTTGTATTCTTCCAGCTCCTTCAACTCCGACTCGGTTTCCAAAATGTTTTTCAAATCTTCATATGCCTTGAGTAAGCGACGTTGGCAGTCTGGAACCATCATTAAGGATTCTAAGAGAACCTCTTCTTGTTTCCTGATGTCATGTTCGTCTTTCCCTGTAAGCACAAGAAATTCGAACATAAGGTCACTGAGGGTAGCACGCTCAGCAGGCTACAGAAGGGTTAGGAACTGGAATAGGTGGTCCGCTCACAAGAACACCGACAAGTGACATAGAAGTCAAGATTTCCGAAAAAGGTGCATCCCACTACATTCAGATCAAGTTCTGAACAGTTCTATCAGTTAACAAAGCTGTGGCATTGTACAGCCATGCTCAACACATGTGACACTGGGCACTACTGCCTGGGCAATGGCGCTGCAAAAGCCGACAAATATTTCCAAGTGCGGCTTCGGCAGGTCAACAATCGAGAAAATGAATGAGCAAATACCGGCCCCTGGCTCAGGCTGCCTCGCTTACCTTCATCCTTGAACTTCTGTATGCGGCCTCTCTGTTGCTCCGCCTCTTTCTCGTACATCACCTTCTCCTTCGCTATGCGCCGCACCACTCCTGTCTTTATTTTGATGGTCTTGATGCGAGGGTCTGCCATGCTTCGGCTTCGAGAGTACCCGACTTGCTTTCTCCCTTTTCAATCAAAGACTGTCCGAAGCGAGTCAACGCAAATCACAATCGCAACAGAGACACTGTCATCGGATTCGAAATCACATCACAACCAAATCGTGCGTCATCCGTGCGTTTCCCCCTTCCCTCCCTTCTCCCTTTCCCCTTTCACCAGCCCTCCCCCTCTCTTCTTTCTTCTCCCCTCCCCCACTCCTCCACCCACCCCCACCCACCCCCTTCCCATATTCGATCCTCTCGAAAGTCCTTCGACTATCGAACAAGTTAACGATTAATCTTAACTTGACGAGATCTTAGTCTTCGCCTGTCCCGCCATCCAAAGTTGTGTTTGCTGTTTTGGTTATGACTGAACTCTAAATCAATCAGTGATCTTGGCGTAAGTAGTTTAGTTTTGGTAATTCGACGTCTATTTGCCCTCGTGGCTCTAGCTTTCCGATCGTCGTTTGGAATGCGCGGAATCGCTGTTGACTGAATGTAAACACCGCACACCGGAGTGCCCACAACATTGTGCAAGGTCTGGCTTTTCACGACTCGAGGATTAGAAACGTATGTTATTTGACGTTATTTCATGCTGTTTCTTTTTCTTTGATCGGCTCTGGTTAAATTAATCCACCTTCGTCGCATGGCTTTTCGGCCTCCGAGTCCTTGGTCACGATACCCACATTCTAACCTACTCAACTGCGTCAATTCATTCACTTAGATTTTGTTTAATTTTTGTTTTTCGTATTTTTAAAGTTTGCAGCGCGTCTTATGTTTGTCTGCACTATATTTTGTGCTTGTTTTATGCCTGTTCATTAAGTTTCCTTAATCTTTCCTAAGTATGCATTGTTTTGACTGCTATGTCTGTAAAACTTTACCAATATTCTGCGGAGTTGAGTAGAGAGTACTACAGCTGTATTCTTAAAATCTAGGGCACTCATTACTTGTACTGATCCTGTAGTTGAAAGGCTTATCAGTGAATGTGCAGGAAATTACATGTTTGTTTGTTACCTTGCTTCCTAACGCAATTGTGTAACATCTGATTTTTGTTTTGTTTTCAGACAATATTTTTATTACCATGTTCCCAAAACCTTTTGGGCAGCAACCTGCCTTCAGTAAGTATTCATTGCTGAATAATTCTTGAAGTACAGACCATCTGGAGGTGCCTTTACTCGACTTGTGTAGCATTTTCCGTATGGCAGATTATTGGATTCTCATTATGTACTAATGATTGTTCTTGCAGGTGGGTTTGGTAGTACTACTACCCCTACTCCATTTGGCCAATCGTCATTTGGGAAGCCTGCTGCAAGTTTCAGCACACCTGCATTTGGTGCTCCAACAGGCACCTCTCTCTTCGGCCAAAATGCTCAGCCTGCTCCAGGTGGATTGTTCGGTGCTGCCAATAAGGGTACTACATTTGGCCAGCAACCTGCCCAACCCGGATTTGGTTAGTTACAGCAGTGTAGTTTCATTCTGATTTTTCTGTTTGAGCTACTGTTCTCAGTCTGTAATGGGTCTTCACTTCCTTTGTTGATTTTCCAGGATTCCAATCTCAGCCTTCCACTGGCTTATTTAGCCAGCCAACCCAGCAAACTGCAGCTCCTGCGGCAGGTGGTTTGTTTGGTGCCACCACGTCAAGTGCTTTTGGACAAAGCAAACCCACGTTTGGTTTTGGTGCCCAGAGTACTGCACCCACATTATTTGGTCAGCCACAACCCCAGCAATCCCAAACCACATCAGTGTTTGGTCAAACATCCACTCAGAGCTCCAGTATATTTGCTGCACCCTTAGGTACTATTTATCTTTATTTTCTTCTGCTTATGTATTGTTTGTACGACTTATTGTGAGACTAAATTGTACCTGATCATTTTTAACAGGTGGATTCACCACACCACAAGGTACCACTGTTAAATATACCCCAACAGTCGGAACTGATTCAATTCTAAAACATGGACACCAGACAAGTGTTAGCACAAGACACTGTTGCATTTCTACCATGAAAGAATATGAGAATAAATCACTAGAAGAACTACGCTATGAAGATTATTTAGCTAATAGGAAAGGTCGTCAGCAGACAGCTGGTGTGTTTGGCCAAACACAGGCTGCTCCTAGACCGTTTGGTGCTCCAGGTACCAGTACTACCCCTGCTGGTTTGTTCGGAAGTACAACTGAAAACAAGTCATTGTTTGGCCAGCCTTCCACCTCAATAGGTACTTTTAATACAATCCCTGATAAAGGATACAGTTTTAAATCCCTGATGCTGTTTGTAATTATATAATTTGCATTTTTAAGGTTTTGGAGCACCCTCAACTGGTTTTGGCACCACAGCTCAGGCAGGAACTTTATTTGGGAAGCCTACAACTGGTTTTGGTGCTCCTACTGCTACTGCAACAACCCCAGGATTTGGTTTTAATGCTCCTACACCAGCAAACCCTTTCGGTGCTGCAAACACTGCTGCAAAACCGTTTGGAGGTATTTATTTCAAATTTAATATTATGGCAGAACTGGAAAATAATAATAATATCAAACTGCAAGCCCATGTTAACTTGAATATTTTGTTTTGTTGCAGTTGCTGCTCCTCAAACAACTAATCTATTTGGGGCACCAGCATCTCAGCCCAGCACAGGGTTTGGTGTCACTCCAACCTCTGGGTTTGGCAGTTTTGGAACACAACCAAACCAGGTTAGTGGACTGTTTATCTTTCTTCTCACTCCAAATGTACTCTCGACAGTGTACTGATTCTGTTTCTCTTCTTGTCAACAGAGCATCGGCTTGTTTAATAACCAAAACAAACCCACATTCAGCCTTGGCTCAAGTAATTCTGCATTTTCCTTTGGGCAAAATACCGCAACAACTGCGGGAAATACGTTGTTTGGTGCTAAAACATCAGCTCCAGCCTTTGGAACACAGCCAGGGTTTGGTGCACCTGCAACTGGAACAACAGCATTTTCAAATTCCTTTGGAGCACCTTCCACTACACAGTCAACATCTCTCTTCACTGGAACTGGTTTCAATAAACCAGCGGGTGGCTTCTCCTTTGGACCTACTCCGGCTACGAGCACAGGCAAGCCTTGATATTTTGTTCATCATCTGTTCTCTTATTTCTATCTGTTTTAAACAAACCAATCTTCTTGATTCCAGGTTTAAGCTTGAACCTTGGACAGTCTTCCCTCTTTGGCAACACTGCTCAGAAACCAGGAGGTTTATTCTCTGGCGGTTCAACCTTTGGCACCCCAGGCTTGGGAACAAACACAGGCTTTGGGGGTGGTACTAATTTGGGCACTGGCCTTAACTTGGGTGGAAACACCATGCTTGGAGGAAGTGGGCTTGGTGGCGCTCCAACCAATCAGTCCTCCCAACTTGCTCAGCAGCAACTACTGGCTATGGCTTTAGTTCCATTTGGTGACTCACCATTGTTCCGCAACTTGCTTCCTTCAACTGGCAGAGCAAACGAAATTCTACAGCCTACAAACCCAGCTGCTCAAAAAGCAGTTTTGGATTCTACTGCTCAATACAAAGTATCCCCTAAAGGTGGCTCCAAGATGAAAGTTAAAGTTGGCTACTCTCCTCTCATCAAGAAGTCATTGTGTGAGGGCCTAGAAGAAGATGATGGAAGTACAAGCCAGACTTTCCAAGTTCGACCAAATCCCAAGCGACTAAATATAACGCCATCCTTATCAGCGAATCGCTCTAGCTTTGATGCTGCCAATCAGTCAATTGTGACTGGAGAAACCGAGAAAGAGAATTTATCTCCGTTGTCACCAGTGTCACAGCCTGCAACTGAGTCCGGAGGTGCTGACTTCCTCCGAAAATTGAAGGATGTGTCAAAGCCAGCAACATCGTCTTTCGGAAGACGTTCGCTGATAGAAGCAGCTTCAAGCCATGATGATTCTATTGCCAACAATACAATGTATGAGTTGGTAACACAGAAAAATTCTGGAAACACCAGTAGCGATGAACCAAGCGCCTCTGTTGTCTGTGTGCCTCCATCCAGTCCAAACAAGAGCAGTTCAAGCTCAGATGACAGCAGGGAACTAGAAGAGTCAGTCCCTCAGGTGGTGGATGCAGACTCGCATCCAACTGGTATCATTTGCCGCCGTGTAGGGTACTACACCATTCCCTCTCTTGATGAACTCACCAGCTACATGAGTGAAGATGGCAGCTGTATTGTTGACAATTTTACTGTTGGAAGAGATGGCTATGGTAATGTGTTCTTCGAGGACAGATTTGATGTGGCTGAACTCAACTTGGATGAGATTGTCCATTTCCGTCACAAAGAGGTTGTTATTTACCCTGATGATCAACATAAACCTGATGTTGGAAATGGATTGAACCGTCGTGCTCAAGTAACATTAGACCGTGTGTGGCCAATGGATAAGACTACTCACAACCCTATCATGGATCCTGACCGCTTGACCCAAATGAATTATGAGGGAAAGCTTAGGAGTGTGTGTGCCAAGATGAAGGCACGATTCAAGGAATACCGTCCTCAAACAGGTTCATGGGTGTTTACTGTTGATCATTTTTCCAAGTATGGTTTAACCGATTCAGATGAAGAAGATGTTCCTCCCGGAGCTATTGCTGCTGCCAAAGCTGCTTTGGGAAAGGGGGCTCCTTCCGTGGGGGCTGCACCTAAGCCTTCACCTGTTAAAGCTGCACCGTCTCCCACCGCTCTTGGATTGAAGAAACCTGGCTCTGCATACAATTCAGAATTAATTGATAAATCTCCCTCTCCTAAGAAGTTTGCATCAAGCTATGAGGCAGAAATGTTGGGAGAAACTTTGACCCAAATCACAAGTCCCATGGCACTTCTTGCCAAAGAGAGTGGTACTTCTTCTCACAAAGTACAGTTAATGAAGTCCTCTTTTTTTATGGGAGGTGATGAAGATAATGATGTTGACATGAGCCCCTACTTAGACTCTACCTCAGTTCAGTTCAGTGGCCTGGGAGGTGCTGGTGATGGTACTGAGTACAGTGATGGATCTGAAGAAGAAATAGCACGCTCAGCTCCAGTTTTTTCCAGACATGGCCTTTTACGTACCCAATTTAATCCATCAGAAATGAGCGCACAGAGCATCCAAATTGATGTGTCAGCAGCAGTGTCATCGATGGACACTGGTTCAGCATTTCAACCCGCCAGGAACGTAGGTTTGAGTCACCCTGTAGAAAGAAGTCAGCCTTATGTGATAGTTGACAAACCCAAGACTGTAGTCCTACAGCACAAAGGCAAAATAAATCCTCGCATCATCTTGGGAGACTGCTTAGCCGATATGACCCTTTTTCGAGGTGCAAGCTTCAAAATCGGTTGGGGTTTGGACTCCATGTTCTTCACTCCAGAAAATGATTTTAAAATTTTGTCTGCTGAATCTAAGGGGCACAGTCTTAGTATAAACATGCTCCAAAGTGAGGAAGCATCTGAATTTAAGGTAAGCATCTCCCAGTCTCTTGCTCTGGTTTCTTTTAATAGTGGGACCTCATTTTCACTTACCTCTTGAATTTTTTTTCCCTTTTTCTTTGTTAGGATTCCATCGAAGGCCACCTCAGAATCCAACTGATGTTCAGTGTTGGTGGTGTGCAAAATGGTTGCCCTATTCGAGCTCCTGGCAGGGGGACAGATGCACTTTGCCAACATGAGGATGAAGCACTGAAGATTGCTAAATGTGATGATAAACCACTCTTGGATTATACTTACGAAGTTTGGCAGTTGTGTGCAGCTCTCTGGGGTGATCTACCTGAACTAGACAGTGAGGATGGAAGTAGGTTTCAATTTATCCTACTAACAAGCACTTTTTTATCCTTGTCATTTGAGATTATTAATTACAAGTATTATTATTACAGGAAAAGATGTTAACTCACACTACACTGCAATGATTCGTAGAAAGGCTGTATCACAATGGCTGGAGACAGTCAGCAAACCTCTGGTAAAATCAGAAACAGCTAGTGTGTTTGGAAGTGAAGGCTCCCAGTATGCCCACAAGGAGGAATACCTTGATGGCATTTTGTCACTCTTGTCAGGTAGACAAATAATGGAAGCTTGTCAGAAAGCACAGGATTATGGTAGGCATTATGATTTAATGATGCTGTTCTTTGAAATGTTTGTGCCCTTTAGCTGTCATATTTTATGATATTTATGTGTATTAAATCTACTTTAGGTGATCACCACACTGCTCTTCTCCTATCTCAACTGTCTGGAAGTGCTGCAGTTCGCAAACTAATGTGTGAACAATTAGATTCCTGGGAGAAATCTAAAGCAGATGCATTCATCAACCCTCAACGACTTCGTCTGTTTCTTTTGGTAGCTGGTCTTCCTAACTATGAATCAAGTGATGAAGCTTTTATCAATACTTGCCATTTGCTTGATTGGAAGCGGGCTTTCGCCACTCATCTCTGGTAAGGATCTTCTCTACTTGTGCGTAACTTCCAGCCCTGCTGTTGAAAAATGGTTCTAATTTTTTCCTTCTTTCAGGTACATTTGTAGCCCAATTGCATCTCTTGCTGATGCCTTGCATCTGTATCAAGATGCATTCTGTGCGTCAGATGAAGAGAGTGGCAATGCTTATGCCAAAAGACCAGATCCTCCATACTTAGACTCGCTGTCTGATGACTGCATTGAAACAGCACATGGACGCAGACTCAATGATCTCTGTTATCATCTTCTGCAACTCTACTGTGAAAGATCACATCCTTTGGAACAACTATTGAATCCAGCCACCCATACGGATGATCCTAGAGATTATCGTCTCAGGTAAGCAAGCAATCCTACTGCAGGTTCTTTCAGATGATACAATTGTTTCATGATTTAATATTTATATTGTTGTCATTGCAGCTGGTGCTTGATGCAAGTTCTGAACAGTCTAGACTATTCTCACCTTTCACCACTTTCAGAAGCCATTATTCATTCAGGATTTGCTTCTCAATTGGAAAACAATGGTCTCTGGTACTGGGCCATATTTGTTCTTCTTCATTTGAAAGATGATTTTGCCAGGAAGTCGGCTGTTCTAGATATGTTGGGGCGCCATGTAGAACTTTTAGATATGAGAAAATTATCAAAGGCTGAAGTATTTTTACATGAGGAATTGAATATTCCAATTGAGTGGATTTACCAAGCAAAAGCTGTGAAGGCTGCTTGTTTACAACGTTATGCTGATCAAGTTTGGTATTTGCTGAAAGCATCTGAGTGGAATGAAGCACACCAGGTAGGCATGCTAACAAACGTTGTGTTGTACTGTTTTGTATATTGCAAAACAGTAAAATAAAATCCTGTTGTTTCTTGTCATTTTAGGTTATTATGAAACACATTGCTGCAGATGCCATAATAAATGAGAGGTATGTGTATCTGGAGAGTCTTCTGAAGGAGTTGGAACCTGTAGAGAGAAGCAGTACCATTTCTGGTTGGTCTAATCAAGGAGCGTTGTTGTGGGACTATCTTGCTGTCCACAAAACTGTGAATGAGCTGATGGACTTAGTTGCATCCAACCCAGATGGATTTAGAGATCATGATGCTAGTTACAAACTTGAGAAAATACAACCCCAGCTTAGCAGATTATGTGCAAGAATCAGTAACTTGCCTTGCCACAATGCTAAAGACAGGTAAGCTGGTTGCTGTCTGTGGATATGTGCTTGCATCATTAAAAACACAAAAGGCGGTTTTCTACGTTAATCTTTTTGTTTTTTCCAGGCTTTGTCAATGTGAAATTGCAAAACGAGCCTGTACCCTTGTTCGAAATGTGACCCAGTTGCAGCGAGGAGAGTCAGCTGTATGGTCCACTACTTTATCGCAGCTCATTGCACAGTTGCCTCTTCCAGAAGACTACGCTCAGCAGGAGCTTCAACAGTTGTTAAGAGCCTACTCAACATGAATAGTTTGTTAAAATTGGGAGTAAAATTCAAGTGTTATGCTAGAATGTCAGTGGAAATGAGGGATTGTGCAGTTAGTTTATTTTTTAAAAATTTATTGTGATAAATTATGTATGAGTTGTGGCTTGATCTTAGTTTACCAAATGCACTTGAAAATTAAAATGTATCCTGACTTGTTTGAAACAATTTTGCATGAGGGCTAAGCTTAAGATTTCTATTGAATCAGATAAATGTAACACTGGAATCAAATTGTACCACTCATTTCTTTAAAATAATAGCTTTTGAGCTGTGACAATTCCCATAGAGATGACAGGATGATGCCTAGTTAGGCTGTGTCTATTGGCTAGAAATGAATTTTACACTAGCTCATTTTACCATTACAAATAAAATATGTTTATGTTCTTACTGTATTTACATATGACTCGCTCGTTTGTCTCCTCTGAGGTTTGGAGATTCCTAATTCAATTTTTTATTTGAGTGGGTTATTATGCATGCAAATGCATTGTTTTGAACCTTATACTTTCTGGTAAATGTATTATAGATCAAAGTTTAGAGACCACTGGATCGTTTGAGCACTAAATAAGGTATTTATATTGTCATGACTGTACAAATAATTTAAAATGTTTTGGAATATTTTTTTTCTTGTCTTATAGGTTTTTCCCCTTTTGTTTTATAAAAGTGTCAGTGGAGGATGTAAACATTATTTTATATAATAATCTTACTTTACATGTTAATGTTTGTTAATAAATGCGAGACTGAACTACATACAATCTGCCTCAAGTGCTCTGTTCATTATCCTCTCCTCTGTCTGCGGCCTGCGGTGTAGGGACCGAAGGGGCCGTAGGGGCACAGGGTGGGTGGAGCGGGCGCGTGTTGAATAGAAAAGGGCCAGGGAAGGAAGGGTCTCCAGTCAGTCGTAGTCGCTGGGGTGGAAGGCAGCAGGGCCAGTCGCTCGCCGCCAGTGGAAGAGGAAGCACAAGGAGGAGGAGGCTCGCCCCTTGGCTCGCCCCTTGGCTCGCCCAGCCACACCTCACTGCGTTACACTGCGACTGCTGCCTTGTGAGTGAAGCCTCGTCGATACCTCTGTCCGCCCTGCCCCGGGGACGTAACCGCAGGAGTCACTCGGAAAGTCGTCCGCTCGGTCCGTCCACCCGAAGTGCGTTTGGAAAATGTAATGGATGGACACGGACAGACTTGGTTAAGGTCGAGCAGGAAAAACTTCGCTGAGAACGGAGTTGGTCCTTGGCGTCCTTGGTCACGACCGAAAGGCTTTCCCTGGCTTTCCCCGCCGCGCCTCCCCCAGGCAGCGCTCGGCAGAGGGTCACTTTTGACGTCCGCACGGGGCCATGAGATGACCAGGACCCACTTCTTACTCCATCCCATCGGCAAGAAGGGTGATTTGCATAACTTTCCGCTTGGCCAACCCTGCGCATCGCCAAATGGGAGACGCGTCGCTTCTAGTCGCGTCCAGTTTTCAGGGGGTGGGGTGGGCTGCGCCACGCGCCATGGCTGCGCATTAAAAGAGCGGACGTAATGCCGCGTAACGCCCGTCAAGGTCCGACTCCGGAGAGGAGAGTGGTCTTGTCGCTCTGTTCCTCTCGCACTCGTTCGCTAGGGGTGCGAGAGAGACAGGCAAGAACAGACCCAGACTCCACGGCACCGCTGTGCATCGCCACCCCGGGGCAGGCCGCCTAAAGCTGTCCTCTCTGTGCCCGGGCCCCAGTCCAAGATGACGGTGCGACCACTGCCAACCCTGGTGTTGGTGCTGTGCGCCGCGTCCGCACTGGCACGCCCCGACTGCAACGCCTGCTTCATGAAGAATGCCGCCAAGGACTTGGCCCACCAGCCCTCCCCGTCCGCACCCACTCAGGGGACGGCGACAGAGCCAACGCCACCGACCGGGCCCGCCCGAGGGTCCGCCAGCCCCAGCAAGGGCGGCGAGGCAGCGGCTGCGGCTCGCCCGTAAGTACAGGCACTGTAGGACTCCAAAGGATGCCAGTCGAGAAGCCAACAATCGTCCTCGTCAGCCTGCTTGGGCTGGGTAGGCAGCACCACGATACCCGGTGTCGCATGGGCTGCCTACCCACCAGGCGGCGGCCAGGCGAGCTACCTGCTGCACTTGTTGCTTGTCCGCAGCGACCCGCTGGTCCGAGCCAAGCGCACCGCGCATGCCGCCGCTGCTAGCTGGGACCACGTGGACCGCGACGCGGACCACAACGTCCAGATCCAGAACCGTCTGCGTGACGCGCTGTTGGCGGAGAGCGCCACACCAACACCGCCCCAGGTGAGGCATGCTGGCACGCTGGAAAAGGGGAAAGGAGGGCGGCGCGGCTCATTTCTGACGAAACTGTTGACACGTGTGAAAATGCACATTTGCAGGACAGTGGTGGGACGACGCGCCAGTGGACGTCGTCGACGAGCTTGCCTCGGCCTCGGCGAAGTGGCCGTACAGAGGCCGGTGGAGGGAATTCCGCGTCGGCCAGAACCAGAACCAGGGCGGCGCTGGCGGCGGATGGGGCGACGTGACAGACGCGATGACGCAGAGAGCTGGACAAGGCTTCGTCTAGATGCTGCCATCAACATTTTACTTTGTCTACAAGGAAAATCAATTTGAGAGTGTGCTTTTGTTTTGTTTCTGTATACGTATTTTAAAAATAAAAAAATAAGTGAGTTGGCACTTTTTATCTGAGCAGAAAGAACGCTTGCAAGTTGGATTTAGTTCATTTAATGTGTAATTGAAGTATTTTCAAAAAATAAAAAAAATTGTAACTTAAAGACAAATGGAAGACATTTACATTCTTAAGCGTAACAATTCAACTAGAAACAACATCACACCCAACAGTGACGTGTGGTGTGAAACATCCATCCCACAAACGCTTCATGGAGCTAGTCTCTCATACACCCAGCCATTGTCACCTTGATGCAGCAGCCTTCCATCAGGTTTCTCTGAGCTCTTAGGTAACCGAAAACGGATTCTATCATGCAGCCTGGTACTCTGACCTTGCCAAAACTCAACACTGTGTGGAATCAGAATATAACCACCCCTGAAATATTCAAACAAAATTTTGATTGCAGACTGGCAACAGCAATTAAAAGTAAATCACCTTCAAACACCTACCAATGACTAGGACGAGGAATAACATGGTCAGAGTATTTTGCTGTAAGTTCCTGCTCCATGGAAGTCAATACATCACGTCCAGAAATAGGTGTACTCTGATTGCTGGCACAAGCACCAATCTGACTTTCTCTTGGCCGAGAGTGGAAGTAGTCATCCGATTCCTCCTCTGACAAGCGCGAGACTTTTCCTTCTATTCTAATCTAATATTAAAATAACAATCAGAATTTTGTAGATAATGTTTTCCATGGGAGAGAGTAATGAAATACTCACTGATCTACGCAGCACATCCCAATAAAATGTCAGCGCAGCTTTTGGGTTTTCATCCTGAAAAACATTGGTTACTTACTAATAAAAAAATTAATTACATTGAAAAAGTTCTGATAGTGATAGTCCAGTAAAAATTACATACAAGTTCTTTCCCCTTCCTGCTCTCATAATTGGTGAAAAATTTAAATCCATCAGGGCCAAACCCTTTAAGAAGAACATATCTTGCAGAAGGATTTCCATCCCTAAAACACAGAATCAGAAAGGATAAATATCCAGAAATGACAATATATATTGTACAGTAATTCTCAAAGAATGAGCTTACTTGCTTGATGTAGCCAAGCACATTGCATTAGCCTCCAAAATTTGAGGATTATTTCTGGCTTCATCAAACCATTCTTTGAACTGACCTATTGGTTCCTTGAAAGCCAAGTCATCCTCCGTAAACACATCTTGACGACCTCTATAAGAGGCTCGCATGCCAGACACTGAAAGAGGGACCACTTTTAGCATAAATGCACAAGCTGAACACCAGATCAATGAGCTGGAAATAACATATTTCAAAAGAAAACACGAGAGAACACTTCAAACTCATTACGGATATTGTGAGGATGAGTCTTTTATGAACAATTTGCTGATGGTTTCTTTCAAGAAACAATATTTGTGGTGGATTTTGACAGGTCAAGATTACTTTGTCAGCAAGAAAAATAACTTCTAGTAGAGTAACATTTTAACTCGGGAAACAAACCAGCACTAACCTCCACTGTCAAGTGACATTTTCCGCTGTGGAAAGATTGAGTGAAGTCTCAGGGGTTTCAGTAACCAACTCGAAGCAGGTGGGCCCTGCACTGCTCTTATCAGAGCTTGACAAGAGAAAACACACATTTGTACCAAGTGAACATGAGGGCCAGAGAGCTCAGGTGATAGTGGTGTTATCAATAGTCACAGGCAGTTCCTCAGATGGCCACCAGGGGGCAGCACCCAGCAGCGCACACCCTCGCGTTGCGACGGTGGGGGCGGCTGCTGAGTAAACAGTCCATACGCAGCTGTCAACCTCTAATCAATGGATCTTTCCTGAGCTCAGCTCGTGTACTAGTGTGTCCAATAATTCACTTCAAGTGTATATAGGAATTGAACCATTCAGTGAGTTTGATGAGGAACAGGACAAAATAAAAGGCTCATGAATCATTTGGGTTCTTTATTGCACCAACATCATCTACCACTGAGTGTTGCCGCCCCAGTTGGTTCCAGGCTCGGCAGGAGCTGCAGAGGCAGCAGGAGTCGGTACAGTCCACTCGCTCTGCAACCATACACAGGTGTTAGCTCATACTGAATCAAACCACACATGAACTGCCACAGAAATGTTCCGGTACTTACAGCAGTAGCCCAGTCCTGAGTGGCAGAGGCAGCGAAGGCAGGCTCAGCAGCAGTAGCTGCGGCGGCGGCAGGGGCCACACCGGGTGCTGCGGCAGCGGCAGCACCTTCGTTGTCCCAAGAAGCCTCAGCGGCTGCTGGAGGGTCTGACCAGTTCTCGGCAGCGTGGGTGTAGTCTGCCTCGGTCTTGACTGGAGGAGGGGCAGCAATCTCCTTGGCTGCTTGTTCCTCCTTCTCAGCCTAGAATATCAGAGAGACGTACAGAAAACGCTCAAGGGCCAATTACTAGCACAATGATTACCAAATGGGGAACTTACTTCTTCGGGATCTCTGTAGAAGAACAGGTCCACAACAACATCCCACCTACCCTCACGGGGGATCATACCACGCAGGCGAAGAACCTCACGGGCCAACAACCACCACATCAGACCAATGGAGTGAGGAGCCTGGAAAAGAAATACATTGTTAGCCCTTTGCCCCAATGGTCTAGCATGCTATGAAGGATGAGCTTTTAATCGCATACCTTGGTGTTGCAAGGGATAGCGATATCCACAAAACGGAGGGGAGAGTCAGTGTTGCAGAAAGCAATAACAGGAATGTTGACGTATGAAGCCTCAGTGATGGGCTGCTTGTCAGTTGCTGGGTCAGTAACAACGAGCAGTCTAGGTTCACGGAAAGCAGCCTAGAAATGTATTTAAATTTGACAAGTTAGAAATTTATTGAAATTAGACAAGTTGAATAGAAACAGTTAAACAGAGGAAATACATGAAAAAACGTTACCTGGATCTGGTTAGTGAAGGCACCAGGGGTGAAACGCCCAGCAATGGCAGTTGCACCAGTGTGGGCGGCAAACTTCAGCACAGCACGCTGACCGAAGGAGCGGCTGGAGATGACATAGACCTCTGAGGGGTACTCAATGGCAGCAATGGCGCGGGCAGCAAGGAGAAGCTTCTCCCAAGTGCGACGCAGGTTGATGATGTGGGGACCTAGATGGATATATACGTTAATACCAGAACCACCAAACAATGGGATGCAACAAGCATTCGTTGTTGACAACTAACCATCAGCACGGCGCTTGAAGACGTACTGCTCCATCTGGAAGTTGGCGTTCTCCGTTCCAAGGTGAGTGGATGCAGACAGCATCTTGGTGACATCCTCCTCCCTGAGGGCAAGGGCGTCGATTCCTCCCGACATCTTGACGTTTGAAAAGAGTTACGAACAAACCTGAAAGCAAACAGCCACCGTAACAATATTAGCACCATCCCACTGAATTCGGGGAAACAGCCAGAAAATTGAACTGTGGGCAAATGCAACAGATGCGGACACTATAACAAAGCGTTGATAGGACCTTGTACTAGTCAAAATGTAAATTCAGAAACGCGCAACACTTTGAGGTTAAGCGCATGGTTGGACGACAGAACAGATGTAAACAAGCAATATGAAAGACCAGTATGACGGGCTGTATTCTAGGTAAATGAGTGCAATAAAATCTTTTCTAAGCGAGCCAATCAGAAGTGAAACAAAGAATCACCAACAAACAACTTAAGCCACGTGTGGGCCGGTGGGTGCCGCACCACCGAGCTTCAAAACGATCCGTATTGATGTGATAATCTACTTCCCGACACAGAATTCATTTAAATGGAATAAAGAACAAGCAGAAAATGCGACTCATTTCCTGAAAACCACAAATGAACAAACAGAAATTACAAAATAATGAAGGGAACGGGAGGAAACGTACGTGCACTGATGCCACTGGGAGCTTCCAATGAAGGAAAAGGAAACGCAAACCGGCCGCACGGAACGCGCGGGGCCTACCACCCTAGTCAACATCATTCAAATTTTGTCTACATAATATCTTCACACCATAGAACACAAGGAGAATGTATCAAATTTTTTTGAAAAGAAATTATTGATGTGTAATGGTTTAAAAATATAGGCGCTTTAATCATTTTCAAAAACTAAGCGAGGAATGCTCGGTAACGTGGCGCGGGAAATTCAAAAAGTCTGGATGGGCGTCAATTCTGCTCAAGTCTGGGCACGAGAAAAGAGGCCGACGAGTTTTTATCCTTAAATCCTTTCGCTTTGCTGAAATCATCTGAGGTTCTAAACATGTGATTCGTGTCTGTGTAGGGTTGAAGTACGAGTGAGAGTCGAGGATTGGTTGGCAGAAATTTTAAGCTAGTATTTCCAAGTGTATGATTCACAAATCTTAAAACCTAAGGTTGGCAGTAGATGACAAGATGACAAGACACCAGCTGTTTGTTTCAATTTGTAAATACAAATATCTTACCCCATACAGCTGTGGCTCCTTGTCTTGGCAGTTCAAAACAAGTACAGGTCTCATTTCAATTTGAAGTTAGGCTCAGCCAACTGGGTTAGCATTAATTTGTGTGGAAAATTAAGAATTTTCGACTCAAGGTCACATTAAGGTAAAAAAACAACAACAACAAACAAACAAATATCTTCAAATAGGTGGGAATTTTTTTTTTAAAGTGGAGAAAAGTTCAATAAAAATTAGATATATTTTGCATTGACACACAGCCTTCACAACAAGCTCTAATCATGGTACAAAACAACTCTCAACTTTTAACAAAGGGACAATGATATTGCGCCACAAGAGAATGCAATGAAAGAATCATTACTGACTGGATGATTTGACAGGGTTAAATAAATGGCACATCTCTTCACCCGAGGCAACATGAGCAGGTAACATACCATATACATCAGCAATTGTTTGGTCAGCACCTTGTTCAACCAGGAACCTAATTACCGCAACATGACCACATGAAGCAGCATAGTGGAGGGCAGTTTGACCTTCTTGATCTTGCAAATTGACATCAGCATTTAACTCGGACACTAGCATAATCAGCATGTCAACATTATCCCTATCTGATGCCCAATGGATCAGTCCCATCCCTTCAGCATCGACAGCATTAACATCAATACCCTCTTTAAGCACAGCATTGCGGACTCGCTGTATTTCTCCCTCTTTAACCCAATCAAATACAGTCTTATCCGAATCATGGATAAATTCATCAGTGTTACTCAAACAGCTGACAGTAACCCAACCTTCACTAGGTCGGTCCTGGGTTGGCTCAGCAGTCCAACCTGGATCAAGTTCAGACACCAACTGCACATAGCCAGACATGGCATCACTTTGCTCCATGTCTCCCAGCCGATTCCATGCTTCCCACTTTTGCTTTTCTTGCATTTGGTACCACCTCGGTTTATCAGGGGGGCATCGTCCTTGAGTAGCTTGCTTATAAAGGGCATACAATTCAAGGAGCTGTGAAGGTTCAAGCCGACTGACCAAAGTACTTTTTACATGTTCGGCAGCAAGCCGGAACTCCTCTGCTAACTCTGACTGAAGGAGAGTTGCCTCTGCCATATTTATCATACAAAATACTTACACTTTAATATAAAAGGAGACAGAAAAATGTACAGAAACAAAATACACAGAAGAGCAACTGGCTACTGAAGAAAAATATCTGCTTAGCCAGAGCTTTAACTAACACTTAAGTAACAATCTAAAAGACAACAAAAATAATTTCACCTAAATGAATAAATTTGTTAACTTTCATGACAAGTTAAACATTTCAAACTACATTCAACCCTTATCACTACCCTAAATCCAAAATGATTACGGACCATAGAAGATAAAGCAGAGTTTGTACAATTGAAAAATGAACAATTCAATGAGGTAGATTGATTGAGTTTAGAGTTCATGGGCTGATGATCCATTATTGCACTCTAGTTATCTCCAGTAGATGAATGGTATGGTCCTGCATCAGTTCATGAATGTCAACTCCACTGTCCGCTCCAAGGTTATCAATAGGAATTTGCTCACAACGGAGCTGCCATTTGTTGAGATGATGTTCAATTGACCAATCAGAGCTTCTTTCTTGATACACACACAAAAAGCGAGCTTCTGGATTTTTTTCAAGAAGAAACGCAACAGTGACAATTATGTCTTCAAATATAGAAGGTTCATAAAAACAATCAGAACCAAGAATAAGATCAATTGGACCAAGAGTAAAAATGTTGCTGAGGAACAGACCCCATGTAAGTCCAAGTACACGCACCTGAGAACAAGGAGTAAATTTCAGAAACTAATCTCTAGCATTTGACAACAAAGCCAAAACATTGAATACATACTTGGTTTGGCAAGAGACCATTCACTTCACAACTATGGCGAACATGCTGTAAACTCTTGGGCAAACAGGCACTTTCAGTTAGAGTAACTGCTGCTCCACATTTAGCAGCCAATATCCCAGGAAGAGCTGTTCCAGCACCCAACTCAACAACGTGTTTGCCCGGTAGTTGCTTACGACGCTCCCACAGAAACCATGCAAGGATAGGAGCTGATGGCCATGTGTAGAAACTGTAACTCGCTTGAAGTTGCTGCAACAGAAATGATTGTTTACTATTTTCATTAAATTATAATTTGGAAAGAAAATCAGTACAATGAGCAGGCAAGCACTGGTGACATTCAAGACCACATCAATGTCAATTTGTACACATTCGTATCACTTCAAATTGAAAGGACATCAAGTGATACTTAAAACTTATTCATGAGAATGGATGTGCTTCAAAAATTAAAGGCATTGAAAGGAAACGAATTCTAAGCAAAACTAAGATGTTGGCAACTAGCAACTGAAAGTGACCATAATTTTATTTTACAACTGACATCTGAACGTGAAGTTACTGCCACAGCAGAGGTTATGATATCACATTAGAGTAGGAACTACGTATTTAAACTACATTTAAATACGACCACGAGGGCACATGAAACTGTGACAGGAAGACATAAAATTAGGAATAAGAAATGGGGAAGAATTGCTTGGGAAAGAATGAATCAAAACAATGAGCCGAGAGATGGGTTCGGAACGAGGGGTACCTCAGGAATCAGAATTTCTAATGTCTCCACTTGACCGTTTTCAGATTTGTCAGCACTAGACTGAAAAATAAACTTCTTCACTTGTTCGGAAACTACATCGGACATTTGGGACTCATAGATTACATCCGTATGAGGCAGAAGCAGACAGACCGCTCCAACCTCAAAACAAGACAAACGAACTTACGCCGCCCGTCGCTTGTGTCTTGTTTCTTGAATGTGAATATTAATCTAGTTTTAAGTTTGGCGCGCTTTTCCTATCTCCACCGTTGCATGAAAAATTGCGCTGTGCGCTCTTAAAGCAAACAAAGCGGCGAAAGCAAAATAGGCGAAGTAAATACTCGTGGTGTGGATGTAACACAAATTTGCTCAAAGACAAATTGGTGTCATCGATTTGTGACGGTAAATTACTTTTGGCTTTGTGTCAGTCAGCTCAAGACGTATCGCTTTTAGTTCGGCGTGACTCCTCGCAAGACAAGTGTTGTCAAAACACTTCACCCTACACCTTCCACACCACTGTTTCAAAAACATAATACACTTTATTAATTGACTAAACCGTCGTTTTGTTCTCATTCACTTTCCTCATCACTTTCCCCATTAATTGTCTTTGTTTTCTTTGTCTCTCTTTTAGCGTTACCAGCGTCGGGGAGTCAAGATCATAACCATCTCTACCTATGACTTTATGGGTAACATTGATTTTGAAGTCACGGAAAGATTTTCTGCGGAGTCTGCATGTCCAGTGCAGCTGGTTTTCCAAAGCTCACCAAAACTGCAGTGATCCACCTGCTACCATGAAAATACTCAATGTCGCAGAGAAAAATGATGCGGCCAAAAACATAGCCCAACAGCTGAGTAGAGGAACATGCACTAGGGTGAATTGACGAAAATTGCTGTTATTACCACTTGTTTGAGGTTTTGTCCCTGTTATTGTGTATTGCATGTGATTATTTATTCCAGCGAGATGGCTTGAGCAAATTTAACAAAATTTATGAGTTCAATTATAATGTTCGAGGACAAAATGCTGAAATGATTATGACATCTGTATCTGGGCACTTACTGGGACTTGATTTTGCTGGTCAGTACAGGCAATGGCAAGGCTGCAGTCCTGTTGCATTGTTCGATGCCCCTGTTTTCACAAAATGTATAGAAAATTATGAAAACATCAAGGTAAACATTATTCAGGAAATTTGTTTTGGGCTCTTTTGCTGGTGTTTCTGGTAGTACTCTAAGATTTGTTTGTGTACAGCGAACTCTTGAAAGAGAAGTACGCAGCTGTCAAATGCTTATTATATGGACTGATTGTGATAGAGAAGGAGAGCGCATTGGATTTGAAATAATTGAAACGTGTCAAGCCATTAAACCCAATATCCAAGTGTTTAGGTAAGACCAATCATCATAAATTTTGTACTATCCTGTCCTGTCGCAATTCATATTGTCTAATTATTTACTTGCAATTTCAGAGCCAGATTTTCTGAAATAACCCTTCCTTCTGTCCAGAGGGCTATTAACAACTTAGAAGCTCCTAACAGACTTTTAAATGAGGCTGTCTGTGTAAGACAAGAGTTAGATTTGAGAATAGGTGAATCGCTGAATTACTGCCACCAACTTAATTTTTTAGCCTCTGTTGCATATGCATTGTTCAGTTTTTTTTAACTTTTTGAAACACATTTTTGCAGGAGCTGCCTTTACAAGGTTTCAAACCATCCGCCTGCGACAGGTATTCCCAACAACTCTTCAAGACAAATTGATTAGTTACGGATCCTGTCAGTTTCCAACTCTTGGTTTTGTTGTGGAACGCTTTAAAGCTATAGAAAATTTCATTCCTGAACGTTTCTGGAAGATTGTTCTTAGCCACACTGTAGACGAATTAACTGTTAATTTTTCTTGGAAAAGAGTGAGACTATTTGAAGAACTTGCTTGCCAAGTTTTGTTTGATAAGGTTCAAGAGCACAATGGAGCCATTGTTGAGAAAGTTGTGAGCAAACCTAAAAGCAAATGGAGACCTCTTCCACTAGACACTATTGTAGGTTTCTCTTGTAGATTGATTCTGGCATTTGGCATGTTTCATTTGTAACAAACTAAAAACCATTTATTTTCCAGGAATTGGAAAAATTAGGATCTAAAAAGTTGAAAATTAATGCCAAGGAAACTATGACAATAGCTGAGCGTTTGTATATGCAGGGATATATAAGTTATCCTCGCACAGAAACTAATATTTTCCCTAAGACTATGAACCTACCCAACATAGTTGAACAGCAAACTCGTGACAACCAGTGGGGAGGTAAAATCATCCCAGGTTTCAATCCTCATCTGAACATTTTAACAATTGTCCTTATTGTATCCCAAAATTGCAGCATTTGCCCAGAACCTCCTTCAGGATGGCCCGAATCCTCGCCAAGGAAAGAAATCTGATGAGGCCCATCCCCCCATTCATCCCACAAAATATGCCGACAACTTGCAAGGTAAATAAATGCTAGGAACATTCTTAGAAAGAGTGCTTTGCATATTGAATGAAATACATATCTTGTCTGTTTTAGGAAATGACAGGAAAGTTTATGAATTTGTAGTGCGCCATTTTTTAGCATGTTGTTCAAAAGATGCGCAAGGCCATGAGACTATTGTAGACATTGATGTCAATGGTGAGAAGGTAATAAAAGAAGTCCAAGGAAGAGAAAATGCTTTTGACTCCGCATTCATCTTGTTTACCTCTTTTTCATTCAGTTTGTAGCCAGTGGTTTAAGAATAATTGCTCGTAATTACCTGGATGTGTATCCATATGAAAATTGGAAAGCGAAAGAAATCCATCCTTACGAAGAAGGTCAAAGATTCCAGCCTACGAAGATTGAAATGGGAGCTAGTGAGACAGGTCCTCCTAATCTTTTGACTGAAGCCGACTTGATTGCTCTTATGGAAAAGCATGGGATAGGTGGGTGCTTATTGATGTTCTGATTATTTTAGTGTTCCACTGTTTCAATTACACTATACAATTTATCTTCCTTTGTCTAGGCACTGATGCAACACATGCAGACCACATTGAAACAATCAAGAACCGTGACTATGTTGGTCTAGAACAAATATACTTTTTGCCAGGAAAATTAGGTTTAGGACTTGTTGATGGGTATGATAGCATGGGCTTTGCTATGTCCAAACCAAATCTACGTGCAGAGCTGGAAGCAGATCTTCAGAGGTATGTTCAGGTTGTTGATACAGACAGAGTGTGGCAATAAAGTGTAAAATCACTAATATTCAATCTGCAATGCCACTTAGGATTGTGGATGGTACCCGTAATCCGCAGGAGGTTCTAGCAGAGCAAATTCAAAACTACAAGAGAGTATTTGAGCAAGCCATGGAACAGGTGTGAAACCCACTAACATTTTGTTATTATTTACGTATTTCACTATACTTTGTTTGTACTAGTGCATGGTTTAATTGAATTCACAGGCTGCTAAAATTGATGCAGCTTTAGCTGTGCATTTAGAGGAACAAGGGCAGCCTGTTATTGAAAATGCTGTAAGACGTGAGTTTAGAAAGGTTTGTTCTTGCCCATCATGTGGACAAGACATGGTGATCAAGACTAAAAGAGATGGTGGCTTTTATTTATCTTGCATGGGCTATCCAGCTTGCCGTGCAACAATTTGGTTCCCTGCATCTGTAGAGCAGGCGGATGTTTCAGATGAAGTTTGTGAAAATGTAAGTTACTGGTCGTAATAATGGAAATAATATTATCTAAAACTGATTTTGTTTTAATTTTCCTCTTTTTCCACAGTGTACTACAAGACCTCAGAAAATCTGTTTTAGATTCAAATCTAGAATGTTTGCTCCGCACTATCCTGACAATTATGTTGGTTGTGTGGGAGGGTGTGAAGTAAACTTGGTAGAACTTCTTGGAATACGTTCACTGAAAGAGTTAGCCCCAAGGAATGCAGGTTTGTAATGCGTTTTGAACTGTCTTCCTCATCAAAGATAAGACTCAGATAAACTAGGTTATTTTATTTCTCTGAAGTTTGCTTTACTTGAAGTGTAATAGTCTTTTAATCACATAAATTTTTTTATCTTATTCTTTAGATGTTCAAAGAAATGGGAATCCAGCTAGAAACACTCAAAATGCCAACACTCAAGACAGTGGATTTGGGAGTTTGGGGAATGCCTCTTCTGGTATCAGGAGGTCAGCAATTAGAAATGGAAGCATTGATAACAATTATCACAATGCTGTTGCAAATAATTGTTTAAATTGGATAGGCTCCCACAATTCATCTTCATAACTTATGCTTTTATTCCAGGGGGGTAGGAAATTCCTCAAGAGGCAATGAAAGCACAATTGGAGCCAGAGGTGCAGGTTCAGGCAACTCCAATGGTGGGCTTGTCCCAAGAAGGCAGAACACAAATGTTGGTGATAATGCCATTGTGTGCCCGTGCAATGTGGAAGCTGTTCAGCGGACTGTCCGGAAAGAAGGAGCTAATCAAGGTCCATTATATAACTATAATTTGTTTGATTCATATTAATTTGGATTGATGTTCACTTAATTAACTAGGTGAATGACGCTTTGCGCAGGTCGTCCTTTTTACAGGTGTGCTAGTGATAGCTGTAATTTTTTTATGTGGGCGGATGAAGGCCAAGCAGCACCTCAAGGGGGCAGAAATTTCCATCAAACCACCTTATCTAGTTAGTAGTATGAATTCAGAACTGTTGCTTAAATGTTAGCCCAAAAAAGCATACTGAATTTAATTATGATCACTAATCTTTTTCAGATTTCAGTCATGTTAATAATGATAATAGCAGTGGCAGTGGAGTGACATGCGACTGTGGTGAACCAGCTAAAAGGTATCTGCTGATATGTAGCACTGTGCCATTGTTGCTTTCGGCAAATCCTACCATTTCTTCTTTGTATATTTTATCAAAAAGTTTACCTCTTTGTATCATTTGCTGTTGCAGCCTCACTGTTCTGAAAGATGGCCCTAACAAAGGTCGTGGTTTCTACGCTTGCCCAAAACCAAGGGAAACTCAGTGCAAATTTTTCCAATGGGCTGATGAGGAAGGTGCCTCTGGCGGCGGCGGCGGTGGCGGCGGCGGTGGCGGCGGCGGCGGTGGCGGCGGCGGTGGCGGGTCTCTCAGACAAGCCAATAATAATTTTAATGACCGTGGTCAAGGTGGCGATGGGGGCAGTGGATTAACATGCAACTGTGGTGATCCAGTTAGAAGGTATTGGCTTTGTTGTTCTTAGAACATGCTACCTATTTTTCTTTGTTTATTTTACCAACTTATTCATTTGTGTTACTTGCTGTTGCAGCCTCACTGTTCAGAAAGATGGCCCTAACAAAGGTCGTGTGTTCTACGCTTGCTCTAAACCAATGAGCTCCAAGTGCAACTTCTTTGTCTGGGCTGACGAAGCTGGTCAAACAACAGGAGGAAGAGAAGGCGGCGTAGGTGGCGGTGGCGGAAGCGGTAGAGGCAGGGGATCAGGTCGAGGAAGAGCAAGAGGCAGCAGCTCAAGCTGGAGAGGAGCAGGCGGTATGCACCAAAGGAACCAAATCCAGATCTTGTACATTTGTGTAGCTTACTCTGAAAAAGACATTGTATCCACAGGAAGTAGGGGTGGCACCTCGAGTAATAGCTCTAAAGGCAGTAAGAGGAAATGTGGTAACTGTGGACAAGAAGGTAAGTGTATTTGACAATTTTATTTTACCACATGAAGAATGAGGGCTATACAAACATTTGGCACTTTCCCAAAGCACTTGAGCGGTTTAAAATCACAATTACCTTCCTTTTCCAGGTCATTTTAAGCCCAAATGCCCAAATATGCAATGAACTTACCCAGCATTGATTAACATTTTCTTATCTTGATTCAATCAACTCTTCTCACACTATGATTTGGATCAAATCAGTTTGTTGATACAGAGGCTTTTAAATTTGAATCTTTTCTTTTGTAATTTTTTAAGTGTTACTGTTTATTACTTTGAGATATAGTGTCATTTGGAGAGTCCATCTTTTTATGCTGGCCTAAATCGAGACTGTACACAAGATATGACTTTTTGAGTATTTGATGAGTATCTTCATGATAGGTCAATGAAATACCACTGGCTTCATACTCTAAGAACTTGCTAACAAAAAAGCGGTTGGTAGAGTGCACATTTGGGTGATTCAAATATTCTTCAACCTTGAGGCAAAAATGAAACAAAATAAAAAATATATTAAATTTATGAAACTAAGTAATAGGTCATTGTTACCCTTTCTATGGATACTCACATTCATCCATTCAACAGCATCAATCTCCCTGTCACATTTCTTGAGCACTTCTTGACCTGGTTCAGGCGTCAAGGCCACAATGAAGTACATATCGGAACAGCCAAATGTAAAATTGTGAACATGCCGGAAACAAATCATTTGCTTGAACTTTGCACGGACACTCGTTTCCTCTAGAACTTCCCTTTCAGCCGCATTAACTATTTCTTCTCCTTCAAATCAAAATTTCAAGAGTAAGAATTTTAAAAATGTTTAGGACAGTCAGTCTGGCAACTCTATTTTTAGATAGTTTTACCTGGCTCTACATATCCTCCAGGAAGTTTCCAATGTGGGAAAAGGCGGTACTTTTCACTGACTACCAATATTTGTCTCTTGTCATTCATTACAATAGCACCAACACCCACCATAGTACTCGCATATTGTGGAATGTTACAAACTTCATTTTCTGGCAACCAGGCAACCATCATGACATATGAAGCTTGAGCATGATGATATCGGAATCCATTCTGTTCACAAAGTAAGGCACTATCTTGCATTTAAATTTTTTAATATTGAATCAAAGGGTAGTGATTTTTAATACCTGAGCCAGGTGAGGAACCCAACCAGAATCTGCCAATGCCACTTTAAACCAGACCCCTCTTACTTTGTCTTCCCTCCATTTGTTTAGGGATCCTACATTAAAAAAGAAAACTGATGAAGTAGTTTTTGTGGTTATCAAAGTTTCTTGGTGACCTGAGCTACCCTTTTGATAAACATTGCTAACATTTAAAATGTTGATAGAAAAAACAAACAATTGATAAAAAATTTACCTTTTAAAATGTCCGGGAAAGCCAATATTTCACAAGGCTCTTTTGTAGAATCAACCGTAATTCCTTGAAACCTGTCCTTTGTCCCCACAAACAATGTTTGTGAACACATTGTACGGAATGTTGAAAATGAGAAGCTTCTATTCCGACTGCTGGAACAGTGTCAATAATCTATAAAAAAAATGTTTATTTGGCTGACGATTTATTCTTCTACAATTTCGTCTAACCTATGATGATTAAACAAATAATTTGTTTACAATTTTGAAAAGAATCTCTAATGACGATACATTTCCTACATCTGTGCAGTGAAATATTTTGAATGACAAGGCACTAAAACAACAACATTAAAAGAAAGTCTTATTCAAAAAAAAAAAAAAACACAGATAAAAATAGAAACATTAATTTATGTCCTACCACAATCCACTAGGTCTTGAATCTAGTTGATCACAGAAGTCAAACCTAAGCTTGTCCTTGACTTTCCATCTTATAGACTTGGAACAGACGAGGGTTGGACGTAAAAGGCCTCTAGCGATCATGTGAGGCAATAAAACGCAGCAGCTTCTCAAAAAACAGAAAACATCAGCGACGGCGTCACTTGACGAGCGTAACGACGTCACTTGTGTTCATTGTCCTATCAGCTGATAGAGTAGCTTAAATAGCTTAAAGTCCGTACGCGCAGATTTCTCATACTCCTAAGCGCATATTGGCGCTAGGCTTTGAAAAATTAAAGTGCGGTTGTGTCCTGGTTGCGTCTCAGGTACCCGTTGTAAGCCTTGAACGTGAGTTGGTGGACTGTGGACTTCCCCGCTATCGACCCCGTTGCCCCATTTATCCATCAGTGTTATTTAACTTTTTGGTCCAAAAATTTAAAATGGCCCAAATTGGAGTATGTTGTTATGGAGCACTCTCTAATGACTCCTGACACTGTTTCGAGGACCTTTGCGGCCCCAAACAGTCTTTTTCTGGCCAGAAACGGGTAGCATTTCAGCATGCGCCGGTGATGTAGGCAGCCCATTGTCCACTCGTCACGGCAGGGAAAATCATTTTATTTGTCGCCTGTGTTTCACCGCGCCGGGAAGGTAGATCACCCTTTTGGCACGTCGCAGGGAAGACGTGCGAAACGAACCCTAGTATGTATAGCGAGTAGATCCGCCCCTTTCCCCATGGTAGAACAGAACCCTCAACAATTTGTGCGATAGCTGTGCTGTGTAGTCAGGGGTAAAAAAAGTGATGCTTCTCTCGCCCAATCACTCTCAGTTGCCCATCAACTCTCCCAGGTGTGTTCAGACATCTCAGTATAAATAGGAAGGTAAATCAGTCAAGTCTCATTTTGAAAGAAGACTTTTCTTCTTTATTTGGTTTACATCATTAAATCATTTGGCCATTTTGTGTACAATAATATTTCATATGTTTTAAGATATCCACTAACATTAAATATACATATCACAGATTCATAATTTCACTCTTCTTCTTCAACAATGCATTCCTTTTGTCCCTCAGATAAACTTCTACTCAGTTTAATGATTCTTTTGGTTTTAATTGAACATAAATTAACTTTAAAGCTTAAATTAGCTGGTACCAAGAAGTTTGTGTTGATTTGAACAAATTGATCTGAAGGCCCTGAAAACATTTATTTCACAACCTATTTCAACTATCAAGCTGCTTATAAGAAAGGAATTGACCAGCACACCAATATGCTTTATAATATGGGTAGACAAAGAACCATGAAGACGGGAAAGCTTTCCTAACAGTTTTTATGTAAGTTCACACTAGAAGCACGAAAAAGAGAGGGAGAAAAGAAACAAAAAACACCTACTTTGCAGCGGTCAAGATCTTGAAACCACAGCAGAAATTGAAATAGAATTTGAGAACTGACAAGGAAACATCTGCTTCAAATATTAAATACATTTTTAATCTTCTATGAAATAAAATCACAAATTTTTTAACTCTACAAAAACGCAGTAGGTCTTCGTGCACATTGATCTAGTGCAGCCAGTACATCATGTTTTTGCCTTACATAGAGTCTTCCTTTCCTCCAAGGGTTTTGCAACTGTAAGGGTTTAAAGTCATCACGAAGACAGCGCTCTCGAGCACCAATCACAGCTACAAGACAAAAATTGTCCAGTCGATCTTCTGAATAGATGGGTCCTCCTTTCCCTTTTAAGACAGCAGCTAAATTCAGCTGTTTTACAACTAAGTCCACTACTTCTCGAGCTGATGTTTGGGGAGTCACGTGAACCTTCAGGCTTGTGCCAGAGGCCAGTCCAGTTTTGTATGCAGCATATACCTGCAACATTTCAACATGTTTATAAATGATCATTGCCTGAGATAGTTTAACAAGCTGCAAGTCTAAAAAAGATAAATCACTGCCTACATAATGTTGGAAACTGTGGTGAAAAGGTGAGGAACAAGGCAGTAAAAACACGCAAAATCTCTTCTTGACAAAACTATAAAATCATGATGGTCTTTAGAAAGCAGAATGAGCATGGTTGAAATCTTATTTTTCCAGACTTACCACTTCCTAACTCTTCAAGTGGACGGCTTGAAACAAAAAGCCAACAAACCATTAAAACCTAGCTAGGTATAAAATACTAGTGCACCCTCCATTATTTTTGAATTGTTAAGAACATTTGATTCACTAGGCTTGCTATGTAGTTGAAGAAAATTCTGCTCCCAGCAAGTTTACAAAAGTTCTCTCTTTTAAAAAGGGAAGAAAAAGAAATAATCACCTGAAGAATTCCAGAAGATGGAATGGGCACTACGACTGATCCAGCACCTCCCTCATCATCCTCTTCCTCTGGCGGGTTCTTATTCATGTTGTTGCCTAGATTGACAACTGCAGAATCTTCTGAAGACAGGGAGTGTTGGCTCTCACTAGTGGCAGTCATATTGCCGGATATGGCACTGACACCACTCCCAGTGCTGAGCCCACTCACACTCATGGCACTGCCGACTGGCACTGCCTGACCACCAACTACGGAGGACCGGACAGACAGCAAAGGAGATGTTGTGGCTGAGACACTGGCTGTGAGAACTGAAGACCGACTACGTTGGTGGCCCAAAGAATGAGCTCGTTGGGATGAGGATAACAGCAAGGTGTCTTCACTGCGGGAGTTTGGAAGGCCTTTCATTGAGCCTGAAAACACACAATTGAAAACACACAGTTAATAAGGAGGGAAAAGAGGGAAAATTACTACAGGTAACGAAACAAACAACACCTACTTGGAGAGTTATTCCCACCTAGGTTCGTCGAGCAAACGCTTGAATTACTATAACTTGGACTGGCTGCATTAACACCGACAGAGCCTACACTACCAGCGCTTCCTTTCCTCGGAGAGCCACTAAGAATAGGAGTCGATCTGGGGGAGCGAGGATGAGGGAGAGGGGGAGGTGGGGGAGACAGGGAAAGAGTCGCTACAGCAATGCTAGGGGAGGCAATGGTAGTGGTAGAAGCAGTGTTTCTACTAGTATTCAATTGTTGCTCGCTCTTGCTGAATTCTGTAGCAAGTAAGCAGGGTGCTCCACTGACACCAGGACCAGGCCAACTTCCACGACTTGCACTTGACTTTACAAGCTTTTGATCGCGTGGCGGTATCTGTAGGAGACTACGTTTCACACCTAAAGAGCCACCTGTAAAAAATTCTGCTTTATTAAACATGCAATAAGAAAAAAAAGTATTGAAGTATTCTAACGATTACCTAACATAAATTAGAATAAAAAGCTAAAATTTACCATCTTTTCCTTTACTTGGAGCTCCAATTGCCAACAAGGTCCTCATGGGTATACCAGGAGATCCACTGACCGGTTGGCAACCACGATCTCTTGTAAAAGTTACCAAGTCCATAAGCCACCTGATGCCTTTCTTAACAGCATTCAACTGGGAATCAATTTCTTGAAGCTTCCATAAGCGTTCTTTGGCCTGGGACACCTCTGCAGTTGAGAATGCCTACAAGGAAAAAAATAAATAAAAAAATGTCATGCTCATGATTTATTGAAGAAAAGACTAATACCATTTTAATTTTTCATACCTCTCTTAGGCTGTGTTGTGCTAAGAGCATGTCTAACTCCAGGATGCATGAAAGCCGTGAGTAGCGGCAAATGATGTTGTGTTGGTATGAAGCCAAATGGACCATTTCAAAAACTTGCAGTGGAAGGGAAAGAAGATCTCCACGCTGCAGCAGCATATCTCTCTGACCAGGCACTGCACATGCACTCTCTGCAGGGGGAACGGCCACCAGGAAGGACACTTCTGGTGTCAGATCAACAACTTCCACATCATATAATCTGCAACACATGACATTATAAAACTTAAAGGAAAATAATCAATGCGTGCAAAAAGACTAGAAACATTACCTTACCTGTGCATATGAGACTCCTCAGGACTGATTTCCATGTATGAAAAAAGCCGTCTAGCTGTTGAAGCCACCAAATCCACGAACACTCTTTGTTGCTCCGATTGGAAAGCACTAGAAGCAAGTTCTTCCATACTTGAAGATTGGTTTTCTTCTAAGTTATTCTTTTCTGACTTAGATGCTACAGCCACACTCAGTTTTCCTTTAAGACATTTCAAACCTCCCCATTCCTCCCTAAAAACAAAAGAAATATGTATTTTTCAATTGAATGTAAATCCTCTATTATGTGGTTAAAAAACAACAATGTATTAATTACTTACGCAGAAACATGAGGGTTGTCCCGAATTTTGCAATGGGGTAAAACGTTTGGTGTTTTGGATGGCACTACAACTTGAATGAGATCTACTGAGCTGTGCATTTTTAGGAACCCCAGGTACAACCCTCGGGATAATCTTATGCTGCTAACTTGATGATACATGATTTGTTCCTAAAAGGAATGGATGTGAAAATTTTTAATTATCACTTAAAACAAACAACTAACACTACACAAGCGATTTGAAAACAAGTACAATTAAGACATTTATTTTACCTGAATAGATGCCATAAGAATTTCACCAACATTTGGGTCATCATGGTTTGAGGCTTTCTTTACTACTTTCCCAATGGGTAACCACCGGGAATTCAGCACTGACACAGATTTGGGAGAACGAACATAATTTATCATAGATATGACTAAAGTTCCTTGTGAATCTCGAAGTGGCTTATGATAGAGTTGACCAAGGTCTTGAATACATAGAGCAGTCTGAAAAATAAAATTACATGAATTATACTTTGAAAATTGTTGCTTAGCAAGAGAGAATTCATTAAAAGCTCATTGAAGAAAACAGATTGGCATTGATGGAAAAAAAAATAATCATACCTGCATTTGAGCTGCAGCTTGAAGCAATTTCATACGAAAATGAATGGATGATGAGTTTAAAGATTTTTCCATATCCTGACGTAATGACTTAACATCATCCCAAGTACAAGCTACCTGTAACAATTAACAGCAAAAATATTTGAGAGACAAAAAATTTTAATTATATATTTACAGTATGAAAGTAATAAGAAGATAAAGTTACAAGAGAAGTTAATTCAGTACCTTCATGAGCCAGTGAAAATCATTATATATGCAACTTGGATATGTTTCATCAACCTCAATAACAGGTAAAAAGTCTTCATTTGTCACAAGCACTTTGTCTTCATGGTACAATATACATGAGAGGTAAACTCCCCTGAAAAAGACAAAAAATGAAGGAAAATAGTAAAAGACATGTCTAAAAGTAAAATGAGTACAAAAATTATATTTTATGTATTTGTTGAGATGAATTTACCTTCGTAAGTTTTTTTGGAATTTTGATGCAGCTGTAAAAAGTTGTTTTATGGTAGTTTTCTTCCGTCTTTGTACATTTGGTGTTTCACCCCCTGGACTAGACGATTCTTGAATATCTTTAATTTCTGCAGCAAACTCTGGACGTGCTTTACGCATATCAGTGAATAAATTATCAAGAACTTTCAGACTTACTCCTGTAAATCTGGCTTCCTTGCCATCTACATCTCTCCAGCCTGCATAAGCAGAGGATACAGTGATTTATTGCAAATTCATTTCCCATATTTTTATGTTCAATCCGTTATACTTACTAGAAGGAACAACTGAGGGAGGGCTTGACAGCACTGAGTTACTGTAGCCTCTCAAATTGCCACACGAAACTCTGAAATAGTATCGTTGACCTTGCACTAGATCACTGATGTGACATTCTGAATGAGTAATTTCCAGAACTTGTCTTTCACCGGCCAAAATGCTGAAGTCAGGCGAGCAGCTCCATTCCACTGCAAGTAAGACATATTAGATTTTTTTTAAAAACTTTGTAAATAAATTTTGGTACGAAAATTATTGCCCACCAACCTTTAAATTTTGTGCATATTTGTGAGTCCAATGTTTCTGCCTCCTGAAATCTGACGGTCACTGAGTGGGTGCCAGTGACATCCACAGCCACGAGAAACGGTTCGTCAGGACATCCTGCAACGGACAAAAACGGAAAATTAGAACATTTTGTCATTTGCACGGGCATCTTTAAATTGTTAAAAATTGAACATTGTCCGTCGACAAACGGTCCTACACGTACTGGCTTGCTCGAAGCCCATCAGCATGCGCTTCAGACTCTTGACCCTCCGATCCCAGATGGAGAGCTGCTTGTCGGCCGACGAGGACGACGCGGACGAGGACGGCGCCGCCGAGGACGAGGACGAGGTGGAGTCCGCCGCGGACACGGACAAGGACGGGGCGGCGAAGGCCCCGGCCGCGGCCGCGGGCACGCTGCCGTTGGCCGCGGGGAGGCTGCCGCCGCTGCCGCCGCTGCCGGGGCCGAAGCCGAGCGGGCCCAAGGACAGGCCGCTGATGGACGACGAGCGGCTGTGGCTGGCGGCCGAGGCGAAGGCTGCGTTGTGCAGGTTGTTGAACAGCAGGTAGTTGGAGGAGGCACTCGCACTCGACCCGGGCCCCGACGCGTTGTTGGAGAACACATGACCGCCGTGGCCGCCCAGCTCCTGCAGCCTCAGGTCCGCCTCCAGCACTAGTTGCTTCAGGTGCACCTCCAGGGCCTCGGGGCATTTAACTGCAACACGTCGATTAAAGTAACAATCAGGAAAAGAAGGAAATCGAATGGGAAAGCACTTGTTTATTTTCAAAAGAATAAGTTGAAAAAAAACATAGAAAAATGATTGTTTCTTATCTTATTGTTAATAACGGTATTCTTACATTGGTTTCCCTCCTGAGCACCGAAGGCGATTAGGATCTTGGCCATGCCCTTGTTGCCCACCAGCACGGAGACGTCCAGCGGAGACAAACCATCACTGTTGACGCTACAAAAGGAAAAAGAAACCACGTTTTTAAGGTATGTGGATTGCACTCCAAATTAAAAAAGATGCAAGGTTCTCACACCAAAATTGCTTTTGATATCTCACTTGGAAAGTCCAAGTTCGATTTAAAAAAATAATTGGGGCTTTATCATTTGCTCATACCTGTTGATATCGACGTCCGTCGACTGGAGAATGGTCCTCGCACGTTCCACATGGCCCTGCTCCACAGCAGCAAACAGAGCTGCAACGGGAAAAAGGGCGTAAGTTAGAACAAACAGGATGACGATGGGCATTCCCTGGGTTGTCCTCACGAACACTACTTCTACAACATAAATTAAGCAAAAACCGGGAGGCAAACAAAAATTAGACGCAATTGAAAAGGGAAGGCTACACTTACCATGCGAGTGAATATCGATGTGTTGGAGTTTGTCGAGAGTGGTGGGGACTTTCTTTTTCTGGTGGGTACGGGTGAGGTGCAACCCGTCCACAAGGAACTCCATCCCGGTCCCACCCCCACCCCCCACCCCACCTAGGTCACCCCCACCCCCTCCGAGGCGTCCTCCCCCTCCTTCTCCACGGTGGCGGAGCTTGCCCAGTTCTTGAAGCTCTGTCAAATGAAAGCAGGCAAAGCAAACAATAAGCAAAACAAAAAAATGCAAACATAAAACAAAAAGTGGCTAAGGGGGCTAATCGTGTAATCGTACTACATGGTCTAGCAAGCGGATCGAGAAGGGACGAGGCAACGCGCGACGCTTTTCTACGTCATTTCCCCTGGCCGGACTTCCCTCTGGCTTCAAACTCCAAACCTAACAACAACAACCAAAGACGTACTCTGCGAAGCTGGCGCCGGGCCAGCGTGTGCGGGCCACCTCAGGCTCCTCCTGCGGTGCTTCACCACGACGAAGTCGCTCTTGGTGGACGCGTTGGAGGGCGTCCTCTTGGTGCAGACAGACCGCCGCTGCCCCAACCTGCCCCTGTCCGCGCGACGCGCCCTGGGCGCCTTGGGCGCGGGGATGTACAGCGTGGGCAGGGCGCCCGACGAGCTGGACCGCTTCATGGAGGACCTCGCCTGTTCGGGGCCGGCGTCGAGGTGGCCGTCGAGGTGGGCGTCGTCCGCCGACGCGACGGAGGCGATGGACAGTGGGGACGTGGACGAGGCGGTGGGCGATGGCGCGGAGGGCGAGTCCACCCCGACGACGTCCACGTCTTCGTCCTCGTCACCGCCGCAGTCTTCGGCCAGGTGCGGGAACCGCTCCACCTGGCAGCACCGGCGCGGCGACCGGGCCGCGTCCGCGAAGCTGCTGCGCGCGGGCGACGGGCCCGACGGGGTGGCCGGGTGCGGGTCCTCGTTCTCCTTGGCCTTGGTGGGCGTGGCGGCGCGCGCAGGCCGGCTGACGCACACGTGCTTAGCGCCGCCGTGCAGCATGTAGGTGAGCTTGAGCGGGCAGGGCGCGACGCACGGCTGCACCGCGCCGCCGGGGCCGCTGGGGAAGGGCTGCGCGTTGAGGCCGCTGAGCGCCGACAGGGGCCGCGGCATGTTGCCGGTGGGCAGCACGCACGTGTGCTTCACGTCGCTGTCCAGCAGCGACATCATCTTGAGGCGGCACGGCGCGCGGCAGTACGTCCGCACGGGGGAGGGCGGCCGGCCCGCGGCGGGGCTGGGGGTGCCCGACGTGGCGCTCGGCAGCAGCTCATTTATGTTCTCGTAGTCGGGGTGCTGTTGCTGCTGCTGCTGCTGCTCGCGCTGGCGCCGCGTCGACACGTTGGTGGTGGTCAAGCGCGTGGCCTTCCTGCGGGGCGGCACGGGCGGCGGAGACCGCGCACCGCGGCGGGGTGGCAGGTCGGGGACGGGGCCGTTGGGGGATGTGTCCGCACGGCCTGGTCGGCCCGGACCGCCAGCCGGCCTGCGCCTCGGCCGCAGCGCCGCGTCCAGCACGGGCAGCGCGGGGGTGGCGGCGTGCAGCTGGCGCTGGTACTCGGGCGTGAGGGGCAGCGGGTGCGCTGCCTGACCCTGGCCGGCCTGGCCCTTCTTGGGCCGGTGGGCGGCCACGCCGCGGTTGGGCAGCAGCGGCTGCTGCTTGTCCAGGCGCCGCGACAGGCGAGCCGCGTTGCTCGGCCCCGTCGCGGAGGCCGTGGGCGACGCGGTGGACGAGGAGCCGCCCATCCAGCTGCCCAGCATGCGCAGCGACGCGCGGACGGAGCGGCGCCGCCGCATGGGGCCGACTAGGCCGACCTCGCCGCCGGGCGGCAGCAGCAGGCTCTTCGGGGTGTCCATGGTGTCCTGGACGGCGTCCTCGGCCTCGTCGGTGTCCTCTTCTCACTGTTCGGCGCGCTCGGCGTCCCTGCTGGCCTCGCTGGTCCGCACCATGGCTGCGACTCGATCCTACAAGGCGCAACGCGGCGCACCACGCGAATCGCTCGTTAGTCCCAGCGCTCTCCATCGCGAGGAGCGTTTGCGCCACCAGTCCAGCGGATGTGTGTGTTTGGCAGTGTGTCTTTGCAGTTCCAAGTGGTCCGCGTACGTCCGGGAGGCCACAAGTCAGTTCGTCCGCGCCGCGGCGCGGGCCTCTGTTGGCCAAGCCTTGGCTGAGCCATGGCCAAGCCCATTTGCAGCATTGCCCGCCACGCCACGCCACGCCAGTCCGTCCACAGTCCACAGTCCGACGGCCGGCGGCAGCCCCGTGGCGTTGCGGTGTTCCGCGCGGCTCTGGGTGGGTACTCATTTTTCAGCGCGCCCTGCAGCTCTCCCTGCCCAAGGCCACGCAAGCGCAAGGCCAAGGCCGCGCCCCGCGGCACAGAGCGGCAAAGAGCCAAAGCCATGACGTGGAGCGTGCAGCTTGCAGTGTGTACTGCGCGCCCCACCCCACCTGTTTGCCGGGGCGCGCGGGTGACGGTGACGCAAAGCCCGGGCGTGTCCAACTCGCCCCCGAACTCAAGCAGCCGCCGCCGAGCCAAGTCCAGGTCGAAGGCGATCCCGATGCTGGCCGCGCAAAGCCGCGTCGATTCCCCCGCGCACCTCGCGCAATCCAGAGGCAACACGAAGCCTCCCGCCCCGGTCTCTCTCCAGGGGCGGCGGGGAAGTCCCGCAGGCCAGGCCCATTCCGAACACTGTCTCTCTCGCACGCCTACGGCACGCCTACGGCACGCCTACGGCACGCCCCACGAGAGGGAGAGAGAGAGAAACGCGCGACGCGGAACGTGTTGACGGGGACGGCCAGCGCCGCGATTACGGCCGATTGGCAATCAAGCAAATTGGATCCGCGTAACGTTAGGGTGTACGGTGGACTGCCCCTCCCCCCCCCCTCACGACACTAACACAGAGGGCGCGCGGCGCAGGTCACGGAGCGACCCTGTCATCATCCCCCTCTTCCAGTGCCACGCCAATCCGAGTTAATTAAAAGGCCTTTTCGGCCGCTCGGCCCGGACGCCCCCGGGAGGCGTCCCGGACTGTCCCGGACACCGCCGCCCCCTCCGCCATCTCCGCCTGGAGCGTCCATTCATCGCGGTGCTGCACGCCCTCCCACGAAGGCAGGGGCAGGGTGCATGGCACGGCGACCGGCCGGGGCGGAAGGGACGGGCTCAGACCCAACAGTGCTTCGTCGCTCTGTCTCTTTCGCGCCTCTCCGGCTCGTCCCACGAGTGCGAGAGAGACAGGGCGACGACCGTCTCGACGACCGTGCCACCACATCCGCCGCACCTCCGCTTGGCCGCTTGGCCGGCCAGCTGCACCGCCTTCCGCAACACGGCCGAGGCGTTCGGCTCGGTTCACCAGTCGCACAGGTGGACAGGTGCCGCCGGAAGTTACCCCCACCCCTCCCCTCCCCCTCCCCGTGGGATTATTCGTTGATTCGTTGCGTTATTCGACACGAGTCTCACGGTGGGTCCGAGCCCCAGGACCGGAGCACGTTCGGGGCCGCCGTCGTCGTCGTGGTGGTCGTGGTCGTCGTCGTTAGTGGTGGTGCTGGCGGTGCAGCGACATGGTGTCGACTTGTTGCTGCCGCGAGCTGTCCTGTGTCTGCACTGTCTCCGCCGTCCCTGTGGCGCGAACGCTCCCCGCCACGAGCGCCGTCTCCATGGTGCGAAGCGCGACGCGTCGCAAAGCGCGAAGGCGACAAACGCACCGACGGCACGCTGCGCTGTAAGCCGCGAAGCTGCGCCAACGGCTGGTCAACGGCTGTGCCGCCCCACTGACCCGCTGCAGGTCTGCGGGCGGTCTCCGCGGTCCAGGTGGTCTGCGGCGTCGTCGACTCCTCTTCCTGTCGCCGTTGTTGTCCCAGGCGGGGGCGTCGTCGGCGACGTTGCGTGGTTGAAGAGACTGGGGTGGACCATCCAGCGGGTCAACGGCGGGGTGTCACTCACAAACACTCACTCACTCACACACACACACACACACACACACGCAGTGTTGAAAAGTCACACGCGCACACGCACTGGCGAGAGGGTCGTTGGCGGCAGAGTCCACAAGGGTTTGAGCAATTCGAGCAAACCGCTTTCCTTGCTTTCGCGACCGACTAGCCCAACTCCTTGTTCTTCTCCAGCGACTGGCGGCGTCGCGGCGTCGCGGACCGGCCGGCGGGGCACGCGCACTCCAACTGACTGAACCAAGAACTGAACTTGGACCGACCAGGTGATGTCTGATGTGTGGAAGGCGAGGTAAGGACACCCTCCCCTCCCCTACCCGCCGGCGCGACCGGATCTCTACCCCCACCCCGAAGGCGGCGGCTGCCGGCGCGCCCTCCAAAGCCGGTCCCGCGTAGCTGCACCCTGCGACCACACCGCCACGCACCGCCACGCACCGCCACGGGCACCGTTGTTCATCTTCGCGCCTCGGCGCCGCCAAGAACAAGGCCGAGTCAGTCGCCAGACGCGGGGAAGGGGAAGTGAGGACAGCGGGGAAGCAGAGGGAAGCCCTTGTTGGGGCAGCCTCGGTCGAGGCCTCGGTGCCCCTCCGACTCGACGCCCTTCGCCGTCGCTGGCCTCGGCTGGCCCCTGCCAGCCCTCGCCGGTCAAGCGGTCCACGCGTTTCCAGAGCATTCCCTCGCGGTGCGCAACGGCTTCGGCCCGACGGACTGCAGCGCCCCGAGTGTCGGCCAAGGGGCACAAGTTCCCGGCATGGAAACAAAACTAATGAGGAAATTGAAGAAAGTCTAAAAATTAACGAGAGTGAAGTTTGATTGCCTGGGTGCGCACGTAACTGCAGCCTGCAGCGCGCGACGATGCCGCGAGCATCACGAGTGACGTTAGGCGGAAGGGGGTGTGCACTGCAGCCCGCGTGGCCGTTGGGCGGGGACGGGTTGGGGAGGGGGGGGGGCGACAGCTGCTAGACCGGGCGGCGCAGGGCGGCGGGAACGGCGGGGGATAGGGTGGAGAGGGTAGGGGGTGCGCGCTCACACTGGCTCACACTCACACACAGACAAGCTGATTGGTGGCGTGTGCTCGCACAAAGGCAGCCGCGCACCGCGCGAGCGCGCCGGATCCAGAAGTACACAGTCGGGGCGCGGGATCGTTCAAACGGGTGCGCGTCGCACACCCGCCTGCAGTGACAACACGAGCCGCTCTGCCGCGCCAAACCTTGCCAGCATCGGCGATGCAGTTGGTGCAGGCTGAGCGGGACTTCTCATCGGTCTGTCTCACTCGCACGAGAGAGAGAGAGAGAGAGAGAGAGAGAGAGAGAGAGAGAGAGAGAGAGAGAGAGAGAGACCTACCGCTCGGAACGAGTCCGCTGGTCCGCGGCCACCTGGCGGCCCAGACGTGTGCAGACAGACTCCGGCAGCAGGCACGCGCCGTGGGCCCCAACGCCCCAACGGCCCCAGCGGGGGTCTGGGTGGGGGGGGGGATGACGAGCGGCAGCTGTTTTCCCCCACATGCCAGTGGATTTTAACATCGTTTAGGCACAGATAGCGCCAGGAATCCGTTGCATTCTTGCTTCCTTTTGCCATCCTCTTCTTGTTTCTCCAGTTTCGGTCTGCCTGTCGTTTTTGCCGCTCCTCTCATTCATTTCCCAGAAAGGCGGCGTCCATACCGCAAAAGCCAGAGGGGTCTCGCACTTGGAAATGAAACCACAAAGTGCACAAAGCGAGCGCGCTGCCGGTCCCTTCCGGTCCCTTCTCTTACGCAAATCAGAACAAGGTGGGCGGAGAGAAATAAAAAGAAGCAAAGATAAAAGCGGGACGGAATCAAATAATAATTGAAAATGCCCTACGGCTGAGCTACGCGCTACGGTCTTACGATTGGCGAAGTCACCTCGCCGACTCAAATCATGGATACCTGCAACAGAGGAATAGGCAAAGTTAGAAATGCAGTCAGAAAATAAAACTACGGACACAGAGACATGTGACGTGCACGATGCGCCCCGCAAGGATGCCAACCAAATGCAGGCAGACCGACTTCGAAGGAGCATGCCAAACCATCAGAACATGAACAGCCTGGTGATTATCTCATGGCCAAAGGTTCACAAAGACAGCAGTCCATTAAAACACGGAGTACACAAATACATGACACACGACAAGCAAGCACAAGACAAATGATTATATATATATATACTGATTATCCAAACACATGAAAAACACACAGCAAAACGAGCCCAAACGCAAACGACCGGGGGAATTTTCCGGCACACCGTAATCAGACGATGAATGGGCGAACCGGCAGACGAAATGAAAGCACAGCGACAATTACACGGGGAAAGGCTGAAAAGGCGCGCCCTGCCAATAGTCGGAGAGAGAGAGACTCGTGTGGGAGCTGCGAGTCTGAAGTGGCGCCAAACAGAGAGAGAGAGAGAGAGAGAGAGAGAGAGAGAGAGAGAGAGAGAGAGAGAGAGAGAGAGAGAGAGAGAGAGAAAGGTCGGAAGTAACGAGTGCGCGGCTGCGCGGCGTAACGAGAAGGTTGTGAACTGGTGTCACGGCGCGGCTAGCTAGCGGCCATTGACGGACTGCCGGGCAGACTCATGCCGAGAGTCGTTTTCGCCGCTCCGTCTCTCTCGCAACTGCACGGGACGCCCCATAAGGGTGAGAGAGAGAGAGACGAAGCGACGAAAACGACTCTCGGAATCAGTCTGCTGCCAGGACAGAAAAGGAGAAAGGCTAAACACGCCGTGCTGCGTTTCCTCTCGTCACCGCCGTGTGTGTGTGTGTGTGTGTGTGTGTGTGTGTGTGTGTGAGAGAGAGTGTGAGTGTGTGAGTGTGTGTGAGTGACCCAATGCAGACATCAAAGCGGCAGCAGTCGGCAAGGCCTGGCGAGGCCTGGCAAGGCCGCTGCAAAACAGGCCATACTGGTGCACCGGTGCGATCCGGTCACTTCCGGTGGCGCTTGGTCGCGCTTCTTCCCACTTCCGGCGCGCCAAATTCCAGACAGTGTGCCACACATTGTGCCACACCGTGCCACACTGCCCGGCGGCGCTCCGTCCAGACCCAACTGGTTGCCCGATCGGGCCTCGCCTCGCGTCGCCTCGCGTCAAGGCTGCTTTCGAAACGTGCGCACACACGGGCTTTACTGTAACGAGTGTTACACTGTTTGAAAGAGCGTCGGCAAACGCCATAGGCACTCCCAGGCACTCCCTGCCAGAGTAATCGCCCTGAGAGGACGCACCGCTTCGACCGAAGCGATCTATTCGTGATTCCGCGCTCGCAACACAGATGCCGCCACTGTCGAAAACACATACACACACACACACACATACATACACGCGCGCGCGCACACACACACACACACCTACACACACACACACACACACGTTCCAATCCCAATCCAGTCAGTCAGTCTCTTCAGCGTCAATTAGACCCTTGACACAGCCACGACACCACCACAATGACACACAGCCACGCCCACCCGCACAGCATCACCGCACAACGACATGACATGCCCGATGGCCCCAACGCCGCCCCCAACAACACGGGGGACATTTTTCTCCTCTCGAAACAACAACAAAAACACGAAACAAACCAGAGCTGTGCAAACCCATCCGTCTGTATCCGCATCTATCCGCACGGTCCAGGGCGATCCGGCCAGGCGGTGGCTGTACGAAGTGTGGCCGGCCGACCGGGCGGTTGGCGCACCGGCCGCCGCCTTACGGATGCTTGCGGATGCTTGCGGATGGATACGTCACGCCGTCGCCGCCCCCTCCCCGCCCCGCTCGCCTGCTGCCTGCCGCTTGCCAGGAGAGGAGTGGGGGGTTGCGGATGATGCGGATGGAACGGATAAGGCGGGCGGATAGTGGCGGATCGGATGCGTGCGGTTCGGATAAGACGAATCCGCCCGCAGTCTGGCGGCGGATGGGAACGGGCGTCGACGGATGGATTTGCACAGCTCTGAAACAAACCCTTTTCGACCGACATCAGCGAGGGGAGGAAGCCGGGGCACCGGCCGCAGCCGGAGATCAAGGCCATGATGTCAGAACGTCCTGGAAAATAATTAAGATGAGGCCGGCGATTAGAAGAGGATTAGCCGGGCAGAGCGGCGCCCAGACGCCAGGTTCAAGTCGTCGCTGGCTGCGCGAGATGCGCGAGCTGTGCAGGGCGTTGACACCCACCCCGCCAAAAGGACGGTGGCCGTTATGAGAAATTGGAGCGAACGATGCCAACAGCCATCCCGCTGTTTCCTCGCGTTCGATTCCTCCGGCCTCTTTATTGCACTGGAGTTGTCCGGTGTGCCCCACGCTGCCCCACGCCGCCCCCGGCTAGACCCAGCCTCGGACCTCGGACTTCCTGGGTCTCACGCGAGCTTGTTGGCTTGGCCGCGCTTGGCGGGGCTTCGCCTTGAATGCCTTTCTTTTCTGTCTGCTCTGCAGGGCGCTGGCAGGGCTGGCAGGGCGGGCGCCGCGTGCGCCGAGAGACTCAGAGCAGCGGCGTCCGATGGCCCGACGGCGCGGCCTGCCTGTCAAGCCGATCAGGCCGCAGATCTGGCCAGAAAGGCCAGAAGGAAAAGGCGCTCACATCCGCACAATCAGTCCCGCCGCACGTAACACCATTTTCATTTTTTTTCGGTGAGGTTGGCAGCGACGGGCATGGGAGGCGTGCCCGCATTTCGGCCCGCAGCGTTGGCAGCGTGTTGGCAGCAGTGTGGCGAGGCCCGCATGGCGCGGGGTCGACGACGCCGCCTCAAAAATGGGCGATATGGACTTGGCGAATCGCGCGACGCGACGCGACGCGGGTGGCGAATTTGCCTTACAGTGTGTTCGCTCGGTCGGAATAGACACGCGGATGAGGCCTCGTTGACCCGTCCGCGCCGTCGGCCGTCCCACTGCTGTCCCCGAACCCGACACGTCGAGGGCCTCCTTTCACGGGGGATTGGAATAAGGGCCTTATTACAGGCAACTCCCAAACTTCTAGCCCCCCTCCCCCCTCGCCCGTCCACGCCACCCTCAAGGCCGCCAATTTGGCGCCCCATTTGTGCGAATTGTGCTTCCACACGTTGTGGGGCGGGGCGGGGTGGGGGGGAGGGCGCCAGGTGGATTGGAGGAGGCGGACAAAAACTGCGGGGAAGGCACTGTAGCGCTGGCGTGCCGGGTTTTGTTTTCCGTCGCTTTTCACTTGCTTCACCCCAGCCGCGTTCCAGCCGCGTTCCAGCAGGCGGTGAGGTCTCGGCCGGCGCGGGGCTGGCGGGGCTTCCCCCCGTCGCCGCCCCGGGGAAGGCCGCCCACAAAATAAAAATAATCACACTCTGCAGTGTCATTGCAGCGAGGGAGACGTCGGAAACAAACGCGGGCGAGTGGGAGGACGTGACGAACGGGACGCAGGACGGACCCTTCCGAGACTGCCTGTCTGACGTCGTTTTCACTCCCACGTGGCTGTACCGCGCACTCCACACAGACATGCGTGACGCGAGCGTGTGTGCGTGCGAGTGACGCGTGGCCTTGTATATTGCCGCCGAGGAGAGCACTGGCCGGACTAGTTTCGCGCCCCGCCCCGCCCCGCGCCGCGCGATGTCACTCACGGGAACGTGAAGCTGGAGCGCCGCGCTCGCCGCTACCGCCACCTGATTGTCGCTAAAGCGCGTGTGTGCTCACACACACACACACACACACACACACACACTAATGAGACATGAAAGCACGACAATCAAGCGAGGCGACGGCGTTTCTCTGTCGAGCGTTTCGCGGTGGCGCGGTTGGCGGCGAGGCGGAGTGCGCACCGAGTGCGCCGCGACAACGTCGCCGCCGACGACGCCGACGACGACGCCGACGACGACGACGACGACGACGACGACGCCGACGACGACGCCGACGACGACGACGACGTGGACTGCGTAGACGTGCACCACCTCCGTAGAAGGGCTGGCGGGCCGGTTCAAGTCAGTCTCTCTCGCACTCGTGTGGAGTGTTGGTGAGGGGTGCGAGTGAGACAGAATGCGTGACATCGCATGCAGTCGGCACGGCGGCGCGGTAGCCAGAGGGGCACCGCCGCCGCGCCGCGCGTTCTCCACGCGTCGCAAAGTGACGCGGCACGGAGCACGGGGGGCGTGCGCGTATCGGACAGCATTCCCGTCTCCGTCACACGCACTGTAAGTGGCGGAGTGGCCGAGAGCGTCCATCTGGGACGTCGCGACGTCCCGGACCTCTCGGACGCGCCCCGAGTGCCCGTGGCAGGTGGCGGCTGGCGGCGTGGCGGCGGGTGACACATCTAGGCGCGCGGCGCGCGGACGGACGGGCCGGACGGGCGGTGCGCCGCAGCGACGGCGACCACGGCGACGCCCCTGTCGGGCCGCCGTCAGTGTACGTCAGGCTACGTCAGGCCGTGCGTGCTGTTCGCTCCGTCTCTCTCGCACCGCCACGGCGCCACGGCACGCCCAGCGAGCGCGAGAGAGACGGAGCGACGAGTTCGGACGCGGCCTAACCGGCCCCACGATTATTCATGACGTTCCCGCGGAGAGCGTCGCGCCGCCTCGCAGCACCGGCAGCACCACTCAAACGGCTAAATCAACATTTAGCGACTCGGTTAACTTGTTTTCCCTGCCGGGGCCGAAAGGCCGAAATGAACGTCGGACGGCGCGGCGCGGACGGGATTGGGCGACCCAGACTGAGCTTCTTGCCCCGACGTTCAATCAATGAACCAATGGAGCAGCGAGCGCCCCTTTTTGCCCGTCCCAAGTACGAAGCGTTCAGTTCGAGTTCCATTTAGCGACTCTGGAGCTCAAAACGCGTCTAGAGTTTTGGCCGCCTCCACCGGTCTCTGGCCCACTGTGTGTCGGCAGCGCGGTACAGTAACACTCCCCCAGAATCCCAGAATGGTCGGCACTGCAGTGGCAGTAGTGGCCGCCTCAAGTTTTCGTTT